ATGGCTAGGTAAAGGCTCGCTCTCTGTTATGTGGATTTTCACCTCCCTTTTGTATTTTCCATGCTTAAAGCAGCAATTAGGCCCTGTGTGTGTAGCAGGAGCTGTGTCTGAGGATGGTGCAAACCTCGGTGTGTTGGGAGCCCGGCGGTGTGGCTGCTGGCTACAGACCTCAGCAAATCCCTTTGGGAGGGGGATCTTTGGGTGCTTTTCCTAGGCCCTACCAAAGGTGTCTCTTCAATTAGGGCTTTGCAGTAGATAACCTGGTTAAAATAGTAGTGGTATCCTCCAGGGCATAGCACAGGACTGATCCAGGGAGCTGGGATCCAGGGAGCTGGGGTCCAGGGAGCTGCCACGGCAGCTTTTTAGTACTTAAAGGAGGTTACAGAAAAGCAGAGTGACTTCTTGCTCAGTCAAATAACGCAGATAGGACAAGTAGGAACGGATTAACTCACAGATAGTAGATTTAGATAAGATGTTAGATGTAAGATAAGATGTTAGGAGGAAATTCTTCCCTCAGAGGATGGTGAGGCCCTGGCACGGGCTGCCCAGAGAGGCTGTGGGTGCTCAGGACCAGGTTAGATGAGGCCATGGCCAACCTGGCCTGGTGGGCGGCATCCCTGCCATGGCAGGGTTGGGACTGGGTGTGCTGTAGGGTCCTTCCTACCGGGGCCGTTCTGATTCTAACAGTGTGTGTCTGCAGCTGGAAGCAGAGCCGAGACACACGTGGAAGGAAATGCTGGAGGAGACGCATGGTGTTGCCATTTAGATGCAATCTGGTGACCTGATTTTGTTTCATTTTCTCCTTTCCCTTGTGCCTGAGGGAACGCCCTGGCACCTGCACCACCTTCCTCCCCAGCAGACCCCCTGCGGGAGTGCTGGGACCCCTCGGAAGGCAGCTTATCAACCTGCACCGTAAATGGATCCAAGCTGGGGCTGGCCTCCTTAAAACAGTTATCTTTTTTGTGCCTGATGGTATTGAGATGTGGCTTCAGTGACGTGCTGCCATGTGAAGAGGTGAACCGGCGAGGGGAGCGCTGCGTGCTGTGAGCCTGTGGGGATTAGCCCTGCCCTGGGGAGCTCACCCAGAGCCACCCCTCGGAGGCTGGGGGCCGTGGGCGTGCGGGCTGGGCGTCACAAAGAGGAGAGCTGCCCTCAGCCTTTGTGTAAATGAGGAGGAGGGGACGTGAATAAGCAGCTCTTTGTGCGCACTTATCTCTGTACCCTCTTGTTTAGCCCGAGGTTTGCCCACATCTGCTGCTGTGTGCGCAACACCAGCCCGAGCCGCGCTGCTCTGCTGCAGTGCTTGGCGTTGGGAAGCTATTTTTGTTGTCTCTGCCCCCCCCCCCCAGCGAGCCTGTAGGCTTTTTAGGATGTTTCGTGCTTTTAGCTCTCTTACATATGGCTGCTGCCATAAAGCACAAGCCAAGCAACCGCTCCTGTAAATGGGTCAGGCCAAATTGGTTCAGCGGGTTGTGTTTGAAGCATCACACCCAGCTGGGCACAGCTCGGCTTTGAGGCTGTAAATAGAAGTTTTAATCTCTGTTGTGGTGCTTCGGTAGCTGGCTTGCCTTGTGGGACAGACCCCGTGCTTGTCCTGGGCAGCGTGGCTCCTACACGTGGCCTCTTTCTAGAAGCCTTTCCCTGTGCGCTCCTTTTAGCAAGCTCCCGGTCAGCATCGTGGCTTTCTGTAACAGTGCTGCTCTGTCCGTGGCACTAAAATCGCAGTTGGTAAACATCTCTAATGTAAAATCTGTTGTTCGTGCCTTCCTCCGCCTGCCTCCAGGGCTGCAGGAAGGCTGCGTGTGAGACCTGAGCCCGGGGAGGTTTGTGGGTTTCACCAAGCGCGCTGTGAGCTCTGCACGGGATGTAAAAGCCATAAACCAGCGGGTTGCTTTGCGCATCGCTCCCACGGGTCAGGTTCCTGCCACGCCAAAACATTTCCCCGCTGCTCCCTGCACAGCACACCTTTGCTCTACGGGGACGGCGGTGCCCAGGGACGTGGCTTGAGGTCCCTTTGGGCTCGCTGCAGGGCCGGAGGCAGGCGAGGAGCTCGAAGCTCCCCTCGGAAGCCCACTGTTCACAGAAGCCAGCGCAGGGCTGCGTTGGTTTATTCTGCGGCGGTATATTTAGGTCTGCAAGAGTAATTACATAGCTTTGAGTAAGTCTCGAGTCAGAAGAGGGCAAAGCTTAGCCTGGCAGGCATTCAGCCTTCTCAGAGGCTTTTTTTGCAAAATGCTACGGCCAGCTTTTTTTAAAATAAAACTTCTGAAGACCCGTTGAATTGGCACCTAGTGCTTGGCGTTGCTCTCATCTATTTCTGGCGCTTCAAATACAGAGTACGACTTAAAATTAGACACTTTTGGTTTAAAGCTGTTAGCTTCTGCCTCGCTTTTAGGTGCCCTGTGATCAGGATGGAAAGAAACACCTCCCTGTGCATCCCTCGCCGCGCTCCGGGTGTTCTGGAGCTAAATGCAAAACCGCTCCTCATCCGAGTCCACTCTTTCTTCCTATTTTAGTCTTCTCTAATTACCATCCTGATGATAACTTGCTGGGAGGCGGATAGACAAAGCCCATTGCTTCACCCCATGCTGGCTCTTGGAAATGTGGAACTAATTTTTTACAGTTTGGCTCGAAACAATGCTGCTGCTTGCTTGTCTGGTGGTACGGCCCCAGCCCCCACCCTGAAAAGCCACTCCGAAAAGACAAAAAAAAGTTGAAAGTCCTTGCTGAATGATTGTGAAACTTGTGACTGGAAAGCAGCTCTGAGTTTTATCTCGGTTCCATCCTGTGCAGCCCCCTCTGAGGCCATGCAGGTCCCTGAGCTCCATGCACACCTGTAGGCATGTCGCTCATGGTGCTGCTTGTCCCCAAATCCTCTCCTCGCCCCCTGATCGCCTGGGCCATGCTGCCCACAGCAGCTTGGACAGGCTGACGTATATTGTTAATAAGAAACAGGAGGGCTGTTAGCAGAGCTCGTGAAGCAGCTCTTTATTCCCAGGCAGGACTTCTTGCCACATTTTTTACTTGTTAGCCTCTGCTGGGCTTAGCCACATCCAGCAGATGCTGAATCAGAGCCGCTTGGTAGCGCGAGGAGAAGTCACGAGGAGGGAAACTGGCACGCTGCAGGGGCTCCGGCACATCGGGAGGGTGAAGCAGGGAGCTGGCATTGCCAGCTGGGGTGTGCCGTGATGAAGCTCAGGTGCCTGTGGCACGGGGAATGGTCTGGCCATATCTGGGGTCTGTGCTGTGAGCCCGTGCCCAGGCAGGAGACGAATAACGCTGCTACAAGAGCCTGGGGTCTTCATGTCCCACACACCCTCCTTGCAGATCTGAAACATGTGGGTTTGAGGGTGTTATCCTTCTCTCTTGAATGCTTTTCTCATCTGTGTCTGAATTCTCCTTCCTCCAGGTCACTTGAGTTATGCTATGTCAGGTTTCAGGCACCTCAGGTCTGAAACTTCCCTTGGCTAGTTCGGGGAATGTTTTACTACGGACAAAGCCCCTTTAATCCCTGTGGAAATGCATCTCCTCTCCTCCTGCCCCAAGGAGTTGGACTGAGCTGAGTGGAGCAGTGAGAACCAGGCCTCATCTTGAATTAATCCCAAACTCAAAGGTGCTCCTGGCATTTAGATGCCCGGTGTTTCAGTGCCTCCCATCGCCACCAAGGAGTCTGAGTTCACCGCCTCGAAGGGATCGCGGCCTCCTGCTTTCCCTCCTTTTACCCAGGGAAGACCATCCCGTATCTACACCACAGTGGGTTATAGGGTTTGGTTATGTCACCTGCCTGCCCCGTTTCTGGTCCCTGCTGTTCCCTTCAGCCGGCTTACTGAAGTCCCACAGAGAAGTTTGGAGGACTGGCAGGGAGCTGCTGGCTCAGGACCCCAGCATGCTCAGGACCCTCACCTTCCCTTCACCTCAGGGTTGGGGCAGGGGCTGCAGGGCTGCACTCTGGTGTCTGCCCCGTCCCTCCCAGCAGCAGGCCACACCACAACTGGTCTCGTTTCCCTTTCCTGCAGTCTCTCTGGCTTTCCTGTGCCCGGGTCAGTTGGTGGGAAGCTTCCCTTTCCCTGCTGAAGCAGACAAGGTTTTTGGTGTCCTGGCTCCTTTGTCCCGTGCCGAGAGAAGAGCTGTATGCAAACTTGGTAGCTCAGAGCTGCCAGGAGCGCCGTGCCTCCCCCCAGCCTCGTTACTTTGAGTGTTTAATTGGCTGGGGGCCAGGGGCTGAGCTCTGACCGGCTCAGGTAACCAGATCAGGCCTCGCCATGCAGCCTGCAGGGGATTGCTGGGTACCCAGGGCCTCATGAAAGGCCCCCTGCACCTCCTTCCCCTTCCCCTTCGAACCCTCGGTCTTCAAGAGATGAAGCTTGGCTTCCTCAGAGGGGCTTGTGGAGCCCGAGCCCTACCTGCAGCAGCTCCTGTGCTCTGAGAGGAGCCACCTCCTCCTCCTCATCTTCCTCCTTCTCCTCCTTCACCCTGTGCCCGAGTTTCAGCCTCCAGACTCCACAGCCGGTGATCAGAGCCGAGCGGTGTGAGGGACACGCGCTCCTCTTCACCTCGGGCTCTTCTCACATGGCCTGGTCCTGTCTGCCTGCACCCACCGGCATTTCCACCCCTTCGTGTCCTCCCTCGAGCTGGCTGTTTTCACGGGCTCAGTCCCGGTGTACAGAGCAGGGTGGGAAGGACAGAAAGCACCTGTACTGGTCAGGAGGCTGCACGCAGTGGGTGGTGCAGGAAGAGAAGCTCGGAAACCTTCAGCCCTGCTGAGTTAGAGCCTGGGTCTGTCCAGGCTGGACCATGAGGAGCTAAACCAGCTGAGCAGGAAACATCGAAGGGCTTGGGAGAGTTTAAGGCGAATGCTGATGAGATGATTAACCTGTGCTGGGGGCCGAGTTAGGTTGTAGAGGAGCTTTGCGGACCGTGCTCCCAGTCAAAGGTGACAAGTGGGACTGATTTGGCTTTGTACCTGTGTTTGAAGACCGTATTTCTTTGTTTTCTCACAGAGAAGAAGTGCAGGAAAACTGTGTCCGCTGGAAAAAGAAATTCACCTTCGTGTGCAAAATGAGTGCCAACCCCGCCACGGGGCTCCTGGACCCCTGCATCTGCCGCGTATCTGTGCGCAAGGTGAGCGTCCAGCGTCTGCTTCTGGCTGGTACCACCCATGTCTCATTTGGTTCCGAGCTGCTTTTTTAGCAGCAAGAACTGCAGTGGGAAGGGAGGATTTGTAGGGCTAAGACAGAAACCAAATGGAGCTCGCCTCCGCAGCGAGGGTGCTTGACCGAGGGTGGGAGGGAGCAGGGTGTTGGGACAGGAGTTTGTGAAATCCTGAGACCAAATTCCAGGATTGAGTAACGACTTTCCCCATGTTTCCCCAGCGCAGATAATAGCTTCTTTTCCTGTTTGTTTTGTCTCCCATTATAGGAGCTGAAGGGCGGAAAAACCTACTCCAAGGTAAGAAAGGGTAAAGAAAGGGCAAACGTGTCAGAGTGGTGATGGTTTTGTCTGCTGTTAGTGCTCCGTGCCCAGCAGAAAGCAGTGTGAACTGTCAGAGCGCAGCATGGCTGCTGCGAGAGGCACTCTGGAGAGGCACTCATTAGTTCTTCGGCCTGAATTAAGTGATTTCCCAAAAAAAAAAAAGCTTAGTTACTGGGACAGGATCCAGATTGCACTGGATGTGGATTTGAGAAGGGGGTTGGGAAGATGTTCTGCATGTCCTCAAACTTTGGGGAAGTTCTGAGTCAGATGTGAACTTTCTGGCTTCTGGCAATGTCTTGCTAATAAAGAAATACAGACTCGAGTTACTGTGCTCTCCCGAACACAGTAACCATCTGTGGCTGGGGTAGGCACCTCGCCGCGCTGTGAGACGGGCAGAAACCTACAGCAGAAATCCCTGTCCTCCAGGGCACAGGGGGCACCGAGGCAAGAAACAAGCTGATCATCAGAGACATCAGTTTTTCGTTTTGTTACACACACGCTCGCCCCACTCGTTTTCTTGCTCAGGCTGTGGGAGACAATGGGCTGGGTGCCACCCCTTCGCTTTGTGCTGGAACAAGAGACAATGTTGGCTTGGGAGCTGCGTTCGCACAGAGCCCCAAACCATGTTTGTTTGAAAATGAGTCACTGGTGCTAGTTTCTAATAAACAGATGTTCAGGTCACGCAGAGCCTCGTAAGAATTTCTCCTAATCAATATCCTTCCTGAGACCGTGGGTCTAAAAAGCTTCGAGAGCAGAGCTGCACTCACACCTGGGGACCGCTGTGCCCTGCGGCAGAGGGCAGCAGTGCTGCCCACGCTGTTCCTTTTTTTGTGGCTAATGTCAGGATGCTGTCTCGAGGGCCTTTGGTTTCTCTCTCGCTAAATTTACGCCGAGGGGGAGGTTTATTCCTCCGTCCTGCAGAGCTGCCTGTCCAGGGAGTGCAGCGTAGCCGGAGGAAGAGGTGTGCCTGGGAGGTGTAAACGCGTCGGCCTCTTCCTCCTCCATGCCCGTCCTGAGGCTTCCCACTGTATTTGGGAAAAATTAAAGGAAGCTGGAAGGCAGTCTCCATGGTGGAGTTAACCTGGACTCTTATTCAGGTCGTGCTGTAACCTACTTCCCCTTCGCTCGGTCTGCAGCTGCGTTTAGAGGCGTGTTAAGAGCTTTAGTTGCTCCAGCCCCAGATCAGAGACCAAAGCCCAAGCACTTGGCATCTCTTGAGCTGATGCCTTGCTCGGTCTCCTGTGAAGAAGTGGAAGGAGTCGCATGCATGCACGTGGTCCTCACTGCCTTCCCACAGCTCTCCCCAGCCGGGCTGGATGCCTCGAATTGGGGAATGACCCGTGTGGAGGTGAGGGGTGCCGCACCAGACGGTGGTTACAGGCTTTGCAGTCTTGGCCTGTGGACTGGGCCTGTTTAGACTCATTTCCAGTCAGATTATTGTGACAGAATCGAGTTACTTGGTACTCCCAATGTTTGTAGCAGCAGTCTGTGTCCGTGCAGTTACTTCCCCATTCCTACACAACCAGTCCTCAGCTTCTCGATCTACCTTCACTCAGCTGGAAACTCCCCTGATGGTGGGAGGTGCGGAGTGCCCTCCCTACCTGCTCCCCCTTCAGCAGCGGAGCTGTTTGTGCTCAGGAGTTTCCATAGACTCGTGTACCTTTGGTTTGACGTTAATGTCACCTCAGTGTCAGGGGTTATGGAGCGGAAACCACCAGGAAGGCCTGATAAAGCGGAAACTCTTTCCCCGAGCTGGAAGAAACGCCATCAGCTGGCTGGAAAACTGAGGAAACTATTCGGAAAGGTGACATATGAAAACATCCTCTTGCTAAGGGATCCTTCCTCTATATACTGCGAGTCTGCTTCCTGAGGAGGGCTTCTGACCTCAGCACGCAGCGTGGGTGCTGCCAGTCCCGTCCCACATCTGTCCCCTGATGCCCAGCTCCTCAGCAAGGCCCTTGTTAGTGCTTTGATGTGGGTCGGGGGTCTGGGCACCCCTCGGGTGTCCCCTTCTCCTTCTGGTGGGGCTGTGCCACCTCTCTTCCATCCTCCAGTTCTGTTGCTCTGATGTGTTTCATTGCACATGGCTTTCTCCTCCCCAGTTTCTCCCTGAGAGCTAAAGTCTCTACTTTTTTGCATTATTGCTGAATATTCAGCAAAAACCTAACCCTCGGCACTGCGAGAGAGAGGAACACCTGCAGCAGGAACTGGAGAAGCTCGAGTTATGGGAGCCCTTTCGAAGGGAGAAGAGCGGGAGTGAATTGAGGTCGTTTTTCTTCCTTCCTTTTGCTGAAGAAAGGTTCCTGTTCTGTCCCACTTCTTATTTGCCATCAGCGCTTGTTCCCCTTTGAGAATGGGACGGAGGACAAAGGTACCTTAATCTTGTTGCTGTCATCCCATCTCGTGCAGGCTGTGGTTTAGACTTTTGATGTGGAATAGTGGGAGCAGTCCTGATACGGAACAATGCTCATACAGCAGGGACTGCTTTGGGCTCTAACTCCCTATCAGCTGAGAGCACCACGTTTCCTTAGCGTGCTGCTAGTCTGAGGCTCGTGGTTCGGTTCTGTCATCCAGGTGTCAACGCCAGGGCAGGAGAAATGCCCGGTAATTCACAAAATAACAGCTGGGTAGGGGCATTTGCTTGTCCAGCTTCTCTCCGTGTTCTTGTGGAAGCTGACCTGTACGTTGAGGTGATGCTGACCTGTGCTGGGGCTGGTTGGTCAAATTCAGGGACAGCATCTCTTTCTGGGCAGGGTAGGTGAGACACAGCTGACTTATTGCCAAAGTTCTGAGTAAAAGAAGCTGTAATTTTTTTTTTCTTTTGGGAAATCACTGTATTCCTAGAGCAGAAGAGCAAAACTACTCCTCATTGTGTTTGTGCTCTAGAGGCATCCATTCCCTCTTTGAATTTGCCTCTAATCTTTAACTTTAGCACCTTTCCTATTTATTTTCTCTTTGTTCAAGAAAGTTTGGAGAGCTGATAACTGAATCTCTGCAGACATTTCTCTTCCTCCTGCCTGCCAAACGTACCAGTAGCTACTTAAACCCTGGAGATGCTGAGGAAGCTTTGCTGCAGGGGATGCCCAGCGCAGCAGCTGATCTGTGGCAGTAGGGCACTCACATGGCCCTGTGGCTCTCTGTTCCCAGCTTGCGGTGCTGCAAGGCCCCGTCCTGTGCTTCAGGACAGTGTCACTTTCCCCTGTAACAACATCCTTTCATCTCCCGGTTCGCATGCTCCGCTGCACTCCGGGATGGCCGGGCACAAAGAGTGCCTTATTATGTTTGTGTGTGTGTGATTCTGTTTTTTCCACATCGGTGACCTAGTGCCTTCCATGTCCTTGGTTATGCAACTGCTGCAGGCTGGTTAACGCTGTCCTGGCCAGCACCACTGCTCTTTTCCTCCCTTGCACGGGGCTGATGTCCCGCAGAGCGTTCACCTGGCTGGGGATGAGGAAGGCAACCTCCCACCCCCAGCTCTAAGGGGTCTCTGCACCCCATCTCTGCGTGTGTGGCTTGTGTTTCTGCCCGAACTCACAGCGGTGCTGTCCTCCTCTGCTCTGGGTGACACTGTATATCCCCTTATTGAAGTGTTTTTTTTCGTTTCTTTGTTCTCTCCCCTTCCCCTCCATTGTTTTCCTGGCTACAGCTGGGCTTCGCTGACCTAAATCTGGCAGAATTTGCGGGCTCTGGATCCACTGTCCGTTGCTGCTTGCTGGAAGGATACGACACCAAGAACACGCGGCAGGACAACTCCATCCTAAAGGTACGGCAGCTCGTTCTGCCACAGTGGAAATCCTACTATTGAGTAAAAAAAGATCACAGCCAGAGTGCAGCGCTGAACCTCAGAGATCCTGTTCTGTACGGAGAGGGTTCTGCTTTTAGGCTGCTGTCTGAGCAGGGACATTTGCTGTTATCACAGCTGCCCTTTGATGTCTTGGCATCCGTTTGGCCAAGCGATAACCCTCGATAACATTTTTTTATCATCAGAGAAAGCATGAGCTTGGGGGGGGGAAAAAGTCTGAAGTGCACTGTCGGGGTTGCCAGGCTGGTCCTGCTGAGCCCCTACAGCTCGGAGCCACTGATGTCTGCTTGGGGAAGGGAGGGGATGACTGGCTAAATCCCTGGAGCTGATCTCCTTTCGGGAGGAACTGGGTCTCATTAATCTTTACGCCTAGCCCTTGACCTCCTGGCTGCTAAGTGAGGAGCTCACTGCAGGATGGCTAACTGTGGGCCTTGTTCCCTCTCTGCAGGTCACCATCGGGATGTCCTTGCTCTCGGGGGACCCCTGCTTCAAAACGTGAGTTTCTGGGTACTCCTTCTGTTCTGGGGGGACTGGGGCTCAGACTCTGGTGCTTTTGCAGTCTTCTGTTGGAGACTGAAATTGCTGGGGAGGAGGAAAAGACATCCTTGAGATAAGGAAGCATAGGGGAAAGCTCGAAAATGATGGTCTAGGCTGTTGGATCAGCTGGTGTGGTATAGCATGACTGCTTTTGGTTGGTTTGTTCTCTGCTGTTGTTTCCCAGTTTAAAAAATAACAAAAAAAAATCAGCTATAGGGTGGGGAAATTCTGAATTTCGGGGCCAGTGGTAACGTTGACTGGTGATAGGAGATGTGAAGGGTGACCTGCGAGAGCTGCTGAAGCATGTGGCAGTTTTCACTCCTGCTCTGTGAGATGGGATGGCAGGGGGAGTATTTTCAAATTTCCCATTTAAACTCAAACCTGATTTTCCAAATCTGTTGTATTCTTCTGAAGGACTGGGGTCATCTCTCTTTTCCCTTCTGGGGGAAGAAACAGTCTTCTTGTGCGTGGTGTTTTTTTTTTTTCCTCCTAGTGTCACTGAGTTTTGGAAACTAACAGACGTTGATAATGAACTTTGTGTTTTACACGAGGGACAGTTTCTCATAGCTCTGGGGTTGGTTTCGGTGACCTCCAAGAAGGGAAAGGTCAATGAAGAAAACAGTCTTGGAAATCACCATGTTTCAGCACATAGCACTCAAAATAAAGACGCTGAATTGAAATAGCAACAAAAACAACGCGAGGCTGGAGAATTTTAATTCTCCTTTTCTTCTGCAGGAACCTAGGACCATAATTTGTATTGATTAGTAGAGAAACTGCAGTCATACACATCTTTTATTTTTTTAAATCCATTGTAGCAAGGAAGAACAAATGCAGCAGAGCCGGAGAGCAGTCCTGTTGCTTTGCTAATTGTTGGGGAATCAATTAACAAATACAGCAGTGACGTGTACCCGTACCCTGCAGTGATCCCAGCCGGTGTGCAGCAAGGTGTGTAAGTGCTGCAGGACTGCCCTGGGCTGGTGGAATATTTCCTGGAATATTTCCTGCTGACTCCCAGCAGTGTGGGAGAAGAAAGCTTTACCTTAAGGTCACCTCTCGTAGCAGCGACATTTTGGGCTAAATGGTCTAATTTTAGGAGCTGGCTTCGAGTACATCAATGAGCTTGCGTTGTTATAAAAAGCTGCCTAATTTGTATGTTGTGAATGCCTTTTCACAGTGCAGCAATATTTGTGAGCCTTTCAAACAGTAAATGCAGTGCCATCAGATTCAGAAAAAAAATCTGCTTCAGAATTAAACTCTGAGCATCTTCAGTCCTAACCTTGTAATGGTAACAGATGCTTTAACAGATGTTTCCAGCCTAGGTTACTAGGATTAATTTCAATGACAAACTGAAGGGATGGCTGACAACATTTGACAAAAATACCTGTTGCTTTTTCATTGTGGAATCAAACCCCACTGTTAGTACCTGGAAATTATACAGCATGGAGCGTAAATATCCCTGTAATGTAAGTGGGGTCAGGGAAAGTCAAACCTCCGCGTTTTCTTGCAGGATTTTTGCAGTCGTCCCCATTTTTTCTTTATATGGTGATGATGTGCAAATGTCTAAAAATGGAAACTTTGCATGTAGAATAGTCCTTGATCAGGGGAGCTGTTGAGAAATGACACTCATTAGAGGGTTAGGCAGGAACTGTGCTGGGAAGTCACTCCTGAATGTGCTCGCCGAGCACTCGCTTTCTGCAGCACCCGGAGGAACCTTCCCCTCCTGGGTGTCGTGCAGGAGGGGAGAGCAGGCTGCTCGCCCGACCCGACAGCTGCTGCAGCAGCAGTGGGCTTGATCGAGGCAGCAGGGGCCTTATTAGCCTGGGAAACAAGGTCCCCAAAGTACCTGGCTGTGTGTAAATCACCACTAACACGGTTGGGGAGGTGCTCTAGTTCCTTGGTGGTTGCTCCTCTCTGCCTCAGGAGGGTGTGCTGGGGGTCTCCTGTGACCTTTGTAGCTGTCTGGCTGCTGTAAGAAATGGTTTTAGCTTTTTATTCTTTCTCCCAAGCTATTTGATGGTCCCCTTGTGTAGCATCTTCCCTCGCTCACCTCAGAGCTCCAAGTGAGACGAATAAAAGTTTGGCTTTCTCGCTCCTCACTTAAAAAGCGTGGTACAAGCCATTAGTTACAGCTCGGCCTTCAGGCTAGAGGGAAGTTAGGGCTCCAGCAGGAATATTAACTTTGCCACGCTGCACATGCCGTGGCTTTGACCCAAAAACCCTTCTGCAGGAAGGGAGGGGGCTCAGGCGCTTGCAGTTCTGTCCTGGAGTCAGCATTTACAGAGGGATGCCGGGAGCACGCAGAACAACCAGAAAAACGATTCTGACAGCTGGAAAAATACTTTAGTCTCACTGAAAAGTAGTTTGATCATCAGTTAAAAAATGGAAAGGTCACTCGATGGTTGTAAAAAGCTCTCGTAGGGGTGCTGGGATAAAAGGCTTCTCCCTGACCCGGGTCAGAGAGGTGTAGCAGGATGGCGCTGGGATTTCGAGCTGGCTGAAAACAAGCTGGTTCCTGTTTGTGAGGCCGGCTGGCTGCTGGAACACGTGTTGGGGGAAAAGGGCAGCTCTGGATAATTTCCTGGAGGAGAGTGCGGTTGTCCTGTACGAATGACTGAGTGGTCGCTTTCTGCCTTAGTTTACCTCAACCTTGCTTTTCCTTGTCATCAGCAGTTTGTAAAGTGCCAGCTCTGCAGTCCGGATGTGTTATGGATTAGGGAAGACCCAAGTTTTAGGGGAGGGAGCAAATGGCACGCTGTGCTGTAGCCTGGGGGGCTGTCAGCCCTTCCTCGGGGAGCTGGGGAGGCCTCGTGGCACAGTGAGAGCCCCCCGTGGGATGGGACGAGCCCCGATCCCTGCCCTGCACTTCCTAACACTCTTCTCTTCCGATCGCAGGCCGCCTTCCACAGCAAAATCCATCACCATCCCGGGGCAGGACTCCACCCTGCAGCTCACCTGCAAGGGCGAGGGAACCACAAGCAGCACCAGCACTTCAGCCCCAATTGGCTCTCTGCGCCAGAGCAAGCCGCGAGCGACCATCCTCAGCTCGGGTAGGAATGCCCATCCCCGAGCCACGCAGCGCCCGGGGCTGCCTGCACACTCCCTTCTTTTTCCCACCAATTACAAGCACAGATTTTTAAAAAACGTTTCATGATTTCCCAAACCAATCCTCAGCTCTTTACTCGTTTAAGAAAATTAAGAAAAACAAAGTTAGCTGTTAGGAGGAAGCACCAATCTTTGCCGCATGCCTCCTTGTGTTGGTGGAGATAAAGCAATTAGTTCTTTTTGCTGTGGATTTAATAATTCATGTGTCGCCCTCATCCCTGCCTTCCATTGTGTTCGGTGCCACTTAACATTGTTCTCCACTCAGCTATTTTGGTGCTCGAGCTTATCTTCTCGAAAAGTTTCTCTGAAGGTTTCAGAGGCTGGTTTAAGGTCTGATGGCCTTGTTCCAGCTGCTGATGTGGAGTTCTTTGGCTTCTGTGCGAGCCCATTTTCAAGGACACCGCATTCTCCCGTTGCCTTTTTTCCTTCCCCGCACACTCCCAGCGTGTAGGCAGGCACACTGCACCAAAATAGCACTGTCACATCGCCTCACGCTTAGCACGGTGTGCAAGTGCTGCTCTTAAAAGGCTGGCAAATGTTACACCGGGGCACTTTTGGATCAACTTGCTGCAAGAGAGGCAAGATGGGGCAAGGGCAAAGAAGCAGAGGTTATCCTGAGGTTTCAGTGCCAAGTTCGGGTGTGATTTAAATGCTAAATGGCATGGACTCTGACAAGTAATAGCAGGAGAAAAGTAATAACAGGAGGAGTGCCCAAATGGAGTTTATAATGCTTTACTGATAGTGGCTGTTCGTAGTTAAAGGTACTAAACTTCAGACACTAACTGTCCTTCTGGGCCCTTCAGGGCCCTAGAGATGCCTGTTAATTCAGGCACTGGGTGGTAGAATTAGCGATCAGAGCTTGACAGAGAACCTTTTTGTTGTCTTCCCTATTTCCAAGGTGCTTGTAGGCGCTGTGCTGGCCTGTACAACAGGCTTTGCCAGCAGACTTGCACTTTCCTTAATCTGGTGTCCCAGGATCAGTCCTAAGCAGCAGGCAAGATGCTGGCTTGGTTGTGGTGTAACCAGTGCCTTGTTTCCCAGCAGGTGTCCCAGAAGAACCCGACCAGAATCTGTCCAGCCCCGAGGAAGTCTTCCACTCGGGGCACTCGCGGAACTCCAGCTACGCCAGCCAGCAGTCCAAGATCTCTGGTAACTGTTGCTCTGTGTGGTTCTGCCAGCAGCGGCCCCATCCCTTTCTCTTTCCTGCTGCGAGCTCTTGTGAGAGCAATTTGCAGCCATCTCTCTTACCCAGCCCTGTAATAGCAGAGTTTCCTGTTTAGTCTCTACAGATGAGTTCACTGATGCGTGCATAAACCTCAGTATCTGGGAACAGAACCGCTGCTCTGAGGCTGCCCTGCCTGTTAGCTGAGCTGCCAGGAAGGAGGTAAAATGTGGTTTGTAACCGCTCTGCCTTTGCAGGTTACAGCACGGAGCACTCCCGTTCCTCCAGCATGTCGGACCTGACCCACCGCCGCAATACCTCCACCAGCAGCAGCGCGTCCGGAGGGCTCAGCATGACGGTGGAGTGCCCCGAGGGAGAGCGCGACCACAAGCTAGAGAAGCCTCCCCGGCCCCCCAGACCAGCTCTTCTGCTGGACAGACCCTCTCGGTAGGTAACTGGTGCAAAGGCCCTTTGGGAAGGAGAGACAGAACCTACTCCTTGGTCTTCAAGCAGCAGTAAAGTGGAAGTAGTCACTGGGAGGCAGGCTGTTGCTCAAAGAAGCAAGAGAGCATCTGAAAGTCTGTCTTGAAAGGCTGAGTAAGTTTTCCTTTTATTTTTTCTCCCCAGGAGGAAAAAGGATTCGGTGGAGAGTCATCCAACCCGAGTGGATGACACGAGGATCGATGCGGACGATATAGTGGAGAAGATAATGCAGAGTCAGGACTTCACAGATGTCAGCAATACTGAAGGTGAGAGGATGATCCTCACAGGGGAGGTCTTGGCTTTTCCTTTAGCAAGGCTGCCAAGCTTTTACAGAGCCACATCTGATCTGTTGTAGGCTCCCTTCCCCACTTGACAGTATTTTCTTTCAGTGCTTGCTAGGTGTTTCTGTGGTAGATAAAGAAACCATGTGGATTTGAGTGCTGCGGTTTTTGCAAACGGTCAAGCCTAGAAATCGGTTTAGCCTAGAAATCAATCTCATATCCTTTATCTAGTGTGTTTTTTCAGAAAGTTTTAAACCTGAGCTTAACTTCTTGTTAGTACTTCTACAGATTACTGTTAGTCACCTTAAATCACTGGATTTGATATTAAATCACATGGGGATCTCCACCTCACTCAGCATGGGTTTAAACTAGGCTGAGTACAGCCACCTCTTGCCAGCAGAACAGGCTGAATTTCTTTTCCAGTGATGAGCCTACAAAAAGCAGCATGGGAGCCCCACAGTTTACCTGTTTAGATGTGTTAAAGCTGACCCAAAAACTTACATCAGTGGAATTGCCTTGAAAGAAGCAGCCGGAGGAATGTCATCGCATTCATTTCCCTGCTTTTACTCTTCCAAAACTCAGTGTTGTGCTTGATTTGTACGTGAGGCTCCCTTTTAAAGCAAGAAGAGTTCCCGAGGGCCCTATTACTATGGGAACACCAGAAAGCGTGCGTATGGATTCACAGAAATACACTTGTTCCTGTGCTGAACATTGTGTAACGCACCTGGGAGAGGGGCACCTGGCAACCAGCAGGAGCTCTGGATTTTGATACCTGCTTCCTTTTCTGTCTGCAGATAGCAACCTGAGGTTGTTTGTGAGCAGAGACGGAACGACGACACTGAGCGGTATTCAGCTGGGAAACAGGTAGGTTTCCTGCAAGCCTGCAGACAGCGAGGCTCCAGAGAGATTAGTTGGCTGTTTGTACCCAGGAAACTTTCACCTTTGTTACGGGAGAGATTTCTGAACATCACGTGCTGCCCGGTGGCTTTATTCCCACATTAACGCCCCCAGGTGTCATGCTGACAGGCTGCAGCTGCGCTGGAGTGCAAGTGAATTGTCAGTAGAAGCTCATAGGGATAATTTGATCCCGGTTGCTAGATCCAAGAGCAGAAGTAAGCGAGGAGTAAAAGGACAAAATGGTAGAGGTTGGTTCCTGTTTGCTTCCGCACCCGACCGAAGGCAGGGAGCTTTGCCTCCTGCTGGACTACAGCAAAACTGCAGCAGCTTGTTCCATTGTCCCTTCTCCCTGCCCCCTCCGTCTGTGTCAAGGGCTTTTTCTCTTGTGAAAGACTTCTGGACAAATAAAACTTTGTCTCGCTGCAATAGCCCTTAACGTCGTGCATTGACTGGCTGCGTTTGCCAAGCTTTGTAGCACCTTTGTAGGAAGAAAAGCAGTAATGGTGAACACAGAGATGCGTCAGGTCGGTGGTAAAATTGGAAGCAGAGCCAGGAACGCTGGCTCTCTGAACAGTGTGCTCCCTCCCCAGCCCTTTCCTCTGCCTTCTAGAAGGATTTATGTGCTACACCCAGCTCTTTCAAGTGCTCTAGTGTTAGCTTGCCACGTAGCTGTCTGTTTTGTGTTATGTGCGTTGACGTCCCGCCAGCCTGACTCGTTATTTTCAGTATTTTGTGTGAGGTTAGAGGGCGATGTTCATGAGCTGAGAGCTCTGAATAGAGGCTTGTTTGCTCTGAGCGACCGAGGAAAATAACCTGGCTTTCTCCTCCTCTTCCCCTCTGCCTCCTCAGGGTCTCATCTGGAGTTTACGAGCCAGTGGTGATTGAAACCCACTAAATGTGAAGAACAGGGTAGAGCTGCTGGAAACAGGCCCCCTACCCGGTCCGCTGCCACATGGATGCCAACCTTTACCTCTCTTCATGCAGCATTCCAGAAGGGATTTTCTCCACGCCCCTCCCCGTACGTTTGCACTGCAGAACCACTCCGAGACCACTCCAGACCGTGCACTTTCCCTGTCGGCAGTACCCTCCTCGCTTCCCAGTTCTTCCAGTGCCTGCCCTCCCCTGTTCCCGAGCAGACACCAGGTGTCTGTTGGACGTATCCTTAGTCCTAGAGGACGTTGTTCTTCTGCACCCCTCGTTCCACCCATCCATTCGCAACAGGGGGCGTCTCAGCTTTTGTCTCCCCAAAACGTTGGGTTATACCACTGTGAACTCTTCAAACCACTGGGGGAGGGGGAAACCATTGCAACCAAACCAAGAGCTGCTTGTTGGTGACACGGTGGAAGGGCCGCTTGCAGGGTGCTTCGTGCATCGGCTCCGCACGGGAGCGTCACCTTCCAAGGCAACAGTTTTACTGACCGAGGGGTGCTGTGGTGTGCACTTCACCTGGCTGCCCTCACATCCCCAGACAGCTTCTCATAGGAAATATCTCCCGAAAGTGCATTTCAGAAAATTACTGCGGTCCAGATGGGAGCTGATTAAATGGTTAAATGCTTGTTATACCACTAACTGCATCGTGCCCTTCCACTGCTGGGCATGGAAGGGCAGTGCTCACCTATTAGCATTACCAGGAGCACTTTACAGGTTCCAGATTTTACCTGGAGGAGGCTTAGACTGGCTTTTCCAGGGTTGTGATCCACATTTGCTGGACTGATTCAGCAAATAGTTACTGTTGGAGCTTGGAATTCAAAGCCTCTTTTTTTTTTTTTTGTTTTGGCTCGGGAAGGGAGCTGCCCTTCTTGGACTGTGAAAAGATTCTCGTTATCTGACGGCCTCCCCGGGCCGTGCAGTTACCCGCAGTGGTCTCTCTGGTGGTGGTGGTAACAATTGCCTCTCTGGGCCTGGGCCAGTATGGGAGCTGGTGTTGGGTGGCCTCTCTTGACCTGTCAGCAGGGATCTGCGCCTGAGCTGGTTCCTTTAGGGGCTGGGGAGCAGTAGGGCAAGGTGAAGCCCCCGTCTGTGCCCTCAGAGGTAGGACGGATGTTTCCTGCCACGTTAGCCACAGCAGCCGGTCCTACCTGCTCCGTGGTGAGCCAGCTCTGACAAGGCTTCAAACTCTTTTTCTGCTTGCTCCTTCAATTGTTCCTCTTTGGGATTTCTCTGCAGTTGCCTGACACTCGAGCTGCCTCCTTGGCAGAGACGGCAGGCCCTTCCAGCTCCCCCTGACAGATCCTCCGGGCAGCTGCGTTGCAGACGGGGCTCTCTGCAGACTCAGCCCTTCCTGTACAGAGACTCTTGGCCTGTAAGCTATTTCTGTGTAGTGCCCTTCCCTCTTTTTGCCGGTGTACTGTAGTAGCACTCAGCAGCCATGCACTTTGAGCAAGGGCGCGCTCCTGGCCCTGCTGGGAGCGTGCCCTCCTCTGACACACGGTGTGCGTGCACACACACGGGCACACACCTGCCCCGCTCAGCAAGGAAAGACTTGTGACTGATCACCTTGTTGTTCAAACTTAGCTATTGTAAAGCCTTCTTAAAAAGAAAAAGAAAAAAAAAAAGGATTAATAGTGGTCTCTGCGGCCAGAATGCATGCGGATGAGCTACTGGAAAAGGGAATTTGGCAGAACGAGAGATGAGGAATGAAAGGGCCTTGATTTTAATTTTTCTTGTTTTTTTTTTTTTTGCCCTGCTAACTAAGGATGGCTGCATGGGGAGGGTGTTAGGCAGTGTGGCAAAGCTATACAGCTGCTTGCTCTGTTTTGATGGTTCCTGTCCTCAAGTCAAGAGGTTTCTTTCTGTGTTTGGACAGACCGCACTAGGACAGGGATCTTTCTCACCCCTTTTGCTACAAAGGGAGTTAAAATTTGGGTTACGGTTCAAAGGGTTACAGACACCACTTTGGTTTGGTTTATTGTAGGGAAAAGGTATTGATCTTTTGAGTCTGTCTGAAACAAAAGCTCTTTCATGCTTTTGGTGTTTTCAACTGTGATCTCTCCTCCGCTCAGTCTGGGGAGGTTTGGCACTCGCTCGCAGGCTGGGGAGCTTCCTGCTCTGGGTGAGAGGTGCCCTGTGCCGGGGGTGCTCGCAGGACAGGGAGAGCTGCTGCTTGCTTTTTTTCACTCCCTGGGGTGCTGCCAGAAAGCCCGGCCTGGTCTGACCTTCTGTTCAGGTCAGTGCGAGGGCAGAAGCGCACCAGACAGCACCGGGTGTCCTTGCTGTGCCCTCGGGTGGCTGTAGCAGGGGCTGGGGGTCAGGCTGCTCCCCGGCACAGCACCTGCTGGAAATGGGGTCCAGTGTTGCAACCAGGACTTGAAAGGGGCAGAAATAAGCTAGGAAAGAGGCCAACCCAGCTCAGTTCTGCTGCTTTGCTTCTATTCCCATGAAAAACAATGGTGGTTGCCGTCAGAGCAACTGGGAGCCAAGGGCTTTCTCCTGGGCTCCAGTTGGCACGAGTCTGTCGCTCCGAGGTGCTGGCAGCCAGGCGTTGTGAATCTCCTCTTCCAGCAAAGCAAGGGCAGCAGCAGCTGAGCTTTCCAGCGAGCTGCTCTCACCTCCCCAGCCTGGCAGAGCTGTAACCTGCTCCGTCGCGTCGCTGTGGCCATCTCTGGCTTCTCTTCCAGCTGCTCGGCACATCACTGCTCGGGTTCTTGGTAACGGTGTCTCGTTGGGTGTCTGTCTCTTGTCTCTGCATCAGTATCGACTCCACAGATCCCGGTCATTTTATTTTCTAGCTCTCCCACCCCTCATTTTCAGTAAGAAGGCAGCCCTAGTCGTTCAGCCTAGTGCGGCACAGCCAGGGCTGGAGGGCCCTGTGGAGGGAGGGAGGCAGGAGCAGCCTGCTTCTAGCCCTAGACCTCGATTTGAGTTCCCTGTTGGCATCGCTGCCGTCTGTTCCCTGGTGGGCTTTGAACATTGAAGAAGTGAATCAGTTTCCAGACCCAAACCGCTGGCTAGTTTCTTTGTTTTTTTGTCTTGAAGTTTATTGATTTTTTTTTTTTTTTTTATAAACCCAGCAGGCTGGTGTTTGTTTTTCTCTTTTTTTTTTTTTGACTGCGTTATTGTTTCATTGATATTTTATTCCTGGGGGGGCTGAGGGGGGACGACTTTCTTCCCTACATTGTTCCCTTTCTCAGGGGGATTCAGAGGTGACTGAAGCGAGTAAAAGGACCTTATTGGCAAGCCCCTGCATCCCCTGGCTCTCGGGTGCTGGTGAGCAGGGCTGCGCACGCCCGGCTGGCCCTGGAGAGCAGAGCTGGCTCTCTGCTCCCTGCTCAGGGCCAGGCAAAAGCTGTGGGCCCTGCTCTCAGTCTCCGGACCCCTGCTTGGTGGAAGCCCGTTGCAAAAGGCATGGGAAATTTCAATGTAATTTTTTTTACTAACTTTTTTTTTTAAAAAAAAAACGGTATAAGTGGAGTGAATGCCCGGGATGGTAGGCTTAGTTGTGACTTGCTGAAGGAGGTGGGTTTCAATCGGAAATCGTGGTGGAAAAAGGGGGGAGAAGGATGTTGCCCCTCTGTCCCTATTTTTTTGGTATGGTTGGCACTTTAAATGGGGGGCTTTGTGCTGTCCTCACCCTCGGCGTGATGGGCAGTGGGTGGTGATCTCTTCCCCCCCCCGTATTGCCAAATCCCTTTGCCCCCTGCAGAAAGCTAAGCCCTTTTGAGTGTTTGCTTCAGGTTTTTAGAGGGTTCTGAACTGGGCCGAGACCCGAAGAAACGTCTTTCATTCGAATCTTAATAGGAGGGGGGTGACTTTTTTTTTTAATTTATTTTGTCGTTGCTGTTGTTTTTTTTCTTTTTAAACTGGTGGCTGTGCAGCTGGACTCTGCACGCGCTGTTGTGAACCTCTGGGAAAACCTCACTCCAGGTACGCTAGAGCACCTAGGTGAAATGCCCCTCCTGGAGAGGGGCCCCGTCCTGTCCCCCCCCCCTCGCTGCCTTACCTGGGGGCTGCCGAGCCCCCCTCTGCCCCCCTGCCCTGCCCTGACCCCCCCAGCCTAGGCTCTAGCTGAACGAATTGACGCTCTGGTGACTTAGCCCTGTGGACAAGGCAAGTCCCCAGGGGCGAGTTGCTGCAGACACTGCCTGGTAGCACGTGTTTGCGCTGAAAAGCCACTTCCTCGCTTGGGGGGGCTCCCAAATGAGCTCCCCCCCTTCCCTCTCGAGCGCCGCGTCGTCCATCAGCCCACCCGCGCCGTCCCGACCCCATCCGTGGCTGTCCGGGAGGGAGGGAGCTGGAAACCTGGGAAAAAAGAGAAAGGAATTGGGGTGAAGCTTGGAGCTAGAGGTGTGGCTGAGCCTCCGAACTGGCCTCGACTGTAAGGAATAATGGGAGAGCCCGTATTTTTGTGGGGGGAGGGAGGGGAAGGGGAGATTATGTTTTATTTTCGTGAAAGCCAATTGAGCTCGGTGATCTTCGGATGAGGCGCGCACTTGATTTATATCAGATTCTATAGAGAGATCGCTGATATTTTTGGAAAGGGAATGGGTCTATGCAAACTTCCAAAATTGCTTGAAAGATAGTTTAACATTTTTTTACTTTGAAAATCTAAAGATAAATCTCTAACTTTTTTTCTTAAAGCAGAAGTGCGTTTAGAAAGAGAAGCTACTTCCACTGCTCTATTTTGATGATGATTCTTGGAAAGTTTGAGCTGGAGGGAATGACTATTTTTCACCATTTTTATCTCGCTCCTCTAGTTTTTTGTTTCTTTTTCTAACGGAATGCTGTGCCGTCTTTGATTCAACAGATCGTGTTTGTATTTTCTGTATCTGGTTCCTAACGTAGAGAAATAACAAATATATGAGGAAATCAATATAATGTCAAATGTTGTTATGGTTTGGGGGAAAAATAAAGGTTTTTGGTACTTCACAATGATTCTTCTGGCTTCGTGTTTTTGTCCTAGACAGACGTTTGCTTCAGAAGTACTGGCTGAGGAAGCGAAAAGGTCAGACAGTGCCTGCTGGCAGGCAGAGCTTGGCAGCCAGCAGGGCACCGGGTCCCTGCCAGCCCTCCCGGGGGCAGGAGAGGGGCTGGAGCAGGGCAGGCGCCGCAGCACGTGGCCAGTAGAAGCAGGAGCCCGAAATCCAGGGGGAAGGTGACCTGGCACCACCGCCAGCCCCTGGCACAGCCTCGTGGTCCCGAACACCGCGTCCCTGCCAGGGCTGCGCTCAGCGGCCGCATCCTGCCCCGCTGTGGGGACGCTGCCACAGCCGAAGCGTGGCTCCAGCAGCACCTGGGGAGCAGGGCAGCCTCTCCTCTTCCTCCGTGAGCTGGATTCACCTTCCCCAGCCTCCCAAAGCTGTAACATCCGCACCTTTCAGTCCCAGCCCCTCCCCGCCTCCCCTTCCTCTGAGGCTCCCCGCATCCCTGGGCTCTTTGGGCTCCCTTTTCCTTCTCCAGCTGCCTTGTGAGTGAACCGGCTGCGAGGCAGGATGTTAGATCTGCCTGCTGGAGCTGTTGGAGCGCGCTGCTCTCAAGATGAGTCACTTCCCTCGGAACTGAGCAGCAGGTGGCTGTGGGAATGGAAACCTGCTGCTGCAGGAGAGGGGGAAACCGATGCTGCAGGAGCTGCAAGCCTTCCACCAAGGGATTTGCTCCCAGCACTGGGGGTTTTTCTCCACCATAATTTAGCACTCAACTACAGGGTCACAGGAGCACCAGGCCTAGGCTTAGTGATTCTGTGATTCTAAGGTTGGAAAAGCCCTCCAAGATCACCTGGTCCTACCACCACTGTCACCTCCAAACCCTGTCCCCAAGCACCACGTCCAACCTCTCCCTGAACACCCCCAGGGACGGTGACTCCCCCACCTCCCTGTGCAACCCATCCCAGTGCCTGACTGCTCTTTCTAAGCAGAAATGTCTCTTCATTTCCAACCTGAACCTCCCCGGCACAGCTTGAGGCCATTCCCTCTGGTCCTACCACAGTTACCTGAGAGCAGAGGCCGACCCCAGCTCCCCACCCCTTCCTTTCAGGCAGTTGGAGGGAGCAATGAGCTCTGCCCCAAGCCTCTTACAGCGCAAACCCCCCCAGTTCACAGGACTTCTGTTCCAGACCCCTCACCAGCTTCGCAGCCCTGCTGTGGGCACGCTCCAGGGCTTGGCGGGTTCCCTTTACAAGAGCTGGGGGCTGTAGGGCTCCAGGCACAGGCAGCTGGGGCAAAGAGGGATGTGAGGGTAGAGGTGAGATATGGGGGTAGGGGTGAGATAGGAGGTTACAGGTGGGATGTGAGGGTATGGGGTGAGATGGGAGGGTATGGAGTTAGGGGTGAGGGCACAGGTGAGGTGTGAAGGTATGGGGTGTGATATGAGGGTACAGGTGAGATATGAAGGTTCGGGCAGGTGAGATGTGTGGGTGTCATGTGAGGGTATGGGGTTAGGGGTGAGGGTACAGGGTGAGATATGAGGGTTCAAGCAGGTGAGTTGAGAGGGTACAGGTTTGATATGAGGGTACAGGTGAGGTGTGAGGGTTCAGGCAGGTGAGATGTAAGGGTACAGGTGAGATGTGAGGGAATGGGGCTAGGGGTGAGGGCTCAGGTGAGGTGTGAGGGTATGGGGTGTGATGTGAGGGTATGGGGTGAGACACGAGGGTTCAGGCAGGAGAGATGTGAGGGTACGGGTGTCATGTGAGGGTATGGGGTTAGGGCACAGGTGTGATATGAGGGTACAGGAGAGGTGTGAGGGTCCAGGTGAGATAGGGTACAGGTGAGATATGAAGGTATGGGGTTGGGTGTGAGGGTATGGGGTGTGATGTGAGGGTTCAGGCAGGTGAGATGTGAGGGCACGGGGTGAGCCATGAGGCTTCAGCTGAGGTGTGAGGCACTCGCCCCCCCCCCGCTGCCCCTCCGCCTCCCGCCACACTCCGGGCGGGGCCGCGCCTACATTTCCCACCACCCCCCGCGCCCCGCTTTCGGGCTCTCCCTCTCTGATTGGCCGCTTGGAGGCAGCGTGACCAGGGGGCGGCGCGCTGATTGGCGGGCAGCAACCCGGAAGGACGGCGCGGGCAGGGGGCGCCCGTCGCTATGGTGAGCGGGGCCTGGGCCTGGGCCTGAACCGGGGCCTGCGGGGCCGGGCCAGGGACTCAGGGCCCGGGGCCCCCCCTGACGCTCTCCCCCCCTCTCCGGTCTCCCTTCGCAGGCCACGGCGACGGATCGTGCGGTGGGCTTCGGCCTGGTCGCCTTCAGCCTGGCGCTGTTCGCCTACTACACGCTGTGGATCGTGGTGCTGGTACGGGGGGGGGCGGCGGGGAGGGCTCGGGGGGCGCCGGGGGAGGAGGCACCGTGAGGAGAAACCGCCCCGGGGGTGTGCCGGGTGTAGGAGCCACGCACGGGGCCGGGGGCATCGCCCCTGGGGTCGGGGCTGCCCCCCCACGGCTGCCCCAGGGTTGGTGGTGCGGGCCCCAGTGCCCCAAATTGCCCCAAAGTGCCCGAAAATGCAGCAGTGACCTCAGGGAACGAATCCCAGCAGGGTCTCAATAAAACAGGGTCAGTGCCGGCCATTCCCTTTGGGCAGTGCTGGGGGCTGGCTGTGCCCAGCCCCTGCTCGCCCCTCACCAGCCCTGCTGGAGCCCCCGGCCTCCCGTCCGTCCCCATGAGCTCTGCAGCTGCTGTGAGGGCTCCACCACGTAGGCCCGGCCGCTCTTTAATTAGCAACCCCCTCCAGCCGGGTGTTTCCGTCCTGCTTTTGAAACCAGCCGGCTGCAGGTGTGTGTGTGTGTGTCCTGCAGGTGGTGCCCCCCCGCTGACCGCCCCCTTTCTCTCTCTGCAGCCCTTCATCGACAGCGCCCACGCCATCCACCGCTTCTTCCTGCCCAGGGAGTACGCCGTTATCATCCCCGTGGTGGCCGGGCTGCTGCTGCTGCTATTTATAGGTGAGCGTTATTTCGGTTGCTCTAATTAAAGCCTTCTAAATGAGGAAGAGAGAAGGGGGTTACCAGGGGGGTGGCTAACGCACGGTGCCTGTGACGCGCTGCCCGTGGCTCCTGCAGCAGCTCCGTGTGGCAGGGACCCTGGCGGTGGGCTCTGTGCGTGCACACACGCGCGTGGCGCTGGCTCCTTGAGCCTCTGCACGTGGGTTTGTTTCTTGCTCTCTCTGCTAAGATTCCGTTCCTCACCGTGGCGTGTTTTAAAAGCGCCCCTAATTAGCAATACTCTGACCTAATTTGTTCTCTCCCGTGGCAGGTGTCTTTATAATGGTGGTGACGTGGAAGAGCAAGAAGCCCGCCAAGAAATCGGAGTGAGGGGCTGGCTGTGAGACATGAGGGGGAGGCCCCCGGCCAGAAAGGGGCTGCAGCACCGCACGGCCGCCTCCTCCACAGCTCGCTCACAGCCACAGCGCCGGGCTGGCCGCTCTCCCTCCCCACATTCCTTCCTGAGAAGCAGCAGCCTCCTGGAGTTTACGACTTACTGACCAAAAGGGAGCAAAACTGGCCGACGGGACTCGCCAGGAGAGGGCCCGGAGCTCTGGCTCTGAGGGTGCTGCTCCCAGCGGGGGCTACGTGCAGCCCCTGCGCTTCAGCTGGGCCATGCGGGAGCTGCCGGGGTGCAGCCAGCCCAGCCAGCCCCCTCAGGTGCTTGGTAGCCCTTCCTCTCTGCTCCTGCTGTGTCCACCAGTTTGTTCCCCTTTTTTTTTTCTTTCTAACTTTATATACTGTTTGTTTTTGTTTTTGTTTTTTTTTAATTGGATTCAAGACTGTGAATTAAGAAATCAGGATTTTGGGCTAGGAAGAGGCAGTCTCGTGTTCTTCCTTTGCCTGTTGGAAGGGCTCACGGTGCTGCTGTGGGCTCTGGTGTTTCAGAAGAGCCCCGTGGTGAGGCCAGGCTCACAGGGACAGTCCCCATCTCCTGCAGCATCCAGCTGAGGCCGTGGCCGTGCCCTGGCTCACAGAGGGAGCATTTGGCTGCACCTCTGTGGGGGGAACTGCATCCACCCACTAAAGGTGTCTGCAGGGTCTCCACCTTCATCCTCCTCCCGTGCTGCGTGTGGGGCTGCAGCTCCAGCCTCTTCTCCTGCCGCGGGGAGATGAATTTGGGCTCGGGGGGGTGGAGACAACAAGGGGAAAGCATCGGGCTGTGTGTGTTGGCAGCTCCGGGCTGGTGCTGCTCCTTCCCCGGGGCGCTGTTCCGCAGGGGCCCTGCCCCTTGGAAGGGGCTCTGGGGACACGGAACGTGCGCGCACGGTGCCGGGCGGTGCCCCCTGAACCACCCCTGCCTGGGTGGCCAGTGCTGGTGAGGGCTGGGGTGCCCCAGGGGTGTGGATCTGCCCCAAAATATCACCCCCACGTGGCCCCTGCCCTCCTGCAGACCCCATGCACTGCTCATACCGAATGTCCTCATCCTGCCACCCACAGGTCCCCCAGCTGCGGGCTCCTGTGGGGCTCTGATGGCAGGGAGCCGGCTGCTGGGACAGTGAGGGGACAGTGACGCTGCCAGGGGCCATGGTGAGCGGTCCCTGGGCTGGGGAGGGCAGCGGGGTGGGAGCACGGGGGGGCTGGGGGCTGTCAGGAGTGAGCTGGAAGGGGCTGGGTCCCCCTCACCCCACCCCACAGCCACCACGGGCACCCCGTTTCCCCCCCCAGGCTGCCGTGACAGGAGGGACCCCAGCGAGCCGCCCACGTGCCGGGGGGCTCCGCCTGTCCCCGTGGGCCCCCCAACAGCACAAATTCGGCCTCTTCGAGATCGGCCCCGAGCACCAATTCCACCTCCTCACCTGCCGCCTGCGCGTGGGGCTCCGCGCCGCCACCCAGGCTGCCATTGACCACCCGCCCGCGGTGAGCACCCCCCCTGCACCCACCGGGGGTCCCACACTTCCCCCCCTGGGGACCCACTCACCCCTGTGCGTCCCCCCCTAGGACGCCCCCTGCGACAGTGACTTCGCGGCAGTGCTGAGGCAGCCGCACGAGGTATGAGCTGTGGGGTTGCCCCCGCGCCCCCGTGGCCGTGCCGTGTCTCACCGCGTGCCACCTCAGGGCTTTGAGCTGCTCACCTACGCCGGGCCGGCCTTCGCCCGCCTGCGGCGCGCGCTGGGGCTGCCGGAGGAGCTGTACCAGGCGGCGCTGAGCTCGCGGTACTTCCAGTTCGTCAGCAACTCCAAGAGCAAAGCCCGCTTCTTCCTGACGTGAGCGGCGCCGGGGAATCCCCCTGCAGTGGGGTGCGGGGTGCTGCGGGTGCCCCCGGGGTTCCCGGCTGCCCCCGGTGCCCCCCAGGCACGTCTCGCCCACCCCAGGCAGGACAAACGCTTCTTCCTGAAGACGCAGACCAAGCAGGAGATGCGCCTCCTGCTCGCCAACCTGCCCCGCTACCTGCGGCACCTCGAGGCGTTCCCGCACTCACTGCTCGTCCGCCTGCTGGGTGAGGGCGGCTGGGGGGGAATTGGGGGGAGCTGGGGGGGATTTGGGGGTGCCCACGGCCTCACGGCGCTCGCCCCAGGTGCCCACAGCATCATCGTGCCCCGCCGGAGCAGGGCAGGTGCCCCCGCCGCAGCCCTGCCCTGTCCCCAGCGCTACTTCACCGTCACGCTGAGCGTCTTCTTCCCCGACGAGGGGATCCTCGAGAGGTGAGTCTGGGAAGGGCAGGGCTGGGGCGTCCGTCTGTCTGTCCTGCCGGGCCTGGGGTCTGTCTGCTGCGCGCTGCCCGTGTCTGTCTGTCCGTCCTGGGGGTGGCCGCGTCCTGTTGTCCCGGGGCGTGCGATGTCCGTCTGTCCTGGCAAAGCCAGGTCCTGTTTGGCGCCTGCCCTTGGTGCGTGGTGTCCGTGTGTCCTTGGTGCCCGGTGTCCGTCTGTCTGGGGCCAACCCCCCCTTCCCAGCCTGGCTGTGGGCACGGAGCCGCTGCCCCCCCCCCAGGTACGACATCAAGGGCTGCAGCGTGGACCGCTGGGCCGAGCCCGCGAGCGCCGTGGTGCTGAAGGACCTCAACTTCGAGGGCAAGTCCCTGGTGCTGGGTAAGGCGTGGGGGGCACGTGGGGGGGACACGGCGAGGCACGGGGGGGGGCTGAGGCTGCCCCACGTGCCGCAGGCTCCCAGCGGCCGTGGCTGCTGCGGCAGCTGGAGCTGGACAGCCGCTTCCTGGAGGAGCTGCGGGTGCTGGACTACAGCCTGCTGCTGGCCGTGCGGCCCCCGCTCCCCGACGGGCTCACGGCACGGTGAGTGCTGCCCGGCGAGGGGACCCCCTGCTTCGTTTTTTGGGGGGGCTGAGCCCCCTGCTTGCTTCCCCGCAGGTCCCCGGTGCCGTGCCACGTCCCGCAGGGCTCGGAGCTGAGCCAGAACCTGCCCGGAGGCAGCAACCCCCTGCACTGCATCGACGGGCCACAGCGGCGCTACTCGGTGGGGCTGGTGGATCTCTTCACCTCCTACACCTTCCGCCGGCGCCTTGAGCACCTCTGGAAGAGGATCCGCTACCGGGACGGGTCCTTCTCCACCGTGCCCCCCGCTGCCTACGCCCGGCGGCTGTGCCGGTGGATGGAAGCGCACAGCGAGTGATGGCCGCACTCGGGGCTCGCCTAAAAAACCCATTCCTGTGCCAGAAGCTGAGTGGAGATTTGTTATCTGGGATGTGGACGCCACCCCCTCGCCCGCCCAGAAGTGTCCCCAGAAATGCTGCCCTGTCCCTGCCCCGGGCTGAGCCTCGTGGGGCTCTGTGCCCACCTCGGGGCATTCGGCTCCCCGTGGGATAAGCGGGGAATGCCGGGCTGCAAAGGGCAGCAGCCCTAAAAATAACCCCGGGGAGCAGGCGGCGGCACCACGAGGTGGCCGTGCTCCAGCCCAGGCTGAAGGTCAGGGTGCTGGGTGTGCCCCGTGCAGCTCCAGGTGCCCTCAGCACCACGCTTTGTGCCTCAGTTTCCCCCCTCGCATCCTCCCTCGGGGAGCAGCAGGGTGTCCCCACCCCAGGGGGCTGTTTCTGGGTGCAGCCCCATGCCCTATTGAGCCCTTCCCCTTTCAGGACCCCCTCCCGTGGGCCGATGTCCCTGTGCAGGATCCGGCCCCACTCACGCCGTGCCCCCACCAGCACTCCCCAAATCGGCATGGGGTCTCACACCCCGCATCCAGCACAGCCCATGCGCCGTGGCAACACCCCATGTTCCCCTGCCAAGGTGCCGCAGGGCCACCCCCTGCCCTGTTGCCTGCATCCTGGGCACGAGAAGAAGGCGGAAACACGGTGGAGAAAAACCAAACCCTCCCCGTGGCGCTGCTGCTGCGAGGCTGGGCAGCCCAAACTGCGGCCCTGAGGGACGCAGCCACCTCCGAGCGAGCTGAAGGATTGAAGAAAATCCACGGCTGGCAATTTGGGAGCCATTTGTGCCTGGCGTGGGATGTCCAAGGGTAGGTGGGTGCTCCAGTCCATCACGGGAGGGCTGGTGGATGGGGTCCCCTGTGCAGACGTGGTGTCCCATGCCACCGTCGCTGCTTCTTCCATCCCTGCTGAAGCCTGTTGGGATGGGGGAACCGGCTTCGAGGTGGTGTGTTCAGCCCAACACCTCAAATTGGGGGAGAAGATACAAGGACGGAGCTCAGGGGCTGCGCTAAGGACAGCGACGGCTCCAGCACGGGGCCCCGCAGGCTTCCAGCTCCTGAGTGGGCTCCTCCGTGGGCTGCGGGGCAGCTCCTGCCCTCCTCCTGTGCTGACGCACTGGCTGCAGCGCTGTTCCTTGCACCTCAGCCCTCTCTCCCCCAGCTGCAGGGGCGCAGCATTTTTTTCCTTCACTCTGCTCTCCCCAAGGCCCACCCAGCACCGCTCACGGCCCAGCTCCGACCACCAGCAGCAGGTCCCTTTTGGGGTGCCCGGCACTGGTTTCCCTCTGGCATCGGGGAGCCGCTGGGCTCTGCTCCCAGACCCCCCCCTGCAGCTCCCCAGCTCCCACCCCCTGCCACGCAGCCCCAGTACAGAGGTTGTTTCTCTTATTTCCTTGTCTTCTCCCTGGAAAAACAAATGCAAGGTGCATCTGGCAGCTGTGAGCAGGCGGTTCCTGCAGGTGCTCTGCGCCTTGGCCCCCGTGCCAGGGGCTGCAGGGACGGGCAGGTGGGTGGCGGGTGGCCCCCTGAAGCCATCGGCCAGGACAGGGGCACCAGGAGGCCAACCTGCCCCAGCCCCGCTCCCCAAATACCCCCCAGGGCAGTGCTGCTGCCCCTGAGTGCGGTGAGCCGCTCCGGGCTGGGGGGCACGGGGGTGAGAGCGGGATTTGGGGACGTGGAGGGACCGGCGGGGGGGGGCTGCGGGGACCCCCAGGCTGGGGAGAGAGCTGGGAGGGCACCGCAGGAGGGGGCAGAGGAGTGGGGACGGGGGACGGGGGACGGGGCCCGTCCTGGCTCTGTCGGACCCGGGGGACGCAGACCGGGGACAGGGGCGCAGGGGATGGACGGGGACCGGGGCCGGGGCCGGCTCTGCCCCGGGGGCTGGTGCATGGGCGAGCGCTCGGGGGGCGCACGGGAGCGCTGCCGGGGGCTGGGGGCGGCTCCGGGGGCTGCGGGGGGCGGCTCGGGGCCGGGGCGCACCGGGCTGGGACCGGGACCGGGGCTTTGGCGCACCGGGAGGGGACCGGGGCTGGGACCGGGGCGCACCGGGACGGCACCGCAGCCGGTACCAGGGCGCACCGGGGCTGATACCGGGGCCGGTCCCGGGGCTCAAACCAAAGCACCAGGACGGTCCCGGGGCTGGCACCAGGGCGCACCGGGAGGGTCCCGGGGCTGATCCCGGATCCTGTCCCGGGGCTGGTACCAGGGCGCACCAGGACGATCCCGGGGCTGGTGCAGGGGCCGGTCCCGGGAGCCGGGCGGCGGGGCGCGATGCCGAGGCTCCCCCCGCGGGGGCGGTCCCGGCAGTGCCCGCTCGGTTCCGCTCCGCCCCGGCGCGGCGGCGCCAGCCCGGCTCGGGGCAGCGCAGCCCGGTGCAGCGGGGATGCGGGGCCCGGCGGTGGTCCCGGGGGCCGGGCAGCGGCACCCCCGCTCCCGCTGCAGCCCCCGCGGGGGCTCCCGGCTCGGTGAGGGGGGGGCCGGGGCCTGGGCTGCGCTCCCAGCCCCGGGGAGGGGGGGGGAGGAGGAAGCGGTTATGGGATGGGGGGGTGGGAGCTGGGTTTGGGGAGGTGATGGTAGAGCGGGGGGTCCTGGGGGTTCGGTGGGGGACACGGTTCAAAGGGAACGTCCCGGGGATGGGGGAGGTTCTGGGCATAGGGGGGGGGCATGAGCGCGGGGAGGGGGGTGTTGGGGTACCGGGGGGTCCCAGTGGGGTCTCCAGCCGTGATGGGGGGCAACCAGGCACCAGCCCCTTTCCTTTCCCCCCTCCCTATCCCACTGACCCCAGCCTGCATGCAGGCTGCGTGCCGCGACCCCCCAGGTAACGCCGGCTGCCCCCGCGGGACCCCCGCCGGCCGCCCTCACCCAGCAGGATGAAGACGCTGGTGAGTACCCGGGGTGCCGGGAGCGGGGGGCTACGGGGCCGGGGTGGACCCGTGGGCATCACGGGGCTGCTCACCCCAAACCCCACACTGGGGCACCGGGGCAGGGCCCTGCCCGGCCGCCCCGCTGGGCTCTCGGCACCCCCTTGGACCCCAGAGTGGGAGCAGGGGCCCGAGCCTGGCACGATTTGGGGAGCTCAGCCCCACGGCTCGCAGCCATGCAGCGCGTGGGTCTGGCTGCGTGCAGGAAGTGAGTCACGCGCAGGCACCGGCGGCTCCTCGTCCCCACCCCAGCGAGCGCCCGAGCCCGTGCGTCCTCCCCCCGAGAGCCTGGTTTTGCCGCCAGGCGTCCCGCTGCCTCCCCGGGCACCCCACACGGGGCAGGCGCACGTAGCCTGGGCCTGGAGAACCATCCCCGCTCTGCTTCCAGCTCCGCTTCTTCCTCGCCCTGGTGTGCGTGGCCGCCGTCTCCGTGCTCTACGTCCTGCTCTGCTCCCTCGCCTGCCTGCGGCCCTGCTGCCGGGCGGCGCAGCGCTGGGATGGCCCCGCGTACGCTGCGCCCGCCGTGCTCAGCTTCCAGGGGTACAGCCGTGTCCCTGACGGGCAGGTGCGTGGGGACGGGGAGGGGACAGCCCGACCACCGTTCCCCCAATGCCTCGGTTTCCCCCTTCCTCGGGGGAAGCGCTGGCACCTGGAGGGGGCCGTGCTGACGGCGCGTGTCCCCGCAGCCGCTGCGGCGAGCGCCGTGCCACCGCTGCGCCGTCGTCTCCAGCTCGGGGCAGATGCTGGGCTCGCGCCTGGGGCAGGCCATCGACGGGCAGGAGTGCGTCCTGCGCATGAACCACGCGCCCACCGCCGGCTACGAGGAGGACGTGGGGGCGCGGAGCACCGTCCGCGTGGTGTCGCACACCAGCGTCCCGCTGCTGCTGAGGAACCAGCCCTACTTCTTCCAGCAGTCCCAGGAGACCGTCTACGTCATCTGGGGGCCCTCCAAAAAGATGAGCCGGGAGAAGGGGGGCCCCACTTACCGGGCGCTGCTGAAGGTGATGGAGATGTACCCGCACCTGCAGATCTACACCCTGACCGAGGAGAAGATGGCCTACTGCGACGACGTCTTCCAGAACGAGACGGGGAAGAACAGGTACCGCGGACCCCCCCGGGGGCGCTGAGCCCCCTGCTCTGGCCGAGCCCCTGCTGGGTGTCCGTCTGTCCGCCCGCCCGTCTGCCCGTCCGTCCTCCAGCGCGGCCGCCTGTGCGTTGCAGGGTGAAGTCGGGCTCCTTCCTGAGCACGGGCTGGTTCACCATGATCCTGGCCATGGAGCTGTGCGAGCGCATCCGCGTCTTCGGCATGGTCAGCGAAAACTACTGCAGGTGCGGGGCCAGGGGGGCTGCTGGTGGCGCCGGGCAGCGGGGGGGCCGCATCCCGCTCAGCTTCCTCCCTGTGCCGCCAGGGAGAAGAACCACACGAGCGTGCCTTACCACTACTTCGAGAAGGGCCGGCTGGATGAGTGCAGGATGTACCTGGCGCACGAGCGGGCGCCCCGCGCCGGGCACCGCTTCATCACCGAGAAAGCCATCTTCTCCCGCTGGGCCAAGAGGAGGGACATCGTCTTCACCCACCCGTCGTGGGCGGGCGGCTAGGAGCGGCACCGTGGCTGCCTCAGCCCTGCCCGTGCCGTGGTTGGAGGCCCCCCCAGGTCTGGTGGGTGTGTGGGTGGCAGCGGGGGGACCCCCACCCCGTACAAGCACATTGGGGACGGGGCTGGACCCACTGAGCCCCAGCTGCAGGCACCAAGCTGCCTTGGACACAAGGGGACCTCACCGGCACCACCAGATGGATGCTTGCTGTGGGATTCAGCGTTTGGTGACGTGAGGAGGGGAAACTCAGCCCCCTCCGGCCACTGCCTTGGCCCAGGATGGAGCCCCAGTGCCGCGGGACCTGGTGCCACATGTGGGGCACAGGGAATGGGGCCGGGCTGTCCCCCCGGACTGTCCCCAAACTGCCCCCAGGGCAGGGCTCTGCGTGCCTCCTGCCCCCCAGCCCAGGGCCACGTGCCCTGGGAGCTCTGAGTTGCCTTGTCACAAGTGCCCTTGGACCGAGACCAAAGCAAACTCCATTAAAGCCTTCCTAATTCCACGGGCCCCGCGCTGCGGCCGCGGCGGTGACAGGAGCCGGAGGTGCGCGGGTGGCAGGCGCGTGGGGATGGGAGCAGGGGGGGACAAGGGGGGCAGCTGGGGGCTGCCAGCACCTCGTGCGCTGCCGGGCTATAAATACAACAGGGATTTGATGCTCGGGGTTAGAGCAGGGCCCAACACGGAGCAGGGCACTGGAAGGGGTTATTTGGGACGCAGGGGTGGCGGTGCTATGGGACAGGAGCTGGCCCTGATGTGGCTGTGTGCCCAGAGAGAGGGGGCGAGCCGTGGGCACAGCGTGCAGGGCGCTGATGAACGGCTCCTGGGACGGACGGAGCGGTGAGCGGGGCGGCAGAGCTGTGGGGTGCTGGGCTGGGGTCGCGTTCACTCCCATTTCAGCCGGCACCTGCCGCTTTGGGGCTGTTCCGGGGGGTTTTGGCAGCGCCGCTCCCCACACACGGCGCTCGCAGGAGAAGCCGGGGAGCTCCTCGGCCCCGCTCCGCAGCAGAGCCAAAAACCCCGGGGATGGCCCCGAGTGGGTCCGTGGGCTCCGCACCGCATCAGGACCTCGCAGCCCCCCCAAAATCAGTGGGGTGCCGAGGGGGCGCAGCGCTGCGCCACCCCATAAATGCCGCGCACCCACGGGCACCCGCGCACCCAGGGCACCCCCAGCCACCCACGCCCCCCCGGTGCACCCCATGCGCACCCCATCGGGGCGGGCGGTGCTTGGATCCCCCCCAGCGCGTCCCCGCCCCGGGCAGCGTGTGCGCGCGCGCGCGCGGCCGGCGAGCCCCGGGAGCGCGCAGCAGCGGCGGCGGCGGCGCAGTGCGCAGCGGAGCGGGTGGTCCGTGGGTCGGGCTGTCCGTGGGGCTGTCCGTGGGGCTGTGGGGCTGTCCGTCGGTCGGTGGGTGCGGGGCTGGCACCGGGACCGGGGGGGGGAAAAGGGGGGCGCTGCACGGGCACGGCCATGGCGGGGGGCAGCGCGCACCGGGCTCGGGTGGCTCCGGGCCCCGGCCTGCATGGGAAATGCAACGGGGGCTGCCGGGGGGGTGGGAGGGAAGGGGGGGTTATAGGGGATTCCCGGGCACCGGGGGGGTTGCATGACGGAAAGGGAGGGGGCTGCGTTCTGGGAACGGGGGGGGTGCGTCCCGAGAATTGGGGCTGCATCCTGGGAACCGGGGGGCTGCATCCCGGGAGAATGGGGGGCTGCGTGCTGGGAATCTGGGGGGTTGCATCGCGGGTACCGGGGGGGCTGCACCCTGGGAATCTGGGGGGGCTGCATCCTGGGAACGGGGGGGTTTGCAACCTGGGAACCGGGGAATTGCACCCCAGGAACGGGGGGGTTGCATCCTGGGAGCTGGGAGAGCTGCTTCCCGGGTACTGGGGGGGCTGTTTTATGGGAACTGGGGGGATTGCATCCCAGGAACCAGGGGATTGCATTCTGGGATCCAGGGGATTGCATCCCAGGAAGAGGGGGGCTTCATCCCGGGTACCGGAGGGAGCTGCATCCTGGGCTGGGGGAGGATTTGCCTGGCAGAGCACAAAAATGCGGGGGCGCAGGCAGGGCTGGCATAGCGGGGTGACACGGGGGGGCGGCAGGGGCTGCGCGCCGGAGCTGTGGGCGGGTTTGCACCGGGGGGGGGGTGTGGGGGTGGATTTGGGGGCGGCTGGCAGCGTGGGGAGCCGGGCTGGCTCAGTGCTTCCCCGGCACGGCAGCGATGTGACCCCCGGTGCCACCATGGCCCTGGCGCCGGCTGGAGGGGCCCGGCAGCACCCCACAGCTCGGGGGGCGCGCGGGGAGGAGGAGGCGGACGAGGCCCCCCCGGCACCGCTCCCCACCCGCTGCAGATGAACGCCCTGGGCCAGGTAAGGGACCCCCGTGCTGGGGTCACCCGCAGCAAAACCCAAAAGGGGGGCCCGGAGCTGGCACCCCCACCCCTGGCACCTGCGTCCCGTGCTGTGCCGTGCCCTGCCCCGTGCGGGGATGGGACCTCCTGGCACCGACCTTTCTCCATGGGGTGGGGGCACCGTAAAACGCGGCCATTCCCCAGCTGTTGGCACCTTCCTGGGCAGCGACACCAGCCCTGAAAGCCCTTCGAGGCCCCCCAGGAGGGTTAAACACCAGCTGCTGTGTAATTTTCCATCCCGGCTCCTCCCAAGGCAGTCAGTAAAGAGGCTTCGTGTTTTTTTGTTTTTTTTTTTTTCTATTTCTAATTGCTCTTGAGTACTAGGCGGTGACTCACGGTGGAGGACTTCCAAATATTAATCAGGGCAGGGTGAGGGGGGAGAAAATCGGGTCCCCCACAGGGCGGGCATCCCTGGGTGCACCCACCCCGTGGCCGTTTTAATGGGATTCCGCTGGGAGATCCCGCTCACCTTAGGCAGGGGGGGGCTGATCCGGCGTTGAATCGCGTGGCTTTCGCCCCAGCGGCGCTGGGATAATCCATCCTGCCCAGAGCTCAGCCTGGTTTGGGGATCAGCCCGTCACGTGCGGCTCGTTTTGGGGACGTGCCCCCCGTTGTGGTGCTTTTTGGGGTGACCGCGTGCCTTGCAGGTGCTCGCAGGACACCAGCGATCGCTGCGCACTGAGGCCGGCCGGGAGACATGAGCGGCAGCACGGTGAGAGCCGGGCACGGTGCTGGGCATCCCATGGGGGTCTGTGGAGCCCCCCTAAAAAAATCAGCCTGCGGGGCTGGGATTGGGGCGGCCGTGCCAGTGCCAAGCAGGGGCTGCCCCGGCCTGGGACCTTCCTGGCAGCTCTCCTGCCTCTCGGAGCATTATTCACAGCAGCAAACACTCCTCCTCCATCCTCCTCCCAGCTCTGGGGCTGTTCTGTTATCCAGAGGGGGCTGGGGCAGTGGCACGTGGCCGAGAGGGGAAGGGGAGAGATGTCCCCATCCCTGTCCCCATCCCCGACCCCATCCCTGTGTCTCCTCGCTGCCCCCCTCGCAGCACCGTGCCGCTCGGTGCCTCCCCACGGCCTCGGGTGTTGTTCTTTAATATCTGGAAGCAGCAGAGCGTGGCCGGGGGAGGGCTCTGCAGCAGAGCGTGGGGGCAGCTCCTGCTAAACCCACAGCCGGCGAGGGGGGAGCGTGTCGGGGCGCCGGCACCCCAGGGGTTCTCCCATCTCCATCCCCTCTGGGAGCTGGCACCTGACGCTGTCCCCCCGCCCGCAGAGCCAGCGCGCCGCCGTCTTCGTGGTCCTCTTTGCCCTGCTCATGCTGCTGATCATCTACAGCTCCAGCAACGGGACCGAGGTCTTCCCCTACGGCGCCCTGCGGGGCCGAGCCCGCCGGCCCCCCGACCTGCGGCGATGGGGGGTGAGCAGCGGGTACCTGCCCGTCTCCGGGAACAAGGTACGGCGGGGTTGGGACATCATGGTGGGCACTCACTGCCCCGTGGTGGCACCCAGCAGCACCGTCCCCGTTGGTGGGACACCCAAAAATTCCCCCTCTGACCCCGTTGGTCATCCCCAGAGCCTGAGCGCCCACTGCCACCAGTGCGTCATCGTCACCAGCTCCAGCCACCTCCTGGGCACCCGCCTGGGCTCCGAGATCGACCAGGCCGAGTGTGCCATCCGCATGAACGACGCCCCCACCACGGGCTACGAGGTCGATGTGGGCAACAAGACGACGTTCCGCGTGGTGGCCCACTCCAGCGTCTACCGCGTGCTGAAGCGGCCCCAGGAGTTCGTCAACAAAACCCCAGAGACCATCCTCATCTTCTGGGGGCCGCCCGCCAAGATGCAGAAGAGCCTGCTGAAGATCATCCAGCGCGTCGGGGCCTCCTTCCCCAACATGACGGCCTACGTCGTGTCCCCCCGCCGCATGAGGCAGCTGGATGAGCTGTTCCGGGGGGAGACGGGGAAGGACAGGTACCTCGGGGCCTCCCCCGGCACCTCGTCCCCAATGGTGGTGGGGACCAAAGGCAGGGCCGGCTCCCGGGGCTGCTCCGTGGGGTTGGCTGCAGTGTCAGGCTGGGGGGATTTGGGGGCTTTTGAGGAGATTCAGGGGGATTTGTGGAGATTTAGGGGGGGTTGCTGTGTTTACATCGTGGCCCCGTTTCCCCCCCGCGCCGTGCCCCAGGGAGAAGTCGCGCTCGTGGCTCAGCACGGGCTGGTTCACCATGGTGATCGCGGTGGAGCTGTGCGACACCATCCACGTCTACGGCATGGTGCCCCCCAACTACTGCAGGTACGGCGCCCCCCATCACCCCCCCACCCTGTCCCCACCCCACAAACCCCAAAAACCCCAAATCCTCATCCCTGGGGGGCTCAGCCCGCTCTCTGCCCGCAGCCGGAGGCCGCAGCCCCGCCGCATGGCCTACCACTACTACGAGCCCAAGGGCCCCGACGAGTGCACCACCTACATCCACAACGAGCGCAGCCGCCGGGGCAACCACCACCGCTTCATCACCGAGAAGCGCGTCTTCGCCAGCTGGGCCGGCCTCTACAACATCACCTTCTCCCACCCCGCCTGGCCATAGGGCGGCCGCGCCGAGCGGGGACCCTCGGGGACGGGAACGGGGTCCCTTTGGGGTGGGGTCTCCATGGGTTGGGGTCTCCATGGGTTGGGGTCTCCATAGGTTGGGGTCTCCATGGGATGGGGTCCAGGCCACGCTGTGCGCCCCGGGGCTGTTGGAGCCGTCGAGGACCGCCTGCCACCGCTGTGCCCAAGGGCTCCACGTGCCCGTGGTGTGAAGGGTTTTGGGGTGGCGTGTCCCCTCCCGTGGGACAGCGGGCAGGGGAGCCGTGGGGACACCGCACGGGGGTTAAATCCTGCACAGATTTAATCCAGCTCCAAACCTCCCCGGCTGCCTCGCAGCCCACCGCCCCGCAAGCACACCCGGGGGCACCGTAGGGGCTGCATTGCTTTCACGGCAAAATTTTGGGGACCCCCTCCCCGTTTTACTCCCCTCTGCCACCCCCTGCACTGCCAGCCCCAGCCCCCCCGGCACAAATCCTGACGTTTTCGGTGGCGTCGCCCCCAGAGGGGGGGCCCTGCCCTGCCACCCAGGTAAGGATCCACCCACGGGGTGCCCACCCCAAAAACCCCCGGCCCCGTGCTCGCTGCGGGGGGGGGGCACACTGCCAAAACCTTTTCTATCGGCACAACGGGAATTTGGGGCTTGGGTTTTTCTCTTTTTTCTCCCCCCCCACCTCCTTGTCCCGCTGTCTGTACTCGTTTTCCCTCCCCAAACTGAGTGCGTGGTGGTGGTGGGGGGCCATGTACCCCCCCCACGCTTAGGGGGGGCTGTTATTTGTCTCCTGGTGGTGGAAAATTTGGGGAAAATCCCTCAAAGTGGCGTGTTTGGGTGCTGAGCCCCAGCAGAGCGCAGCGCCGTGCCTCAGTTTCCCTGGGGCCGTGGCAGCGAGGGGGGGCCGGGAGGGGGATGCACACCCCCTGTGCTGTCGGGGTTACCCCCGGGGGGGGGGCTCAGCCCCATGGGGGGGTCACCCCGTGTTTTGTAGTGATTTGTACAGAATAAACCTTGCTGCAGTCTGTTGCCTTGGGCCCTGACTCCGGGCTGCGTTTTTGGGGGGCCGGGCGCTGCTTTTGGGGTGGGAAATTTGAGGGGGGGGGTGAGAACGGGACCCTTCGGGAGCCCCCCCCAACGTTTTGGGGCTGATCCTGGGGGGGCAAAAAAAAAATAAATTATTTATTTATTTTGGGGGGGAGCGGGGGGGTCCCCCCCCAGGATACCCAGCATTGCGCAGGACCCCCAGCCCCTTGGGACCCTATGGAGCCCCCCGCAACCCCCTGCACGGTGCTGGGGGGGGGGCTGCGGGCAGGCAGCAGTGGTTCTCCCCCCCCCCCCCAGCCTGTGTGTGCCCCCCCCTCGCTGCCCGCTCCCGGCATGCTCCTCGCTGCATTATATCCAGCTAGCGGTACCCGAGCAGGCAGCTGCCCGCCCCACAGCTCCCGGCCCCACAGGTCAGTGCCAGCCCCCCCAGCCCCCCCCCAGCATCCTAAACCCCCCCCCCGAGCCCTGCAGCCCCTCGGCACCCCGGCCCTCACCCACCCCTGGGTGCCCCCCCCCTCGGCTCCCCCTCCCCACGGTGACCTTGGGGAGGGCGTTCGGGCAAGCGCTGCGCGGGGGGCTCCTGGGGGGGGGGTTTGGGGTGAGCCCCCCCGCACTGTAAGGGATTTAAGGGGGGTGGGATGGGGATGGGGGGAGTGGGGTTGTGGGGGTAGTGCTTGGGGGGTGGGAGCGGGGCAGTGCTGGGAGCACCAAGGGGGGAGATAGAGGGGCTGGGGGGGGTGTATGGGGTGCTGGGGGGGTTATATGGGGTGCTGGGGGGGTTATATGGGGTGCTGGGGGGGCATGGCAGGGGGTGCTGCACTATTGCACGGGGTGCTTGGTGGGGGTACACTGCACAAGGTGCTGGGGGGGGTGTTTTATGGGGTGCTTGGGGGGGAGCTTTGTGGGGTGCTTTTGGGGGCACTGCATGGGGTGCTGGGGGGCTATGGCAGGTGCTGCACTATTGCATGGGGTGCTTGGGGGGGGCGTTGTATGGGGTGTTTGTGGGGTGCTGTATGGGGTGCTGGGGGCATTGCACAGGCGTTGGGACGTTGCTTGGGGTGCTGGGGGGGCATGGCAGGGGGGAACACTATTGCACAGGGTGCTGGGGGGGCATTTTATGGGGTGCTGGGGGGGACATCCCACAGGGGGGTTTGGGGGTCTCGCTGCTGCTCTTTGGCCAGGCCACCAAGGGGCATTGCATGGGGTGCTGCTGGGGGGGCTGGGTTACCGCAGGGGTGCTGGGTGCTGAGTTGAGGTGGGGGGGAAAAAGGGGGAGTGGGATGGGGTCTGGGGGCTGTCTGAGCTCCTAATGGGATCACACCACACCACAGCTTCTCCCGGGCACCCCAATGCCCCCATACCCATGTCCCCCATGGGGTCCCGCACCCTCCCGGCCACCCCGTGGGGACATGGCGGGGTTCGGCCCCATGGCACGGGGTGGGGGGGTGGGGGGGCCGTGTCCCGGTGCAGGTTTCAGCCCGTCCATTCTTAGCCCCTGCCCTTTCGGGGCTGTAACACGAGCGGGGCAGCGGCGCAGGGCCCCTGGCCCCGGTCTGGCCGGTTTGGGGAGCGCGGGGTGACGCGGGGCGGCGGGGTGCGGGCAGGGAGCCCAAACCCACAGCGGGGACCTGGGGGTGCAGCAATCCTACAGCAATCCTACAGCAATCCTACAGCAATCCTACAGCAATCCCCCACCTCCGGGCTGTGAGAGCGGGCTGGCCCCCCAAAACCATCCCCTAAAACCTCCCCTCTGGCACATGGTGAGCCGGAGCAGTGGAGGCGCCGCCGGCGTCACCGGCGTCCCAGGGCCGTGTGTCACCGCGGGCACGGGGATGTGGTCAGGGCAGGGAGGTGCAGGTAATGCCACCCCATAGCACCCCGTGACACCACACGTCACCCCGTGTCACCCCGTGTCACCGCCGGCAGCCAGGTAGGCGATGGCCGCGGGAGCCGAGCTCCCCAGCTCCTAAAGCCACAAAATCCAGGCAGCGCCGTGCCTGTCGGATATATTTTAGGTTTTAGGGCCAAACTAAGGGGCAGGGCGGCTTCCGCCTCACCACCACGAGTCCCCCAGCGCTCGGCTGGAGACCTGCTGCGTCCCATAGGGGAGGGAAGGGAGAGCTGTTGTCCCAGCAACACCCCCACAGCCCCGGCCCTGGGGACCCCCCCGTCCCCGCCGAGCCGCTCACTGTCCCCCTCTCCTCTCCTCTCTCCGTCCCCACAGCCCGATTTTCTCCTCCACCCCGCCGGCAGCATGTCGACAGGTGAGTGCTCTGCTCGGCTGTCCCTGCGGCCAGCTCCTCGTCCCCTCTGCTTCTGGCCCCTTGGCAGCTGTCCCCCTGTCCCCTACGTCCCCCTTGTGCCATCCCGTGTCCCCCTTGTCCCCATCCCCTTGTCCCCATCCTCTGCGTCCCACTTGTGCCATCCCGTGTCCCCCTTGTTCCCATCCCCTTGTGCCATCCCCTTGTTCCCATCCCCCGTGCCCCCTTGTGCCACCCTGTCCTCCCCGTCCCTCTTTTACCCAACCCCTTTGCGCCCACCCCCAGTGTCCCCACCCCGTGTCCATCCCCCGGGTCCCCTTTACGCACCTCCCCTTTTGCATCTGTCCCCTGTGCCCTCGTATCCACCCCCTCTGCCCCCCTCGCACCCGCTCCCCGTGCCCCCCCCGTGCCCCCCCGTGCCCCCCCCGTGTCCCCTTTCCCTCCTTCCCCCGTCCCCCGGTATCCGATTCCCTGCCCCACTTCTCTTCCATCCCCTCTGTCCCCCCCTTGCGTCCATCCCCTGCCTCCTCCACCCGTCCCCATCCCCTCTGCCTCCCCCTTGTGTCCACCCAGATCCCCTTGGGGCCTCTTCCCAACCCCAATCCCTTCGCCCCCCCATGCGCCCCCCATCTCCTGCCCCCCCCTTCCCCACCCTCTTGGCTCCTTCCCCGGCTGCTGGAGGGGCTGAAATTTCAGACGGCCGGGCTGGGGGGGGGGGCTGTGCCGGGTTCACCGGTATTTTTAGCTCCCCTCGGAGCCGGATCCTGCAGGTGGGGGGCACCCTGAGGGACCCCCCCATGTCCCGCAGGCTGGGGGGGCTCTGTGAGGTGCTGGCACCCAGCCCCTGCTCCCCAGCTGCCTGCCCCAGGCACCGCTTTTGGGGACAATCGGTCCCTGGGGGGGGGGGTTTAGGGGCTGCTGGGGGTCACACCAAGCACTCGAGGCACCCGTGCCAAGGGCAGGACCCGGATCCGGCCACGGGGATGGATGTGGCCCCCCCGGGGAGCCCTGAGGGTCCCCACCCAGACACCGAGGACAACGAGCGTCTCCGGGGCGCCGGGGGGGTTCCAAGCCCAGGACTGAGCCCTGGGGCTGAGCTCCATGGGGTCCCTGTGCACCAACCCGGCCAGCTCCGATGTCCCAGACCCCTCAGGTGACGGGGACAAGGGGCACGCGTGGCCAGCTTCGCACCCCGGGGTGGGCAGGGGTCGGTCCCCCCACTGGGGGGGCTCAGCCCTGCTGCTGGGGACGGCTCGTTCGACGGTGCCCTTTTGGCTTTGAGGTTGATTATTTTTCTTTTATTTCCCCCCCCAGAAAAGCTCAAGCACCACAAGATCATCTTTGTGGTGGGTAAGTGGGCGGCCGGGTCCTGCGGCTGGCGGGGTCGAGGTGGGGCAGGGGGTCCTCGAGGCCACCGGGGGGGTGCTGGGGACCACCAGCAGGGTGGCAGCACCTGATGGGGCACTATGGGATGCTCCTGGGGGGGATACCACGGGTGGGGACGGGGTCCTGGTGTCCTGGGTACCATTGGGGTGGTGACACCTGGGTGCTGATGGGGTCGTGATGTCCTGGGTGCCATCGGGGTGGAAATGCAGAGGTGCTGATGGGGTCCTGGTGTCGTGGGTGCCATCAGGGTGGCAATACCCATGGTGCTGATGGGGTCGTGATGTCCTGGGTGCCATCGGGGTGGCGATGCCCAGGTGCCAATTACCCACGCCAGCAGCCCGTGCCACCCCAAGCACCACCAGGAGCAGCTCTCTCCATCCACCTGGTGCTGGGCTCGGGGACCCCGTCCTCTTTCTCCCCAGGCTCTGGGGACTCTGGTGGCTTCCGTGCCCCTTCCCCCGCCTGCCCCCCAGCTCCCTGCTGTGCGCTGGGGCACTGCCACCGCTTGCAGGTGGCCCCGGCTCGGGGAAGGGGACGCAATGCGAGAAGATCGTGCAGAAGTACGGGTACACCCACCTCTCCACCGGGGACCTGCTCCGGGCTGAGGTCAGCTCGGGCTCGGAGCGGGGCAAGAAGCTGCAGGCCATCATGGAGAAGGGCGAGCTGGTGCCCCTGGTGAGTCCGCGTGCCTGCCCGCCGTGGTGGTTGTCCCCCCTCCCCGTGTGGCCATGGGGACGGGGTGGGCGCGCGGCCCCACGAGGTGTCCGTGCCCCGTCCCCAGGACACGGTGCTGGACATGCTGCGGGACGCCATGGTGGCCAAAGCCGACGTGTCCAAGGGTTTCCTCATCGACGGCTACCCCCGAGAGGTGAAGCAGGGCGAGGAGTTCGAGAAGAAGGTGAGGGCTGGTGAGGCTGCGGGGTGCCCCCGAGGGCTGCGTGGAGCTGGTGGGAGCAGATCCCATCCCGATGGGGGGCTGAGCTGCCATCGGGGGGGGGACACATCAGCTCCAAGGGCGTCCTCAGGGATGACGGGGGGTGGCTGTGGTGGCGCAGAGCAAGGGTTTGGTGTCCCTGGGGCGCCCAGACCCGGGTTGAGGGTGGCACGGGGTGGCACAGGGTGGCACGGGGTGGCACAGGGTGGCACAGGGTGGCACAGGGTGGCATGGGGACACCCTTGTGCCAAGCCCGCGCGGTGCCAGCCCCCCCGTCCCCGCAGATCGCCGCCCCCACGCTGCTGCTCTACGTGGACGCGGGGAAGGAGACGATGGTGAAGCGCCTGCTGAAGCGGGGCGAGACCAGCGGGCGGGTGGACGACAACGAGGAGACCATCAAGAAGCGCCTGGAGACCTACTACAAGGCCACGGAGCCCGTCATCACCTTCTACAAGAGCAGGGGCATCGTCCGCCAGGTGAGCAGGACCCACGGTGGGGGGGGGAGGGATCAACGCATTGGGGGTAGGGGGCTGATATGGGGGTAGGGTTCCCCAAAAGGGGCTTGGAGGAGCCGGCGCCCCCCTAACCCCTCCCTGCAGCTCAACGCCGAGGGCAGCGTGGACGAGGTTTTCCAGCAGGTCTGCTCCTACCTCGACAGCCTGTAGCCGTGCCGGCCGCCTCGCGCCCCCCGCCCCGCGCCCCCCCCTCCGCGCGCGCCGGCAGAGACAGCGGAAGAGCCCTCATCCTGTTTTCGTGGACAGAGCCGCGCGAAGGAAATTTCAAGGACATTGTGTTTGGCTCTTTCCCGTCTCTCCCCAGTAAAGTTCGCTTTAATGAGCCCAGACTTTTATCTTTTTCTTCTGTCGGAGGAAATGAGTTTTTCTTTCCAGAGATTTTTGGTTTGTTGGTTGTTTTTTTTTTTTTTTTCCCCTCTCCGAGCCCCCCCCCCGAGCCCCCCGCCCGCCTCTGGAGCTGATTAGGGCAGGAAGCGGGTGTTTATCCCGCACGTGGGATGCTCGGAGGAAGGGAGGGAGCATCCCGGCCGCTCGCCTCGGCTTCCCGGCTGCCGCCGGGCTGCGGGGGGCCCGTGACCCCGTGCCGGGGCCAGTCCCGCTCACCTTGACCCCGTCCTGCCCGCCGAGCCCCTGGGGAAGGGGGCAGCGTCTGGCCCACGTCCTGCCCCACAGCCCTGGGGATGGGGTTTCCATCACTTTCACCCCATGCACGTGCCAGCCTCGGTGTCTCCTCGCTGCTCCTGCCCCCCCGTGTGTTTTGGGGTACGTGGGGGCTGCGGGCAGCTGTGGCCAAAGGTGTTGGGGTGGCACCGGGGATATCGGTGCCACCGCGATGCCCTGGGTGCACCCTGACCAAAGGACACGCTGGGGACACCCCCCTGAGCCTGGCCACCGGGGTAGGGACAGGGTGGGGGTCCTCGGGGGGGCTCAATTGCAGCCCCCCAGCCCTGAATATTTGGGATGCTGGCACAGGGGACATGGAACGGGGACATGGAACGGGGACAGGGGGGCTCCCCAAAGCTGCCCCCAGGCCATGCTCGGTGTCACTTTGCCCAGCCCCGTGGCAGTGCCGTGTTTTTCCCGGCCGTGGCGCAGGAAGGAGGTGGCAGAGCCGTGGCCATGAGCTTTGGGGCTGCCATAAATCATAAATCATAAATCATAAATCACAACTCAGCCGCGGGGCCTTGGGGTGGGCAGCGGCTCGGGGGCAGGCGAGGCCGCCGGGACGGTGCGGAGGAAGGAAGCGAGCGGGGAAGGCGAGGGGGGGGGGGGGACAAAAATCCCCCAAGAAAAAAAAAAAAAAGAAAGAAAAAAAGAAAGCAAACAAAACAAACCCGACAGAACTCCCGAGCTCGCCAGGCTCGGACGTCAGCCGGGTGCCCGGGGGTGAAGCAGCCACGAGCACGGCGGGGCCGGGGCGCTGCGGGCGGCGGGGCGGGAAGGATGCGGCCATCCGGCCAGCACTGGGGCACTGCCAGCACCGCTGAGCCCCCCCCTCAGGCTGCTGGGGGCGAGGGGACAGGAGATTTGGGATGCTGAGTCCCAAAGCCACGCTGGAGGAGCTGGGGGAGCCACCTGCCCTCGTCGTCCTGTCCCTATGGGGGTGTGGGGTCAGCCCTGCCTCAGTTTCCCCATGTGGTGAGCGGGGCAGGTGGGGCTGGGGGGGGCCCTGCCTCCCTGCTGGTCACTTTGGGTGATTTTTGGTGGCTTTGCCCTGGCTGGGGAGCCTCTGAACTCCCCATAAGCTGCAGGGGGATGGTGCCAGGGGCTGCGGCCACCCCGCACAGCCACGCCCAGCTTTGTCACCCTGCCCTGGGGGCCCCCACCGAGGGCCCTGCTGGGGACAGGGGCGCAGGGCTGCCAGCTCCGGGCCCTGTCCCCGTCCCCGCGGTCCCCAGGAGGTGGCAGTGCGCTGTCGTGGGAGGCGGCTGCTGCTCACCCCGGGGACCTGGTGGCCGCTGGGGACAGACCTCGCCGCCTGCCCTACCGGGTGTCACCCCCCCGGCCCCCTGCGCATCGCCACGGAGCGGTGCGGGGCCACCACGGGGACCTGGCCCTGGCACAGGCAGGAGGGACGGGGCAGGAGTCCCCCTTGGCCCTCTTGTCCCCCCGATGTCCCCTTGTCCCCGCAGCCACCCCGCTCCCCTCCGGCTCCTGCCTCGGTGCCGCTTTGCTGGGACCCAGGACGGGGCTGTCCTAGAGGGGCCCCAAACCCCAAACCTGCCCGCCCAGTGGGGACATCCCAATATTGGGGACATCCCGGCAGTCCCCAGCTGTGGCCTGGCCATGGTGCAGAGGGGGCAGGTGGCAGTGTCACACGGTGTCCCCCCAGCCACCAGTAGCCCCGGGGCCGGTGTTCAGAGCCCTGGGACTCTCCGTGCCATGGGGCACCCTACCCACACCGGGACACCTCGGGGCTGCCCTTGTCCCCATCGCAGTGGGGCAGCTCCTGCCCTCAGGACATGGGGCAGCCCCCCTTCAGCACCGCACGGGGCAGGCTGTGCTGCTGTGTGTCCCCTAAACTTGTGGGGGGGATATTTAGGGAGGGGGGCGCACCGTGCCTTGGCATCCCGACCCCTGCCTTGGCACCCTTGGCACCCTGCCCACCCTCAGTGCAGGCACTGCAGCCACCCCCTCCTTCTCCCTGGTGCCACCCCAGGGTGGGGGGACCCCACTTTCTCCCCCTCCTACCCCCCCTCCAGCACTCGGGCTGCCTCCAGGGCGCCCCGCGGCGGTGCGCGCACCCTGCGGGGAAACTGAGGCACGGCGCGCCCGGACCCCCCCCAAACCCAAACTCCCCCCTCTCCGGCCGGCACGGCTCCAGGGCTGCGGAGCGGCATTTCCTCCGGGCGCCGACCCTCCTCCTCCTCCTCCTCCTCCTTCTCCTCCTCCTCCTCCCGAAGGGAGTCGGTTTCCTGCCGCCGCCGCGCCCGCTCACTGCGCTCTCGGCTTCGGGCAGCGGCGGCGGCCGGGATGTGCCTGCGGAGCCCCCCCTCGCTGCTGCTGCTGCTGCTGCTGCCGCTGCTCGCCCGGCCCGGTGAGTGGGGAGCCCGTCGGGGGGCACCGGGGACCGCCGAGGGTTGGGGGCTTCGGGCTCGGGGCTCCCCGACGGCGGCACCGGGCTTGGCGCACGGGAAACGCGCAGGGGGGGAGCGCGGAGGAGCCGCCGGTAACTCGGAGGGGAACGGGGGGAGAGGAGGGGAACGGGGGTGGGGGGCGAGGGGTGAGCTGCTGGGGTGGGCTGGGGGTGCGGGGGCTGATACAGCTGGGTCCCGGCTGGGATATTGCCTCCCCCCCCTCCGCCGGCCCCAAATCCAGGCTGCGTCACCAGGGTCCCAGGGGTGTCCAAGTGCCCTTTCCCCAGGAAGGGGCAGGCAGCGGGACCCCCTCAACGGGGGCACTGACCGGGGGGGCTGGGGAATGAGGAAAAAAAACCAAAGCCCCCCCCCGGTGTCTGTGGCAATAGGGCCAGGGACTTTTTTGCTGCTTTAGCTGTTGGCCCCGCAGCCCTCGTCCCGTGACCGCAGGCGCTGCGGCTTCGCGGGGAGGATTTTGGGGGGTGCAGGCGTGGGGACACCCCCAGGTGGGCAGGGAGCTGGGGACACGGGGACGGGGTGCTCAGGGACAGGGAAACATGAGGGCAGCGACAACGCAGGGGCAGTGGGTTCAGCACGTCCCACACGGGTCAGTCCCATGGGGGCTGCTGGGGGTCCCCACTGTCACCCCCGGTGCTGTCACCCCCCTACAGGGCCTGTCCCCAGGGGCTGGGGCCGTGCCCCGGGGGCTGTGCTGTACGGTCCCCATCCGACGTAGCTGTGCCATATGGTCCCTGTCCTGTGGCTGTCATATGGGCTCCATCCGAGGTAGCTGTGCTGTAGGGCTGTGCCCCCTGCAGCTGTGCCATACAGCCTGGTCGTGTGGCTGTGCCATACGGTCACCATCCCAAATAGATGTGCAACAAGGTCTGTGTCCCGTGGAGCTGTGTGTATGGGCGCTATCCTAAAGAGATGTGCAATAAGGTCTTTGTCCTGTGTAGCTGTGGGGTACGGTCGCCATCCTAAATAGATGTGTGATAGGGTCTGTGTCCTATAGTCGTGTGGTACAGCCCCCATCCTACAGCTGTGCCATATGGTCTGCATCCTGTGAAGCTGTGCTGTACAGGCCCTGTCTGTGTGCCATATAATTCCTGTCCTGCATATCTGTGCCTTATATCCCCCGTCCTACAGTGCAGTCTTGTACGCAGCCGTGCCATACAGGCTGTGTCCTCTGTCCTTGTGCCATACGCTCTCCGTCCCACGTGGCTGTGCCATACAGCCCCCCAACATGGCTGTGCTACACAGCTGTGCCATACAGTCCCCCATCCTACTGAGCCGTGTGTCCCTGTGCCTTTTAGCCGCGCTGTATGGTCCCCATCCCATACAGCTGTTATGCTGTCCCGTCCCACACAGCTCTGTGGTGCTGCCCCTCTCCTACCCGCTGCATGTTCCCTGCCCTGTGTAGCTGTGCCCTGTGGTGCCCGTCCTAAGGAACTGCGCAATGCTGTCCCTGTCCTATAAATCTGAGCCATACAGCCCCTGCTATGTGTGACTGTGCCCCTGAGGTCCCTGAGAGGGACTACTCTGAGTATGGGGCTCTTCCATATATCCCATGTCCCGTATGGCCGTGCCACACCGTCCCAAACATGTGTAGCTGTGCCATCCCCGTCCCGTGTAGCTGTGCCATACGGCCCCTGCCCTGTCTGGTGCAGACCCTTGGGGCTGGGGTGTCCCTGGCAGGCACAGCACCGTGGGGCCGTGCAGACACCGGGGGGCTTCCAGGGCTGGGGGGCTTTGAGCCCCCTTATGGCAGCACCAGCAGGGACCGGTGCTGCTGCCCCGGGGGGAACGCGGTGCTGGCTCTTCCCTTCCCAGCCCAGGTGAGGCTGTGCCCCTCCTGGGGGCAGAAAGCACATACAGAGGGGACGCAGGGCTTGTCACCTTCATCCACTTGGGGACAGGCTGACATGGGACAGGCTGACATGGGACAGCGTCTCCCCCAGTGCTGCACCCAGAAAACCCAGTGTCGGGTGGTGTGGGCACATCTACCCCATCCCAAACCCCGCTGCCACCTCCACGAGGCACAACAGTGGCCCGGGGGTGACAGCACCCAGCCCTGCGGTGCCAGCTCCATCCCTGCTGAGCCCGGCCAGCTCATTGCACAAGTGCCAAGGCGGCACAGGGGGGACGTCGGAGCGGTGCTGCCCGGGAGATCCTGCCCCTGCTGGAGCCAGCCCCGGCGCCTGCCCTGGCCCCGTGCCCCCCCCTGGCACCCCCGGCACCCCCTGGGCTTTGTTCTGCACCCGGGGCCTTTGATCCGCTCGCAACAAAACAGGAATTTCCCCCCCCCCCCCAGACATCCACGCGCCGGGGAGACGCGGCAGCTCCGTCCCCGCTCCCCGCTCCGTCTGCGCCACGGCGAGGCCGAGGGCGGGTGGGAGGCTGGAAAAACATAAAGTGGATTTTCTTTCTTTCTTTCTTTTAATTTTTTTTTTTTTTTTTTTGTATTTCCTGGAGTACAAAAATAAATGCGCCCTTATCTGATTGACCCCGCGGGTGCAGGCTGGGCCCAGCTGAGCGCCGTTATCTGATGCTGACATCATGCTGGAGGCTGCTGCTGCCTTCCCCCGGGGACGGGGACGGGGATGGGGACGGTGCCCGGGTGGCACCGCTGCCCCTCGTCCCCTCCGCAGCATCCCTGCCCCACGCCGGGGAGAAGCCGGCCACGTCCCCACACCCTACGGGATGCCACCCCGCGGGATGTCACCGGAGAGGTGACAATCTGCCCGTCCCCTGCCCCTGCGATGCCGGGGGCCGGGGGCCGTGCCCGGTGCCGCCGGGGCAGGAGCGGAGGAAAGAGGGCCGCGGGCTGCGGCGCCCAGATAAGCGGCTGTTTATCTTCCTCCCGATGCTGCGGCCGCCGCGCCGGGGGGAGGAAGCGCCGGACAATAGGTGGGCCCGTGGCAGCGTCACCGCGGGGCCTGCGCCGTGACCCCGCCGCCGCGGCCTCGCCACCCCGACGCAGCCCAGGGACGGCTCGGGGGGGACCCTTGCCAGGCTGCGCCACCCTGTCCCCGTCCCCATGGGGTTGTTGGGTGCCCCGGTGCTGGCACAGGGCCCCGGTCACCTCCCAGCGTGGTGGCTGGAGCTGCCAGAGAGCCCCCGGGGAGGGGACAGCGCTCGGTGGCCACATCCAAAGCAAGCACAGAGCCCCCAGCCCCACAGGGATGCCCTGGCGCAAAGCACCCCGCAGGGCAGGGACCTCCCAGCTGTGCCACCCATGGGTGCAGGGACGACTTGGGGACAGCTGGGCTGTGGCAGCACTGCCCAGGACAGGGGAAATGGCCACGGCAACCTCTGAGTGAGGCAGGCTCGGGGCTTCAAACACCTTTTTTTTGCCGTCAGGATTTCCCTTGGCAGCTGCGGGGCCCCGCTCGCTCGCCAGCCCCGTGTGGGGCTCTCGGTGTCACCGCCGCCCACCCGCCTCGCACCTCGGTGCCATTTCCACACCTGGGCTTCCCAATTTCCGTCAGCACCGGGGGGAGGGATGCGGGGGGGCCGCTTTTAGGGGAAGCCACGCGGGAGCTCTGGCACGCGGCGGTGCCGCACGGGGACAGCGGGTTTTTCCAGACCGGATCCCAGGGCCATTAGGGGATCGCTGCGCCGGGCAGGCCCTGAGCAGAGCCAGGACTGGGGCCGGCGTCGCTGTGCGGGTCCCCTCCCGCCTGTCCCCTGTCCCCAGTCTGCGTGGCCAGTGACTGATTTCTCTTGTTTTCCACCCAGACCTCGTCCCCGCCGAGGGCTGCGACCTGCGGCCGGTGGCGGCGGAGCACCCGGTCACCCTGTCCTACAGCACGAGCACGGTGCCGTGGGGCTGCGTCAGCAGCAGCTCCCTGCACAGCGCCAATGAAGTCCACGTCCTCAGCATCCAGTGGTCCAAGGTGAGCCAGCAGCACCCCACACATCAGCCCCGGGCACCACCGGGGTGCTCATGTTGGGGTTTTCCATGTCCTGCCCCCTCCCTGGTGCTTTTCCAGCCCCCCCTGGGTAAATGCAGCCCCCTCGGCCCCTGGCACGCTGCGCTCAGCGCGGGGCTGTCGAAAGCATTTCCTGTAAATCAGGAGCGGGGAGAGGAACCAGATTAACCTTTTCCACAGTGCAACTTCCCCACACGGCTGCGCTTCTCCTCTGAGCTGAAGCTGCAGTTTCTCCGTGTCCCCAGAGGGGAAGTTTAAAGCCTTTTAAAGGCCACCATTCTGACACTTCTCTGGCACCGCAGGGACTGTCCCCACAACCCGCACGTCCCGCGGGGAGGTGGCTCTGCGGGGAGCAGCAGTGGGGCAGAGCCCAGCACCCACGGGGACGGTGCCGAGGAGGGCAGGAGGGATGCAGGGAGGCTCGAGGCGCTCACATCACTGGCATGCGGAAACGCAGCCACCATGAGTTTCACTGCTGCCTCAGGGGCGATAACCGAGCTGGGCGCTCCGGGTGGCTTTGGGGTGGCGCTGGGCACAGCGGGGCAGCGAGCTGGGGCTGTGTCCCCACCTGGTGCGGTCCTGAGAGCACGGGCAGGGCAGGAGGAGGCAGCTGGGGGGGCAAACCCCGCTGTAGGGCCCCTGCTGAGCTTCCCTTGAGCTCTCAGAGCCCCAGCAAGCACAGCACCACATTTTAGCCCAGCCCCAGCTGCCCAGCACCACGTTCCCCCCGCCGCCTCCCAGCTCTCCCAGTTCTGCTTTTTGGGGGCGCTGAGCAGGGGCGGCGCAGGGGGAGCCGCTTTGGGGGCAGCTTCTGCAGTGCCCCACACCCGCGGCGCCCCGGCACGGCCTCACCCCACACGCCCTGACGGGAAACCTGGCCCTGACGCAGGCAGGCGCCTGTGGCTGAGCGTCAGGGCCGGGGGTGCCCCGGCTTTGTCACCGGAGGCGGCAGGGGACACGCGCTGATGTCACGGCTGCGGCACTCGGCTCGCCGGCACCGAGCCCTGGGCGCGCGGGGGGGAGCGGGGCAGGGACCCGGCTCCGCTCGCAGAAGAATTACTGGAAGCCGCTTTCTATAAGCAGATCCCTAAGAAGAAAAAAAAAAAAAACAACACCGAGAAGAAAAACCTAAAAAAAGGCTGCAGCGGGGCGAGACGCAAACCGAGCCTCCCTGCGCTCGGCGGGCACCAAACAATGGAGCGCCGCAAAACACGCGGCAGGAAAACCAGCGCCGGCTCCTCCCGCCGCCACGGGGCCACCCGGGGTCCCCGGCCACCCACGCGGCCAAGCTCGCCCACGGGGCCACGGCCGGGCCAGGCGGTGCCCTCGGCCCCGTGGTGCCAGGGCAAGAGGCTGGCACCGCTGGTTGTGCCGTGCCTCGGTGCCCACGCAGCCCCGGGCGGCTCGCCGTGCCCGCTGTTGTGCCGGGAGCGCTGAGCCGGGCGGTGGTTTCCAAACTTAGCGCCTGGCTCCCCGGCTTCCTGACGCGGTTTTCCGGCTGAGCCGAGCCCTGCGGCTGCCCCGGGGCTGGAGCGGCTCCGCGGTGTCAGGATGGGGCCGGGAGAGCCATGGTGGGGGATCCTGGTACCCAGGGTGGGGATGTGTCGGTGCGTGGGGTTGGGGATGGGCCAGTCCCGGTGTGGGGACGTCCTGGGCTGCTCTGTGGGGATTTCCAGTTCCCGGTGTGGGATGCCCCAGTCCCCAGTGCTCTGACACCCATGATGGGTGCCCTGGCTGCAGCATGGGGAGCTCTGTCCCTAGTGCAAGGGACACCCTGAGCCCTCATCTGGGGACAGCCGGAGGGTTTTGTCCCGCTGTGGTGTGCAGTGAGCATCCAGGTGGCATCCCTGCATCCCTCACCTGCCCCAAGGCCATAACTCCAACCCCACAGCCCAAGCATGGCCAGCCTGACTGTCCCTCCCTGCTGCCCCATCACCGGGGGACACAGGGGGGGGGCTCTGTCCCAGCTGTGCCGCGGTGCTGACCCTCTCCTTGCTCCCCCAGGGCCCATCCACCACGCTCAATGTGTTGGTCACGGCTCCAGCCAGCGGCTGCACCCGGTCGGCGGTGCTGGTCCTGCAGTGCTCCCAGTGCTCGGCCTCCATCACCTCCCCGTGCCCGGAGCTCATCGTCCTCACCGTGAGTGCTGCGGGGACAGAGCCCTGGGAGCACTCCTTCTGGGGGGCACAGCGGGGCTGGGGACATCCCCGGGGTGCTTGGGGTGCCCACGGGGGACGCCGGTGCCCTCTCCCTCTCCCCAGGGCCGATGCGCCCGGCCCCCGGCGGCGGATCTGAGCGCGGGGCAGGCTGGGCGGCGAATGACGCACGGGGCTTGAAAAAGCTGCCGTTTCCTCCGGCTGCCGGGAGGAAGGTCAGCGATGGGGTTTGGCTCCAGCGAGCTGAGCCAGGGCCGGGAGCTTTGTTAGGAAAATAAACCTCCGGCTTTGTTTTGCGGCTAATAATAAAGCGGGCCGAGCTCCCCGCGTGCCGCCGGCCGGCCGCGCCGCTCCCCCAGGTCCTCCACGGAGCCGCGATGGGGTCAGGCCCTTGGAGATGCCCACCAAGCTGCCTTCAAAGCAGCGCCCTCCGTGCTGGGAGGGTATTTTCCTGGCTGCAGACGGAGCCGGGGAGGGATCCATGCGTCCTGCCCCGGCTCACGTTGCCTCTCGCCCTCAGGACGCCTTCGTGATCCAGGGCAGCCCCGAGGTGCAGCAGAGGGAGCTGCCGGCAGCCTGCCAGCAAGGGGCAGCTGCTGGACTGGGCACGGGGCACCTACGGGGGCATCACGTCCTACAGCGAGCTGTGGGACCCGCGCGCCATCCACCTCCGCCTGGGCGAAGGTGCGTCGGGGGACAGGGGGGTGGCGGGGAAGGGGGGACACACCGGGTGGCACCAGGGTGGGGAGGAAGGGGCTGCAGGGCTCTCCCTGCTCCCAGCACACGCCGGGTCCACGGGGTGGTGGTTCCCCTGGGCACCCTCTCTGTGCCCACCGAGCGCGGTTTGGTTTCGGTGACCTCAGCTCTTCCTGTGCCCCCCCCCAGATGCCCGCAGCCCCCCAGACTGCGTCCCCCAGGAGCACTTCAACGCCGCGCCGCACCTCGACGCCGAGGTGTTCTCCCAAGGGATGAGGAGCTGCGCCAGCGGCAGCGCCCACAGCTCCAGGACTGCCCACATCATCCAGCTGCAGCCTGAGCACAGGTACCGTGCGTGTCCCCCCCCCGGGAGGAGGGCACAGCTTGGGGAACCTGGGGAAGGGGTCGGGGTCTCTTGGAGACTCCGGACCCGGCGGAGTGAGGGGCTGAGGCTGGAGGGGGTCTCGTGCTCTTGCAGCTCGCCCCTCACGGAGGTGAACCTGTCCATGAGCTGTTCCGAGCCGGCAACGGGCAACCACATCCTCATCCTGCAGAGCCACACCAACCTCACCTGGATCCTCTCGCCTACCGGCTGCCACGTCAGCTTCCTGGTACGGCGGGGACGTGGCGGCCCCCTCACCGTGCCGTGATCCCCCAGAGCCTGTCCCCACCTCGGTGCGGCCCCGACCGCGGTGGCTGCTCACATCTGGATGCCCCCGGCCCCGCTAAGCCCCCCCCGTGCCACCCCCACAGGTCTCCAGCCCCTACAGGATCACGTCCATGCCATGGCAGCTCATATCTGGAGGGACGCTGCCCGACACGGAGCAGGGCCTGGTCGCCAAAGCCTTCGAGAAGAACTGTAGCGTCATCGCCTCCTATTCCATCATCCCCACCAGCCCCCGCATCACCCTGGAGATCCAGGAGCGCGGTGGGTCCCCGGTGCCCCTCCTGGGCTCAGGGTTTTTGGGTTGGGGGTGTCCCCGCTCAGCTCCCCGCGTCCTCTCCCCGCAGAGGTGCCGAGGAAGCCGCCCCTGATGCTCACGTCGCCGGCCCCCACCTTGGACACGCTGCCCAACGACCTGCTCCTCATGCTCCGGCCCTGGAAGTGCACGGATGACACCATGGAGATCATCATCACCAGGTCCCACCTGGAGGTGAGGGCACCGCCAGCGTGCTGGGGGGAGTCTCATCCTGCTCCTGGGTGCCGGGGGGATGCAGGGGAGGGGGGGCTGGCCGGGCACCCCGGAGGGAGCTGTGGGCACGGCTGGTGGCTTTTCTCTTAGCCCATCAAGGACGTGGTGAACATCACCCTGCGGGACATCAGCTGCCAGGCGGAGAAGAACGCCACGCACTTCATGCTGCGCACCCCCCTCAGCCACTGCGGCACCTCGCTGGAGAGCCAGGGCAACTGCCAAGAACGAGGTGAGGGGATACGGCGGGGGGGGGGGGGGGGCAGGAGGTGTCCCCATCCCACCAGGGATAAGGGACCCCATCGGCGGGATGCTCACGGCCACAGGCTCAAGGCTGACCGAGCCTTCCTCCCCTCCTCGCAGCTCATCCTCAGCCTGTCCAAGGGCTCGGTGCCCAGGATTGTGCGGGTAAGTGCCGGTACCGGTGCCACGGGGTCACGGGGTGCCGTGGGGTGGCTCACGCTGTCCCTGTCCCTGTCCCTAGGTGGCCTTCCAGTGCCAGATCCCACGGGAGCTCTTCCTGCGCCTCTTCCCCACCGCCGCCTTCGAGGTGCCGCAGACGGAGCTGGAGGTCAACAAGGAGGCTTTCGTGCAGGTACCGCAGCGCCCGGGCACCGCGGGGAGCCGTGGTGCCGGGGGGGGTGGCATCCCTCACGGCGACCCCGTGTCCCCATCCCCGCAGGCCTCCATGCGCTGGGACGACTACCCGGCCGACCTGCAGCTGAAGGAGTGCTGGCTGGTGGCAGCGGGGAGGGAGCCGCTGCTGCTGGTGCAGGCCAACAAGGCGCAGAGCTCCAGCGTGGCCGTGCTGGAGGAGCCCCCCGGCAGCAGGGCCAGGAAGGTTTGGCGATTCCGCTTCACCTACGCCGTCCCCGAGGGCGGCCACGTCCCCTTCTCCGCCGCCCTCAAGTGCAAGGCCGGGCTGCAGGTCGGTGTGACACCCCCGTCCCGGGGTCCCCGCGGGTGTCCCCAGCCACCCGTCTCCAGCGCCAAGCTGGGGACAGCGCCCCGGGGCCACAGAGCCCCTGGGTATGGGGGTCCCCAGCCCCGTCCCCGTGGGATGGTGGCACCGGGGTGGTGGCGGTGGGGCAGGGCTGTCCCCGAGCTCACCCCAACCCTCCCCGTGCGCAGAACAACACCATCTTCGAGAAGGTTTTGGAGGTGACCGTGAAGGACGTCTGGAGGCCACCCAACAGTGAGTTTGGGGCTGGGAGGAGCCGTAGGGAGGTTTTGGGACGGTGTCACCGTGCTGACGGCCCCGTGTGTGTGTCCCCCCCTACAGACCGAGGGCTGGGGCTGGGCGCTGTGCTGGGCATCACCTTCGGAGCCTTCCTCATCGGGGCGCTCCTCACCGCCGGGCTCTGGTACATCTACTCGCACACCCGTGAGTACCTCTGTGCGTGTGGGGGCGGCGAGGGGGGGCCCTACACACATCCCATAGCTGGGAATCCCACCCTATTCCCCCGTCCCAATCCTCCTGTACGTCCCGGGGGGGTCCTGCTGCTCTCAGCAGCAGCATCCCTTCTGGCTGGGGCTGTGTGAGAAGGAGCCTGCCCAGGCATGGACGTGCGGTCCCTGGGGTCCCGTGAAGCCCATCTCCATCCCACGCCTTATCAGGGCCGGGGGGGGGCCGGGGAGGGGGCGCGAGCCCTGCGCCAGGGCCTGGAGGCTCTTATCGGGCTGGAAAGGTCAGGTCCAGGATGAGCCATCCCCGGCCGGCCCTGCTGGCGCCGAGATTTGTTTTTTTGTCCCTTCATGTTTTTCTTCCCCCCCTCCCTCCCCTTTCCTATCCTTCCCCTTTCCAATTTCCCCCCCCCCCCCAACCCCACACCCCCCGGTGGTAATGCAGGGCCCATCTCCAAACTGCAGCCGGTCTCCACCACGGCGCCGGCCTCGGAGAGCAGCAGCACCAACCACAGCATCGGCAGCACGCAGAGCACCCCCTGCTCCACCAGCAGCATGGCCTGACCCCCCCGGACCCCCCCTCGCCGCTGCCTCCGCCTCAGCCCCCTTAAAAACCCTTTTTCTGCCCCCCCACCAGCCCCCCAAAAATAATTTGAGGCTGAGCCCGGAGGGGGCCGCGGCCCCTCGCCGTCCCCGGGGCCGCCCTTACTCATTCAGTGAATGCTTTGGCCCCCCCCCGGCAGCCCGTGGAGGGAGGTGGGGGCCCCCTGTGACCCTCCCCGGGGGTCCCCAGCAGATGGGGGGGTGCTGGGGGCAAAGGGTGGGTGCCCCCGGGGTGCGCCCCGGTGCTCTCCATCCTGTGTGGGGACAGTGTAGCCCCCATATACCCCCCCCAAAAATGCTCCCTGAGCAATGGGGGGGGGCCCAGCACAGCCCCGATGGGGTCACTGCCCCCCCCCCCCAGCACCCCCTCACTCTGTGTCCCCATCCCATAAAGGCAGCGGGGCTGGGAGCAGCGAGAGGTTTATTGGGGTGGGGGGGCTGCGGGGCCGGGCGGCACGGTGTGACCGATGCGCAGAGAGCAGCCCGGCCCCCCGCCCCCCCAAAACACCCCCACCCCCCCCCAGCCAGCTCCAGGTCAAAGTTACAAACTTTTAATAATAATAAAAACCTATCCTACGTTAAATTAGTCGCCGCAACGAGGAGCCTCGGAGTCACACCCGGGGCACCCCCAAACCTCTCATGTGGGGGGGGCAGCCTGCGTCCATCTCACCCCCCCCACACACACACACCCCCCCCAAGGGGGGGCCAGGAGTGTCCCCCCCCCACCTCATGGGGACACCCAGCGTGGCCACGGCCACCGCCACCCCCCCATGGGGCTGGCACAGACAGAAGGCACTGGGGTGAGAAGGGCCGGGATGGGGGGGGGGAATCCCATGCGTGCCCGCCCCCCCCCCAGCAGTTCAAGTAAAGGGTGAAGGACCCCAAATCCCGCTCACTGGGACAGGGAGGGGTCCAGCAGCTTGAGGACCCCCCCCACCAGGTGCAGGCTGCCGGTGACGAGGACGTGGATGGCGGCCTGCCTCCTGCAGCAGCACGGCCCCGCTGCTGGCCACGGGCTGGGGGTGTGCCCCCCCCTTGGGGGGGGGCGCGGGGAGGTGGGGGTCCCGGCCCTGGGCGATCCACTGCAGGGCGTGGGAGAGGCAGGGGAAGACGAGGGAGGGGGAGTTGAGGGGGCGCTCGGCTGGGGGCACCAGCAGCAGGGCTGCCCCCCCTCCCCGTAAGGGGGCCGGCTCCAGCAGCCCCCCCACTTGCCGGGGGGGGGACAACCAGGGGGTCTCCTGGCCCCCCTTCTCCTCCAGCAGCCGCCCCCACGTCTTCTGGTTCTCCAGGCAGCGGGTCAGGGCGTTCTCCAGGGTCACGGTGAAGTTTTGTTGGTCTGGGGGGAGGGGAATGAGTAAAAAGGGGGGGGTCTGGGATGGAGAGGAGGGAGGGGGGGCGCACCAGGAGGTCCCAAAGCCCCCCCCTCCCAGCACTCACCAGCACTGCCGGTCACTGACAGCTCCGTGAAGTTGGGGCAGAAGACGGCGTAGTCGAAGTGGCAGGGCTGCAGGGAGAGGGGGGCTCAGCGTGCAGGGGGGGCACCGGGACCCCCACCCACAACCGCAGTGCCACTGGGACCAGTCCCAGCCCAGTGGGGCTCTTGGGGGGGGGGCACGGAGCTGGGGGTGTCAGGACGGACAGACAGACAGACAGCAGCTCCACCTCGTGGCTCCTGCACCCACGGCACAGCGGGGCCCAGGGGCACACAGGGGGGGGCGCTCAGCCCCCTGCCAGCACCCGCTGCCCCCCCGTAGCCCCCCCCCCCCAAAAAAAAAACCTCACCAGCAGCAGCTTGAGCAGCGCGGCCGTGTCCCGGTCCCCCGTGGCGTTGAAGAGCAGCACACGCACCTCGGAGCCGCTGCGGGGACAACAGGGAGGGGGTGAGCGCCACCCTATAGCCCCCCCACCCCCCAAGGACCCCGGCATGGCCACCGGGTGTTTGTGTGCCCCCCCCAGCTCCCCCCCCATGTCCCCTCCTTACTCCTGGGGCTTGTCGTGGCTGAGGGCAGCCTGGCGGAACCAGCGGACGCAGGCCTGGACGCTGCTGGTGGTGTGCGCCCCGTCCAGGTACCAGGTCACGGCGCCGTGGGGCAGCACCTGCGTGCGGCCCAGCCACTCCGTGTCCCTCAAACCTGGGGGGGGGACACAGGGGACACAGGGGACACAGCTGGACCCCCCTCATTTCATCACCGGGACCCCCACAAGCAGGGGTATGGCGGTGGCACAGCAGGCGGCGGCAGAGCATCACCACACGGCCGTGTCAGGGACACCCGGGATGTCCACAACCCGTTACAAATGCGCTGGTGGCACCGGGGGGGGTCACACGCGGCCCCCCCACCCCGTACCCACCCCTCACCTTGGATCATGGCATCGCTGGGACGAAACACGGGCGCCAGCGGCACCGATGGCTGTGCCAACAGCTCCGTGCTGAGCGGCACCTCCGGCAAGACCTCGGGACCTGCTGCGGGACAGGCACCAAAACGTCACTCATGCCCCCCCCCAGCCCTATTTTCCACCCCGTCTGCCCCCCCCCTTTCCCCGCCTTACCCTCGTAGCCCCGCCGCTGCAGCCACGTCCTGGCGAGCTGCAGTGCCAGCGCGGCGTTGGAGCGCTGGTGGCCGCCCGCCAGCCCCAGCTCCAGCGCTTGGCTCCCGGCCTCGAAGGCGTCCAGCTCCGGGCAGACGTAGAGGGGGCACTGCGGGGACAGGAGGCTGAGCCCCCCCCCCCCAAACACCGCACGGAGCCCCCCCTGCTCGCTCCCAACCCCGTCCCTGAGCTCACCCCAAGCTCCCGGGCTCGGTCCCGCAGCACCTCCAGCGGCCGCTCGGGCTGCGGCACGGTGAACGCCGGCACACCGGGCTGCGGGGGGGAAACACGGAATTAGGGACGGCCCCCCGAGCACGGCCCCAAAGAAGCCCCCCCTCGGGGGCGCGGGGGCTTGTCCCTCACCTTAAAAATGCCCCCCTTCTGCCAGGCGATCTTCTCCACCGTGTCCCCCAGGATGCTGGTGTGGTCGATGCCCAGTGAGGAGACGCCGCACACCACGGGGGTCCTGGGGACACGTTGGGGGGGCTCAGTGGGGGTGGGGGGGGTGGCACGGGGACGATATGGGGACAACGCGGGCGCCCACCCTACCTGATGATGTTGGTGCAGTCGTAGGCGCCGCCGATGCCCACCTCCAGCACCGCCAGGTCCACCTGGGGACAGAGGGCATGCGGGGAGATGTCAGCGGCGAGCGTCCCCGGGGATTTGGGGGTGACGGGTGACGGGATTTGGGGTCCACCGGCACCACGAGCTGGGCACGACCCCCCCAGGGGTCATCCCCCCCCCAAATCCGCGGAAGCACCGCGCCATCCCCTACCTTTTCCTGCAGGAAGACGTGGAAGGCCATGATGGTGAGGAAGCGGAAATACGCCGGCATGCTGGCCTGCGCCGCGTCCTGCCGCGATGGATAAGGATTAGGGACGACCCCAAGGGGCTCCCCAGTCCCCACTGAGCCCCCAAAGCCCCCCCCCGGTCCCAACGAGCCCCGGGAAGCCCCCACCTTGGTCTCCTCCAGGCGGTTGTAGACCAGCCAGAAGTACTTGCTGAAGAGCTCCTTGCTGAGCGGCTGCCCGTTGATGCGGATCCGCTCGCGCACCTGCACCAGGTGCGGGGAGCTGGGGAGGGAGGGGGGACACCAAAAAAAACAAAAAAAAAAAAAAGGAGAGAGGTGACACAGGTGACACCCTCAGGCATGGCCTACGCGGTGTCCCCGTGTCCCCCCCAAGCCCCCCAGCCGCTCCTGCCCACCTGTAGAAGCCGGTCTTCAGCCCGTAGCCGCGGAGGATGCGCTCGGTGAAGGCGCACGCTGAGCCCTGGGGATGCGGCAGCATCAGCCCTGGGTCCCTGTCCCCAGCCCTGTCCCTGTCCCCAGCCCCATCCCCATCCCCTCTGTCCCCATCCCTGTCCCCATTCCCATCTCCATCTCCATTTCCATCCCTATCCCTTCTGTTCCCATCCAAGTCCTCTCTGTCCCTGTCCCCATCTCTGTCCACATCCCCATCCGTGTCCCCTCTGTCCCCATCTCCATCCCCATTCCTGTCCCTATCCATGTCCCCTCTGTCCCCATCCTTGTCCTCTCCGTCCCTGACCCCTCTGTCCCCATCCCTATCCCCATCCCTGTCCCCTCTGTCTCCATCCCCATTCCTGTCCCCATCCCCTCTGTCCCCATCCAAGTCCTCTCTGTCCCTGTCCCCATCTGCGTCCCTGTCCCCATCCCTACCCCTGTCCCTATCCTTGTCCCATCTGTCCCCATTCCTGTCCCCATCCCTGTCCCCATCCCTATCCCTGGCCCCTCTGTCCCCATTCTTGTTCCTGTCCCCTCTGTCTCCATCCCTGTCCTCTCTGTCCCTGTCCCCATCCCCATTTCCGTTCCCATCCCCATCCCCTCTGTCCCCATCTCCACCCCCGTCCGTCCCCTCTGTCCCCATCCCTATCCTCTAAGTCCTGTCCCCATCTCCATCCTTGTCCCCATCCCCATCTCCGTCCCCATCCCCATCCCTGTCCCTACTGTCCCTATCCTTGTCCCATCTGTCCCCACCCCTGTCCCCATCTCCATCCCCGTCCCCTCTGTCCATGTCCCCATCCGTGCCCCCCCGTGCCCCCCCTCACCTTGCCCTTCGTCCCGGTGACGTGGATGATGTTCAGCCCGTCCAGGTCCTCCACCTGCAGGTCAGCCACCCCGTGGGACCCCTGCGGCCACATCCCAGGAGGGGGGGACAGGGGGACAAGGACCGCGGGGCCACACTCAGGGGCTGGGGGGGTGACATGGGGGTGTGTGGGGGTGTGTGGGGGTGCCCCCCCCTCACCTGCAGCCCGCTCCTCTCCAGGAAGCCCCTCATGGCCTCCAGCTGTGCCCGGGGGTCGGGGCGCTCCCTGCGGAGCTGCTCCAGGAAACTGGCGTTGGTCTGCAGCGAGTTCAGCGTGCGGATGGCGTCCTGAGGGGGCACCGCTGTCAGACACCCCCACAGCCCCCCCCACACAGCCCCCCCACCCCAAAAACACCCCCCCACACCCCCCCAACCCCACCCCCAGCACCCAAACACCCCCCAGGCACCGAGTGCGGACCCCGCTGCACCCCCCACGCTACCAGTGAGGGTCCCGCAGTCCACTTTTTACCTCAACCCCCCCAATTTGTTGCCCCCCCCCCCCCCCCCCCCAGTACCTGATAATCCGCGGCGGGGGCGCGCGCGGGGCGCGTGCTCAGCCCCCTCCTCCCCCCCTCCCCCTCCCCGCCGCCGCGGCCCGCAGCGCGCGCAGCCCCCGCGCCACCATCCCCGCCGCGCGCCTCTCAGGCCCCGCCCCCCCCGGCCACGCCGCTAAACGGCCCCCCCCCCCCCCCTTTTTTATAAGCCTTGACGCCGCCGCCGCCATCTTGGTTGAGGGCACACCCCCCTCCCCTCCCCTCGGCATCCCGCCGGTGGGCGCCATGTTGGAGAAGGGCAGGGTCCCCTCATAGTGAGGGGCGCTGAGGCAGGGCTGGGTGCACAGGGAGCCCCACAGCACAACCGCGGGGTGGGGGCTGCGAGCACAGCCTTAAACCGCCCAAAATCCTCACAAAAAACCCCCAAGATGGCAAAAAGGCAGCACAGCAGCCCCGCTGCCTCCTCAGGGAGGATGCTCGGTGCCCGCTAGTTGTGTTACCACAGCGGGCATGGCGCCCTGTCAGCAGAGCCCTGTCAGGGCACGCTGCGCCCCGCTGCCTGCCCCTGCCCGCCCTCTGAGGCAGCTCCCCAAACTTTGGGAGGTTAAAGCACAAGAAGCAGGGCCACACACAGCGGGGGAAGGCGCTGGGGAACAAGATCACCTTTATTCACAACCGGCACGAGGCATCGGGCTGATCACTCGCAGCTAACTTCATTTTTTTTTTCCTCCCCTCACATTTTTTTTCCCCCCAAGTCCCCTCGCGTCCAGGCATGATCCGGGAGCCCCCCGCAAATTTACCTTATAGGTGTCCTTTATCATCCTCGGGGGCTGCTCGGCGTGGGGTGAGCTCCCCACCTGCCTCCACCACGAGCTGAGCCACCACCACCGCGGCTTTTACATTGGCCTGGTTAATGCACAACCTCCCTAAAGGCCAAAGGTTATCACCCGCCGCCTTTCGTGTGCATTTACGTGTTCGAAAGTCTTGGGATCCATGTGGCTTGGGAGAAGACGGCCATGTGCAGCCGGCAGCCGTGGGGACGAGGTGCTGGGCAGGACCTGAAGGAGCACTTGTTCCACGCCAGCCGGGCTCCAAAGCTCCGGCAGAGCGAGGCAGATGCACGCCGGCACCGTGTGCCACATCTCTGTGCCTGGGGACGGCCTGTGGTCCTGCTCCAGACCCACCCACGGAGGGCCAGGACACAGGAGTGGCCCTGGCTCCTCCAACACGGCCGTACCACGCTGAAAGCTCTGCAAGCAGGGGGTCAGGGGCTGCCTGCAAGCACCCCCAGCTCCCTTCCCAATCCAAATTCTTGCTGTGGTTAGCACTAAGCGAAAAGCAGGCAGCCAGCTAGGTGTGTCCCACAGGAATCCTAATTGCAGCTTGGAACCAAGGAAGCACGGACGCCGAGCACTGTGGCAGAGACCAATGATTCCCACCGTAAATCCCGGCTGCACGGAGCAAGGAGCTGTGTCAGCCACCCAGCAGGTCCCTTTCCAGGCTGCAGCCCAAAACTCCAGTGAGAGTTAGTCACTCCAGGCAGTATGACGACGCCTTCCCTGAGACATGTCCAAATTACTCAGAGGCACCTGCCTCATCCTACACCAGCTTCTGGGTGCTCAGAGGACACGCTGTGTAGGAGCTAAGAGCAACTGAGAGGCAGAGACGGCCACCAGCGGGGCCCAGTCTGATCCAGGGCAGCTGCTCCCAGCCCTGCGGCTCCCTGCACTGTTTGCTGAGAGCCTCAGCGAGCCCCCGCACTGACACAGCCACCTCCTCCGTCACCAGGTCCCTAACAATTGATCCACGAGATTACCCTAACCAATACAGATTGCCCCAGGGGACACGGGCTGTGGGCCAAAGCTGCAGGGAAACAACCCTGGGCTCGCAGGCTTCACCTCCCCACTCATTCACTCACACACACACACACACACACACACACACGGCTCGCACGCCGCAGCTCCTTAGTGGCAGAGCTGCTGTGCAAGGAGAGGGGACGGCAGAGCTCGGTTAAAGCCACCAGGCACTTCGCCGTGAAGGAAGTCCCTGCCCAGAGAGAGAGACAGAGAGAGAGAGACCCCGCCAGCACACCCCTGCTCACTGCACCTCCCCGAGCAGCCCGGCCGGGACCCCGCTCAAAAGACCCTGTCGAATTCGGTCTGGTTGGTGGCCGCGGGGTTCCTGCCCTGGTTGGCTGGCTGCTGGGGCATGTGGCCACCCCGCCTGCGCGGCGGGGCCAGGTACTCGAACATGGACTGGTTGTGGGTGGACAGCATGTTTTTGAGGTCCGAGGGCATGGGGTCCGACCAGAAGAAGTCGTGGTTCAGGGCGTCGTCGCTGTCGATGCGTTGGGCGGGATCCAGCACCAGCAGCTTGTCGATGAGGTCGAGCGCGTAGGGGTCCTTGACGTAGGCTTTCAGGCGATCCTTCACCTTGCGCTTCTGGCCCTTGGGGAGCTCCAGCTTCTCAAACAGCTCGTATTTATCCACGTTCGGCCAGACCTGGGAGGGAGCAGGAAGGGGAGGGTTGGGAGATAGTTCCAGAGCAGAAGCCATTGAAGCTAACGCCCTCGGGCAAATTGGCGTGAGGTGTGCTGAGAGAACAATGCTACTTCAGAAGCTCCAAGCCAGCAGGCCTTGTTCCCACAGCACGGAGACACTGAAGCGCACACCAAAGCCTACAGACACGTGGACAAGTCAGGACAGAATCCTCCCGGAGCGGGAACGGCACACAGCACAGCGCTCCTGAGGATGCCAAAGGATTTCTGTCCTCCCACCAAAAAAAAAAATAAAAAAAATCTACTGGAGAACCAGCTCAGGCCAACTACAACATCCAGAAAGGTCAACGGACAAAACTCCTCGCTGATAACAACCTGGATGTTCGTGGCACCTTTTATCTTTAGGAACCACAGCCCGCTGCAATCACTTATACTTCCCTCAGCCCCAGTCTGGGACAGGCCACAGCAAGTCCATGGGTACAAAAGGGAACACCTCCAGTGCACCTACCAGCGTCCCTGCAGCCACGTGCACAGCCACCCTCCTCTCACACCCTGTTTGATGAAAACCCTGGCCAAGGTCCCTTTCGGCTCCACCTTCCAGCAGAGGGCAGGACTGGCTGCCCTTAAGGAGCTGAGAAAGGGCTGAGCGCTCCCAGCAGGGCTGAGAGCACAGCACTCCTCATCTCAGAAGAGCCACGTTCACCCTCGGGTGTTTCGGAGGCTGCACAAGGCTAAGGAAACATCTGGAGCTCACACGAAGCAGCACAGAAGCTCAGTGTCACAGGACACGGCCCCCAGCAGCAGGCACAACGATGCTGGGCACACGCAGCAGCCCGCACACGGGGCAGGGAGAGGAGCAGGAGCATTTGGCCCCAGTCCCAGCCCTCACCACCCCCCTGCAGCTCCCTCCTCCTGCCCTCACCTCCGGCGTGATGGATCCGCAGAGCTGGCTGATGAGGGTGAGCTGGTGCTGCTCCGTGTTGCCCTGCATGATGGGGCTGCGGGTCCACATCTCGGCCATGATGCAGCCCCCGCCCCACAGGTCGATGGGGGGCCCGTAGTCCCGCTCCCCTACGGAGAGGCGCCGCGTTAATCACCCGGGGAGCGAGGAGGGAGGAGGAGAGGACAGAGCCCAGCGCCTACCTAGGAGCAGCTCTGGCGGCCGGTACCACAGGGTGACCACGCGGTTGGTGTAGCGGTTGGGCTGGCTGTTCTTAGCCAGGCTGAAAGCTCGAGCCAGCCCGAAGTCCGCGAGCTTCAGGACCCCGTCCCGCGTGATCAGGACGTTGGCGGCTTTCATGTCCCGATGCAAGATCTGCACGAGGACGGACGGGGAAAGATTGAACCACCCAGGAGCCCTCCTTTGGCACCCTGGCCCCGGAGATGAAGGACGAGGAAGGATTCCCCCCCAGCCTGTGCTGAGACACCCGCTCACAGAGAGCAAGGTGGGGCTCGGAGCTCAGCGTGGATCCAGCCCGTTACCTTGTTCCTGTGGATGTAGTACAGCCCGTTCAGCAGCATCTGCATGACTTTCTTGATCTCCGAGAGCGTGAACTTGACGTGGGCGTTGCTGAGGAGGCCGGCCAGGTCGTGCTCGCAGAAGTCAAACACCAGGTAGATGCTGCCCTTGCAGCGGTTGTACGGAGAGGCTGCAGGAGGGGCAAGCAGGGACAGTCAGAGAGGGACCCCCAGTGCCACCACAGCTCCTCCTGACCTCCAGCCATCCCGGAGTAAAACCTCAGGGCACACAAACAGGGAAACACAGACCCCACAGGCCTCAAGGTCCTTCAGACAGAGGCACTAAGGCAGCAAAAACAAGCATTGGAAGAACAGGGGGTGAGCAGCAAATGTCACGAGAAAGGCAAGGAAAGGAGACAAAAATCTTTGAAAGCTCGATTTGTGTGCCTAACAGCTGTGGGGCTTCCTCCCTACAAACCCATCGGTGCACACAGCGCCAGCCAAGCAGGATCAGCACAGCAGCAAGGGCAAGGACAGTCCAAGAAGAAAAAAAACAACACAGGAACAGAGAAAATCTTTCTAAAATAACATTAGAAAGCGAGGCGTTCTTCAACCTCAAACGGTATCTACGAAAACAGCCTGATCCAGATCAATACGATTTAAAACTCCAATTTCAATTGCCATTTAAAGTCAATAGCAGGAAACCTCAAATGAAGCAATCAATTTCAATCTCGTTCCTAGGGCACACGTGCAAAACATTAAAGCAAAAGGCCGATTTCCATCAGCTGTACGCAGCAAAACCGCCCATCAGCAGGCAGAACACGAGGGCTGAGCTCCCCCCTGGCTGGGAGGATGCCTGTGGGTCTGTGCGAGTCCCTGACAGGGGCACAGCCCTCACCACGTGAAAGGACAGAAGCTGGAGGTCTGGGAACAGTGAGTGCCACATTCCTATTTTTCACGTGAAACTGAGGTCAAAGCGGATTTGGAAGGAAAGTGGAATTTAAACAGAAACCAAACAATTTTACACGTCCACAAAAATATTTACCTTCGGCGTGCCAGACACAGGCAGTCATCACAACTGGCTTAATCACACAAGGAATTAAAAATTAACTCGGTGGCAGTGTTTTTCCTTGTACCCGCCAGTTCCAAAAACTGACAGTAATCAATAGATGCTGCGGAGTAAATTCCGGTCCCCAGTCCTGGGCTGGAGGTTTCTACCCGGTGTTTTTAACAGACCAGCAGCAGCAGACAGCTGCCACTTGCATTTTATTTAACCAAAGCAACTGGCTAGAGCATGGCAAGCTTTAACATCATCTGTCACCTCCAGAACTGCTTTTTCTGGTAAAATCCACAGAAGGGGTTGATGGATATAAAGCAGGACACGTTTTAACCCCATTTCCCTGGGAACTGAGCCAGGCCAGGTGCACTGAGCACAGCAGGCACGCTGCCTGCCCCGGGGACAGCCTGCAGCGAGGAGGTGGAGCAGCAGGCAGCTGGGCACCAAACGGGGCCATGGCACATCTGACCCTGCCCCGAGCCTGAGTGCTGGCTGCAACACACCCAGCGAGGGGCTGAGTGAGCCTCCAGCTGGAACACAGCTCCCAGCACAGCCCCGACACCATCCAGCCATAAAATCCATGCCAGGAGGAACGCCCCCAGCTTCGGGTGCTCTCCAGCACAGGTTTATTTAAAGCCTCTCAGGCAGCACGGTGACAGCAGCATGCTCTGAGGAGGGTTTTTTTCCAGCCAAGCTGTGGCACGGCTCTAACCCATTGAGAGGCAGCTTCCCAAACCGCGGGTGCTGTCACCCCAAGGCCCAGCTGGTGGAGCCGCCCCCCCCAGGGCACAGCGCCCTGCTCAGCCGCCACGCGGGGCTGAAGGAAAACCCACAGCCCCCTGGCAGCTACCTTTGGTCCTGCAGATCTCTATGAGGTTCACCACGTTCTCGTGCTTGAGCAGCTGGAGGATTTTAATCTCTCGCAGGGCTGTGATCGGGAACTGAAAGGAGAAGCAGAAGGTGTGGGTTAGGAGAGCAGGAGAGCAGCCCACAGCCGCCTGGGGGACAGGGAAGCTGTGAGCACAACAACACAGCAGGGGAGCTGCTGGAGCAGCACCTGTACAGCTTATTTATGTGCCATCAGTGCTTCAAAACATGACACTGGGACTGTCAGAATTCATTCACCACCGTTGGTAGGGGTGATTCTGCCACCAGGCGGAGGAATTTTATTGACCCTGACACCCAGTCTCCCGTGTTTGTTTGCCCGAGGGCACCGCACAGCCCCGCCTGGCAGAGCGGCCTCCCCGCTACCCGTTAACGCTGCTCCTCGAGACCTGGCATGTCCCAGCTGTGAGCATTATCAGGGAACACACGCAGGGAGCGAGGACACCCTCTGCTATCACAGAGATCAGCTCCGCTCCCCGCACCTCCCCCCCCGACCTCCCCAGACACAGCCACACGCAGCTCACCCCCTCCTTCTCGTTCTCCATCAGCACCTTCTTCAGCGCCACCTTCTTGCCCGTCTGGCGGTGCTTGGCTTTGAAAACCTCCCTGGGAAGAGGGGGAGAAGGGGGAGAAGGGGGAGAAGGCTGTGAGGGGACAGGGCTGGGGTAGGGGGTAGGGGCTAGGGCTAAGGCTAGGCCGCAGCCCCCCCTCCCGGCCGCAGCCGAGTCCCCGCGGCCCGCGCTCTCACCCGAAGGTGCCCTGCCCGATCTTGGCGAGCTTCTCGTACTTGGAGACCTCGTCGCAGAAGGGGCACTCCACCATGTCGTACTGCTTGGCCATCCCGCCGCCGCCACAGCCCCGGCCCCGGCCCCTCTCCTCACGGCTTCCCCCTTCCCCCCCCTCCCCTCCCCACTTCCTGTTTCCCGCTTCCCGCCGCTTCCGGCGCAGCCGCGCTGCCCGCTGGGAGTTGTAGTCCCGCCGCCCGCCGCCATCTTGTCAGCCCTCGCCTTGAGGCGGGCTCAGCCCATGGGGGGCGCCGCCTCCGCCCGCCCCTCAGCCCCCCGGGGGCTCGGTGCTGGTGGGGGGGACCCGTGGGGATCCCCAGCCCCTGTCCCAGTGTACACGAAGCACAGCAAACACGGATAGGGACTGCAAGCACTGCCCGTGCCAGGCTCTGTTTGGGGTCGTGGGTGCCCAAAGGGGGGACCCCAAATGGGCAGGGACGGGGGCGCACAGGCTGGACACAGCCCCATGGCTCCCCGCTGCCCCCACCTCACCTCATTCCTCCAGGGCCCGCAGCCCAGCAGGGTCTGGGGGCGTGAGGTGGGCACGAGGCCACCACCCAGGGACTGGGTGAGGGCAGGGGCTGAGCCTGGTGCCCAAATTTATGGGGTCACCGCGGCTGGGAAACGGCTCCGGGATCACCTGGTGCAGCCACCAGCAGCCAAAGGGGGGGCGTCATCTGTAGGGCTGGCACCGCCGTCAGCGGGATGGCACCTGGGGTTTGGGGCAGCCCCAAAGCTGTGTCCCCGGGTGGCTCCTGAGTGGGCAGGTGGGGATGAGAGGACTGTGGGGACAGGGGGGACATCAAGGAGCATGGTCAGCGGGTACCAGGGGACAACGGGGACAGTGGGGACAGTGGGGACAGCGGGGACAGGGGGCTGCCACACGAGCAGATGACAGCATCAGGGAGGAAGCGAGTGATCAAGAGAGCGAGCGAGAGGCGGAGGGGGGGGACAGGAAGGGAGGAGCGGGCAGGGACAGCCTTCAAGTTTATAAACTTGTCCCTCCCGGTCCCCGCAGCACGGCCATGGCTGAGGGCCAGAAACGAGGGGGCTTCAAGAAATTCAGTAAGTCACCGGGGGATGAAGAGGGCGGGCGCCGGGTGCTCACCTGGGCAGCCTGGCCCCAAAGGGGGGGATGCACGAGCACGGTCACCTCTCGTAAGAGAGAGGTTGCATCAGGAAACCCGCTGGGGATGAGAGGGGCTCTGGGGTTTTGCATCCCCAGGGCTGGCTCGAGCCCTGCTGCTGATGGGCCAGGTGCTGGGAATGGGACTGGGACCGGTCTGCATGCACTGGGTGCCAGCGTGCACCCAGTGGGGGTGAACCCCACTCTCACCCCGCTGGGGATTTCGGCTCCCCAAATCACGCCTTGCAAGGAGCATTCACCCCGCTGTGTGCCTGGGGGTGAAAGCCGGGGCTGGGGGTGTCCGGGACCACTCCAGGTCCTCCTGCAGCAGCGATTTGGGATGGAGGCCGGGGGCGAATCCGCACCGATGGAGCCGCACTCGGGGATGAAGCGCTGGGAGCGGGGCGCAGAGGAAGCGGTGGTGCCCGCGGGGAGGGAGCCGTGCTCTTTCTCACAGTTTCTGGTTTTCCCCAAAGCCCTGGGACTGCACATCGCCAGGCCCCGCGCTGAGCAGGAGCTGGCCTTCGCTGCTGCTCTCCACATTCCTCTGCCTCCACGTGCCGCTGCCGGCGCGGTGGGAGGCCAGCCCCTCCGCTCCCCCGGGAGCTGTGCGAGGGGCTGGGCAAAACCCATCTCCCACGGCCCCGGCTGAGCTGGGATTTTCCATCGGGGTGGTAAGCGAGGCGATCGGGAAGGTCCCCAGCTCTTCCACCCCGCAGCAGCCCCGAGCGCAAAGGATGCTCGGCCCCCGAGGGGGGCTTTAACCCAAAGCACTTCAGCTGCTGACAGAGTCCAGGCCACCAAATTTCGGCTCTGCAGGAGTGGTTCTGGCTTGCTGCAGCCCCTTTGCCCCGTCTGGTGGTGGGGGCACCCTGCAGCCCGTGCAGGAGGTGGGGTCCGAGGGCTGAGCCCCCCGCACCCAGGCTCCTTACGCAGTGCAGGGTGCAGCTTCCTGCCTCGGCACACCCGGAGGGGAAGAGGCTTTCGCAGGGCCCCGCTGCATAATGTAAGAGTTGCAAAACCCCAAAAGCACCCAGAAAACCAAAGCTCCAGCACCGCAGCTCTGCTGCCACCCTTGCACCAACGCGGGCGGGGAGGCAGCGCAGCGGCACGCAGCGCCGAGGTGCGAAAGGCAGAGCCGCCCAGCCGGGGTTATAAATACTCCTCCGGCAACCGCTGAGCGCTCGGCGCTTGCAGGTGGCTCCGGGGAGCCGCAGCGAGGCTGCGAGGGGCTGAGCGAGGAAGTGGGGAGGCAGGAGGCTGCCTCCTGCTCGCAGCCAGCACCGCAGCGCCGGCCCCAGCCGGTGGCCGGATCCTGCTCTGGGCAGGGTGGCGACGTGCACACGGGGCACGTCCACAAATCCGGGGGCTCTGGGGCAAACGCAGCGTGGGCTGGTGCTCAGCATGGAGAGCTGCAGAGCCTGGAAAGCCCCTGGCAGCATCGCGTGTGCCCCAGGCCACACGGTGACAATGCTGCATTGGGACCGGTGGTGCAGCAGGGCTGACACCGGGCTGCACCATAGCGCGGTGCCCGTGCCCACCCCTCATTTCCCCCTCTCTCCTCTCTCCTCGCCAGAGTTTTTCAAGTTCAAAGGCTTCGGCAGCCTGAGCAGCATCCCCCGCTCCTTCACGCTGCGGCGCGGGGCCGTGGCCCCCAGCTCTTCCGAGGCGGGGGAAGGGGGGCTGCCCCCACACGGCTTCCTGGAGGAGCCCTTCGGCAGCACCCAGGATGATCTCAACACCATGCCCAAGAGCCCCGGCCCCTACGCCCGCTCCTCGGACATGTACAGCCACATGGGCACCATGCCCAGGCAGAACCCGGGCAAGGCGGGGAAGAGCCCGGGCAAAGCCAGGGGCACCCAGAGCTGCCGGGAGAAAGGGACCCCCAGGGACAAGATGCCCGGCACAACCCCAATGAGCGGCCCCAAGACTCCTGGCACCCCAGACGCCGGCACAGACCCGTCCTCAGCCTCTGGGAAAGCAGAGCAGGAGGAGGAAGAGGCTCTGCCCTCGGGCACCCCAGCGGCAGCGATGTCCAGGATGGAGCAGGAACCTGCAGGGATCATCTCCTGCCCCAGGATGGAGGCACCGAGCCCCAGAGCAGCCCCCGACCCCGCACCAGGAACGGAGACCACCAGCAGGGATCTGCTGGGAAAGGGGCAAGAGCACCCCAGCGAGGGCTCCCCGGACAGGTAGGGCCCCATTCCCTGTGCCGGGCCCGCTTTGTGCTCCCCAGGGGGGGGCCGAGGGGTTGGGATGCAGCAGGGTCCCCACGGGATGCACCTGGCTGGCGGCACAGCACGGCCTGGCTCGGAGGCTGAGCGAGGTTTCCTGTGGGATTTCTGCTCCCTCCTGTTTCCGCAGGGGATGGAAACACCCCGCGGCCTCCCCTGACCCGGCTGGCCCTCCTTCCCCTTCCAGCCCTGACGTCCTTCACCCCCCCAAACAGCCCAGCCTCTGTCCAGGCACAGGGGTAATCCCAAAACCCCCCCAGCCCCAATCCCTTCTGCCTATTTAACCCCTCTTCAAGGTTTTGGGGGCCTTAGCCCTCCTGAATCGGCTTGTTCAGAGGGTTTTCACCTCAAAATGAATGAGGGATTTTTAGCCTTGCCCATCACCTGGCTGTCTGGGCACCGGGGTCAGACACATCCCTACTGTGGGACTGGGGGCACGGGCAGAGGACTCCAAATTTCCCCCCGTAACGATGTCCCGTCGTGCCAGCCCCAACCCAGGACCCCATAACCCCCCTCTTGCACCCCCAAATCCCCTTTTCCCCCAGCACCACCGCGGGGCTCATCCCGGAGAGGGAAGGGAGAGGGAAGGGGGGGTTGTGTGGTGCCAGGAGCGGGGCGAGGAAGAGGAATCGGTGCTGGGAACCGGCTGCACATTCCTGCCGGCCGCGAAGGGAGGGCCAGAGGAGGGCTGGGACGGGAAGGAGGAGGGTCTGCCGCCGCGCCCCACGTCCCGGCTCGCAGCGAGCACCCTCCAGAGCTTCTCCCCGTCCTGGAGCAGAGGTTCTCGCCCAGCCACGCGGGGCCGATGACAGCGGTGGGCAGGAGGTTTCCCACCTTGGGGCAGGGCAGGTAAGGATTTGGGATCGCCACCACTCTCCCCGGCACGGTTCAGGGCACGGGGAGGGGGAGGCTGGGAAAGGGGCTTCGCTCGGGGCGCACAAAGCCTCAATGTAGGGCTGTGGGAGATGCCGAGGCCCCGGTGTTTGCTGATGGAAAGCACTCGGGCAGTGCTGCTGCACCTCCGGGTGGGCGCAGAGCCCCCACGAGGGCACCCCTTTTGCCCCAGAAATTAATCAGCCCCCAGACCAGGGCGAGCAGGAGCCAAGCAGTGTGGGGACGGGTGGTGGGCACCCGGGTGTCTGGGCTCTGGGGAGTGCTGGAGGGGGGATTTGGATCCCCAAAACTTGAGCACCGAACTCCTTTGTGCATCACCTGGGGCTGTCCCGATGATGAGCGTGGCCGTGCTGTTTGCTGGGGAAACTGAGGCACAGGAGTGACCCAAGCATCAGGGGTGTTTCTGCCCCTCTGGGCCCCGTTTGGGGTTTGGGGAGCCCTGCTGGGGGCTCGGGGAGTGGCCGTGTGCCCCAGGCAGCCCCGGAGCCATCCCCACGGCTGGACTGTGCTGTGGGACAGGCGGCGGAAGCAGGACCGGGGCTGTGCCGCTCCCCAGCCCTTCCTCCTGCGCACGTCCTTGGGACAGGGACAATCCTTCCCCGCCAGGACATGAGGGGGGGCTGGGGACAGCTGCCCAGAACAGGGAGTGCCCGCGCTAAGGGACCGCGGAGGGGACGAGCGTGGCCCTTGGTCATGTTTTCCAGCCCTGGAGAATCTCCAACGCCTCCTGCTTGAGCGCAGGCCCCCAGGGCAGGGCGGGCTGAGGGTGCCCACGCACCCCAGAAGCTCCGTGCAGGATCTGGCCCCTTTGGGAACCACACTCAGTGGGGACAGGGTGTGCAGCGCCCAGCCCCGGGGCTGCTGTGACCCCACAGGAGCAGCGGGGACAGCGGCAGGGACACGGTGACCCACAGGAGGTGACCCACAGGGGAAATTTTGCTTCCCATGGGGCATGGGTTGGGCACTGCCAGCACCGAGGGGCTCCAAGGAGGGGAAACTGAGGCACCGTGTGCCCAAACGCAGCCCCCGGTGTACCAAGGTGAGCGGAGCCTGGGCTCCAAACTGGCGTTGAACCCACCCCACCAGCCCCGGTGGTCCCCAGCGCAGAGCCTGGCAATGTCTGCGTGTCACCACGCTGCCCCCAAAATCTCCCCCACCCCACGGGAAGCCCAGCAGCGGCTCCGAGTCCCAGCGGCCCGGCTGCGGCCGCGCTCCAAAGGCAGCCTAGGAATTTCTCCCAGGCGCTCGGCTGCCCCCAAAAATGCCGTTTCCTCCAGGAATGCGTGGAGCCAAGGGGGGGCTGCGGCCCCCGGCCCCCTCCTCTCACCCTCCCCAGCCGCAGCTGCTGCCCGTCCCCAGCACGAGGCCCCCCCCCTCGCCTCCAGCCCTCGCCGCGTCTCCCAGCTGCTCTCATGCTCCCGATTTCCTGCCCGGAGGCCCCCGTCCTCCTGCCGGTTTTTCTCACGGCTCTCGCAGCACCAGGCGCTCTCTGCGGCCGTGTGAAAGGCAAACGGGCTGGAGAGGCAGCGTCAGGGTGGGCAGGCAGCCCGCAGCTGCCCGAAGCAGCTGTGCGTCCCCCCCACCCCCCAAAAAAAAAAAAATCCTCTTCTAGCTTTTCCCCCACTTGGTTTCCAACTCTGCTTCTCCTCTTCTGAGCCACTGCAGCCCGGTGGGCTTGGGGATGGGGCAGGATTCGCGTGGTGCCACGCACCGCAGCTCCCAGGGGGCTCGATTGATGGATTGATTTTTGGACTGATTGATTTCTGAGCCAGTCCCAGCCAGGAGGGAGCCCCCAGAGGAGGGATTTGGCCCCTGGGATGGGGTCTGTGCAGTGCCAAGGGGGCTCTGGCCTGTGGCAGTGCAGGGTGGCTGCGGGTGCTCAGTGGAGCGAGGCGGCTCCCGGATGGAAAGTGACGTCCAGGGGCTGTGACACCATTGGGTTTGGTTATTTCTTGGCTGCAGCCGCCTGCCCGGGCCACAGCCCTGTGCCAGGAGGGTGATCTCAGCAGGCAGTGGGGTGTCCGTGCTGAAGCTTGGAGTTTGGGATGCGATGGCTGCTGGGTTCTGCTTAAAGAAGTCTGGATTTTTGTGTTTTATTCAGATAGACGAGACCTCAGGGTCACACTATCCCAGCTCAGTTGTTATGGCCTCTCTACCCCAAACTCTCTCAATTCCATCGGGAATTAGCCCTACAGACAAACACCTCACCCACAAGGGCACAAAAAGCAGAGTTGCTGCGTGCTCAGGGAAGGAGAAGGGCATTCAGCACCCCCCAGGAAAGAATGGCTGAGAAGTGGCCAGCCCAGCTGTTGGGTTGGTTGTCAGTAGGGCCAAGAGTGAACACATCACTGAGAATGGGAGCTTCTACTGCAGTCTCAGACCCGACACCACCCTGGGTTTGATTCTGTGGGTTCGCACAAAGCTGCAGAGAAACAACCAGCCGCCCCCCGGGCAGCGTGTCCCAACAACTGCCCGGTGGGACTGAGCTCTGCCAGGGCACGGGGCACGGGACCCTGCTTTGGCACGCAGCCCCGGCACCATGACCCAAGGGGACCTCAGCCAGGCTGTCCCCAGCTCTGCTCACACGGTCCCAAGCCGATTTGGGGCGAGATCCTTTCAAAAAAGCCCCATTCTTCCCTGATCGCATTAGGGAGGCTCAGCTCTGCGTCGGGAGCGGGCACGGGGGCCCTTGGAGCCTCCCCAAACCCACCTCACAGAACACAGCCCCCCTGCTGTGCCACCACCGTCTTTGCCCGACCACCACGACTTGCTGCCCTTTACCCGCACAAATTTATTTTTCTCCTTTCCTTCCAGCCACCACAATGGCCTGGAGTCCGGCAGTGAATACGTGAAGGTAAGACACCGAGCGCGGGCGCAGCCCGTCCCGGCTGGGGGACAGGGACAGCGGGGGGACAGCGACCCCGGGGCTGGCCATGCCCTGTGCTCAGCTCTGCGTCCCCATCCCACCACCTCCTCTCTTTGTCCTCGGAGGACATTTGCTGCCAGAAGCAGCCGGGCAGGCGAGGCACAAGCCGTGCACGGTCCCCCCACCGCTGCCTGCACTTCGCGCTCCCCATCACTCGCGGCGCGGGGGCCACCTCCTCCCTCCACCCCCACGTAGCAGAGGAAGGGTTTGAGCCACTTTCCGTGGCTGTCACATGAAAGTCGGTGTAAATCTCTCCAAATCTCTTGCTTATCCTCCAGCAAACTATTAACATTCCTGAGGACTCTTCATGTCTGGCCAGAAATTCATTAGCGAGGCGCCTGGCTCTGGAGGAGAGCCGGCCCTGCTGCAGGAGGCTGCTGGCACGCCGGGCAGGAGCAGGGTGATGGCCACGGGGTGCCGGCTCTTTTGGGGTCGGGGCACTGAAAACCTGCCCAGAGGGCGATTTGCTGCCACACGATGGCAAAAGGGAGTTTGTCTGAGAAGGGATAGAGCGTCCTGAGTCCAGTTGCTTGATGGGGACGTGCAAAATGGGGCAGCGGGGCCAGACGTGGCTTGGTGACCCCCAGCACTGCGAACACCCCGGTGGGACTTCTCTCCTCTCTTACTTCCCTTTGGCAACGCGGGACGAGCAGCCTGGTGGGAGCTCAACGTGCTGGCGGTGCGATGTGCATGGAGCGGCGAGGCTCCTGCCCGCACACACCAGTCCTGCCAGGGCAGGGTGGAGTGGGTGCCGTGCTGTGTTTCCCTTTGCTCTATCAGTCTGTGCACCCGGAGGTGGGCGAATTTTATGGCTCGTGAGTGAATGGATTGAGACAGCATGGGCGTGGAGCGATGGGCATGGCTTTGCCTGTAGGATCCGAGCTGTTTTCGGTCAGCCAGGAGAATTCCCCGCTGTCCAGGCGGATGCCAAACCCGATCCGTTTGGCCTTTATTCCTTACTCATCCCCGTGGTGTCCAGCTGCAGCCCATGGGCAGTGTGTGTGATTTACACCCCGCTTCCCGTGAGCTACGGAAGCAACCGATGGCTGCGGTGACAGCAGCTATTTTAGGCAAAGAAGTAATTAGCTGGAGTGCGCGCGGCCGAGATGCTGGGGGCACGCCGGCTGACTGCAGGCACCGTGCCTGGCGGGGAGCCCACAGCCCTGCCTGGATGGGGTGCTCAGCACCCAGCGGTGCCCAGCCCCATAGCCTGAGGGGATCGGGGTGGCTGGGTGCCCGCTGGCATCGCTTGGGAGCAAGGCTGGGACCTGGCACCCAAAGTGCTCCCTGCTTTGTGGTGTGCGGGGTAGGCAGCCAGGATCAATAAGCTCTTGGTAATTAACGCACTTTAATAATAGCCTAAGGGCTGGTGTTCCCAAACTGCCTGGGGGATCTGCACTCGGGCTCTGTTTGCTCACCTCCCAGCGGGGTTTGCCAGGCAGCCCAGCATAGGTTTGGCCCTCTTGTAGGGGAAGGCAGGGAGCTGCAAAACCCCATTATGCCCTGGGGGAGCTGCTGCCAATAAAGCTGATGTGTCCCAGTGAGTGAGCGCCGGGGGCTTCAGCTTCCCTTTGCGCCTGCGAAGGGGCAGCACAGGGCACAGCTCCAGCTCGCTCCGTCGGCGGAGAAGCCTCGGATCCGCCGCAGGAGGGAAGCAGCCGAGCCCTTTGCGGAGGAGAAGCCTCTGCCGGCGAGTGATTCACCCTCGGATCCTCGCAGAGCGGCGTCTCCCCACGTGCTGCCATCTGTTCTGTCCCTCTGCCCCTCGCGAGGGGAGAGGAGCAGCCACGCTCCCGCTAGGGCTGCAGGCACCTCTGGGTGCGGGGCCACCCGCCGCCCTGCACCCTGTGCTCTGCCCTCCTCCTCCTGCTGCTCGGCCCCATCCTAAATCCAGGCGCTACCCTCCTGCTCCCCTTTCCCCTGCAGTAGAAGGGGCAGAGCGCGGGCCCAGCGAGCGCGGTCGAGCTCTTTGTTCTGCGTGGAGGAGCCGCTCTGGAGACCTGTATCTCATCAGCCCTGCCTGCTTCCTCCTCGCCGGGGGACGCGAGGGGCTCGTCTGAATTAATTAGCAGAGAGGCCGTGCGGGTGGCAGCAGGAACACCTCTGAGCTCGCGGCGTGGCAGGGCAGAGGCGCACCAGGAGGCATCTTCGGCCGGGCACACGCGTTGAGGACGGCTCTCGCTAACTGGAGCTGGTCCCTGCTGGGAGCAGGGCTTGTTCCTCCTTCCTTCCTTCCTTCCTTCCTTCCTTCCTTCCTTCCTTCCTTCGGCAGTACAACCCGGAGAGCAGCAGCGCAGGATTTACAGCCACATCCCCTGGTGCAGGTTCCCTGCCCTATGCACAGCCTCGTAAATCTCTGTCCGTTTCTGTCCTTAGTGGGACCGCAGCTGTTCGGGGAAAGCTGGGCAGCGAAGCTTCATGGCAGGGACATCCCCAATGGAGTGGTATAACGGGAAGGGGAGCACTGTGCCAGCACCCCAAGTCCTGTGTCCCCCAGGACTGCTCCCACAAGGGCTCCCAGCGCCCCGGTCCCTGCTGAGAGAGGCAAAACGAGGACAGCGGGGACACGGGACGCGGTCCCCGGGGCTGGTTTGTGGAGCAGCAGGGGGCTGCGGGGCTGGCAGGCGGCTCGGAGCCAGCAGTGCCGCCTCGTGCATCCCGTTCCGCGAAACCGCAGCCTTAATTAAACCGGAGCGGAGCTTTAATTAAACGCGACTCGGAGACAGCCTACGTGGGAAGCAGGCAGCCGGCTGCCTCCACGTGGGGCAGGAGCCGGCGTCTTCCCCAGAAAAGGACGGCAGGAGGACGGGCAGGGCGAGGAGGGATGGGGTGAGGGGGAGCAGGGACCGAGCCTGTCCCTGACCCCGTGTGTCACTGCGGAGGGCAGATTAGGGTGAGGAGATGAGGGGTGCCAGCTCCTTTGGGGGAACCCCTCAGGGTATGGAGGCGATGAGGGGTGCCAGCTGCCTTCAGGGACACCGGTTCTCCTCAGAAAACCCAGTTCTCGGGACATGATGGGGCTGGATCCCCTCAGGGACACCAATTCCCCTCAGAAAACCCCGCTCCCCTCAGGACATGGTGGGTTTGGATCCCCTCAGGGACACCGGCTCCCCTCAGGATGTGGCTGATGGGGGCTGCCCGGTTTCCTCAGAAGACCCCGCTCCCCTCAGGACGTGGTGGGGCTGGATCCCCTCAGGGCCACCAGCCCCCCTTGGGGCCATCAGGTCCCCCTCATGGCCACCAGCCCCCCTCAGGCCGTGGCAGCCCGGGGCCGGCTCCCCTCAGGGCCGCGCTGTGGCGGCTGCCGCGGGTCCCTGCGGGGCGGGCCGGGGCGGAGCAGCCGCTTCGGTGCCGCCTCCCGTTGCCGACAAGGGATGAGGTAATCGGGGAAGCGGCTGAAATTGAAGCCCGGCGGTGGTGGCGGTGGTGGCGGAGGCAGCGTGAGGGGCAACCCGGGGCCGAGCCGAGCCCAGCCGAGCCGAGCCGAGCCGGGCCGGGGGCAGCCCGGAGGGGGGCTGAGGGCGCCGCGCCATGACGGAGCGCTGCAGCCTGTGGAGCGCCCTGTCGGCGGCCGCCTGCTGCTTCTACCGAGGCTCCTTCATGCAGGTCCAGGTGAGCCGGGCCGGCAGCGAGGATGGGGAAAGCGGAGGGTGGCCGGGAGCCCCTCGGCTGGGTGCCCCTGGGGGTGGTGGTGGTGTTGAGGGGGGCTTCATGGGGATGGCGTTGACCTTGCGGCCGCTGGCCGGGGCTCTGCGGGGCTGACTCGAGGTTTCGTGCCTCAGTGTCCTCAGCCTGCAGCGCTGCCCTGCTCAGGTGCTTGGTTTGGGCTCCAGCATTGCCCCCTGCATCCCCTCTGGATGCCGGGTGTGGGTCGGAGCTGGAGCCGGAGCCCCGGAGCAGCACTCGGGTCAGGGGCTGCGAGCAGCGGCCCCAAAGGCAGCCCTGAGGGCAGGAGACCTCACGGAGGGGAGCATTTGGCTCCCTGCAAGAGGCAGCACATCTCCAAAGGTGCTCCAGGAGCTCCTGCTACACTCTGAGGAGAGACGGAGCCCAGAGGGACCCGCAGCACCACGGCCTGGGGCTGTGTGTGAGCTGCACGGCTTGGCCGCGGTGCCGGCACCCGGCCTGTGGCACCTCCAGCGCTGCCACAAGGTGAGGTGTCCTGTTTGGGGCTCTGGCCGAGGAAGGGCAAAGCCCCAGAAACCGGTTCCTTCGTTTACCTGCTTAGGGAGAGCGCCAAGTGCTGAGGATCGCAAGAGCCGAGCAGGCTCTGATCTGAAGCAAGAGCTCCCGGCAGGCTGCAAGTTAAAAAGGGTGAGAAGCGCCCGGAGCTGGCAGCCAAGAGAGCTGGCAGCCTCAGCCAGCGCTGCTCGGGGAGGTAGGTGCCGAGCTGTAGAGATTATGCTGGGTAAGACGGAGCCCAGAGGAAGCGTTTCAAGTCTTGTCATGATTGCTGCTGATCTCAGTGCAAAGCCAGGGATTTTGATCGCTAGTGGGGGCGAGGAGGGAGAACGCAGAGGAGCTGCTCCTGGCTGTCCAAAAGCCACCGAGCAGCACCGGGGGACGTGCCCTAGCGCAGCAGTCCTGGGGCTGAGCATCGCAGCGAGCTGCTGCCAGAACAAGGGGGAGACAGGTGGGCACAGGGGATGCGGGAGGGGATGAAGGGCACTCCATCCCGGCGCCGGGAAAAAGAGTTCAAAGCGAAGCCCCGAGTGCTCACCTGGCTCTGCCAGATCTTTCACCGTCTATTTGTGTCCAAGTGTGCCCAGCAAACACACACTGAAGTCCCCATGAATGACTGGAGCGCTTCCAGCTGACAGCCGCATCCCTGCTCACCGCCAATGGCAGTGCACCCAGCCTGGGAAGCACTGACATCATTTCTGGCCAATAGCAGCTCCGAAAAGGGATGCAGCAGCAGCGGCCGCCGCCGTCTCGGAGTGAGATAAGTAATATATAGATGGATGGAGATGTGTGTACACGCACGCCCCAATGCTGTGCTGGAGACCCGCTCCCCCAGGGCAGCGGCGCGCTCCACCACCCCGCAGCGCAACCTGGGGCGCCTGTCCCATCTTAAGGCACCCAGATGTTCCCAGGCAGCACCCCCCAGCTGCTCCCCACCCCTGCCAGCCAGGTGGAATTGCTCCAGAGCTGCCACAAAGGAGCACAGACAGGAGAGGAGAACCTTTGGGTGGCCAGGAGCACTCCTAGGAGAGGCTGGGAGTGCCAGGACAAAGATCCCGAGAGGCCCTTTGGGTGCCCGGAGTCATTGCGAGATGATGCAGAGAGACAAACCAGTTCTTTCCCATCTGGGCAACTGGTTCACACCAGGGTACGTGGGTGTGGAGCAAGCCCATGACAACCTGGGGGTGTTTGCAGTGGGATTTTTCCCCCGTTGCAGTCCCTCAGGATGGACCAGCCGCTCTCAGGCACGTGGGGAGCTCACGCAGCAGCCCTGCACCAGGCAAGCAGAGCAGTTCTTGGGTTCGCCATGGCCTTGGCTGCCTCAGCAAGGATGTTTGCGCTGAAATACTCCGCCGTGAAGCAGCCCGTTGGCAGGTAGGGAGCTAAGTGGAGAACAGAGAGATTCTGGTGATCCTGGGGCTTTCCCCATGCACCTGCTCCAAGTGGCTCCGTACTCCCTTCTCTCCCACTTGTGCTTCCCAGGCCCCACAGCTGCTCCAGCCGGGGTGAAAGAGCTTGCAGCAGGGGCTGGGATTTCCCCGGTAAGGGTCCCAACGTGGGGCAGGCAGCAGGAGCAGGAGCGGGAGAGCAGCTGCGCTTTGTGCCCTGAGGTTAGCCAGGAGATGCTATCGCGGGGCGGGGTGGGTGCCGCACACCTCGCTTTCCAGGCTGACTTCATGTTCAGGTCTGGGAGGGGGGAGCTGGAAAGCAGGCTGCAAGTCACTCCCGTTTCGTAAGAGTACCTCTGCGAGGAGAGAAAGCCAAATGCCAGCCTTTGAAGCTCTCCTCGCACCAGGCAGAGCAACAGCCGCTCTTTTACACAGCCCACAGCTGCCAGCACCCTCCATCCCCCCAGATCTTGCCCTTTGGCTGCCAATTCCCATCCCTGCCCTGCAGCTGGGACCAAAGATGCCTCCCTCTGCCAAGAAAGCAGCAGGTAGAGGCAAGGAAACGAGCAGGGATGGAGAGCCCAGGGAATCCCCTCGCGGTGAGCACTGCCCCCACTGCACGGCAGCTCTGGAGGGATCCCGCAGCCCCGGGACCGTGAAGCAGCTTGTCTGGGTGCCGAACGTGACCGAGGAGCTCTCCTTTCTGCAGCCAAACCACGTTGGCTGTGGCTTGGGATTCCTCAGGCAGAGCTTGGCATCGTCTCTGGCAGCTCCTGAGCTGGTTTGTCTGGTGGGGCTGGTTTGGGGAACCGCTCTCAGCCCCGTTTCTCCCCCTTCTGTGGGAAGAGGTGCAGGAGGCCGGCACCAGGCACCCGAGCAGTCCAGGCTCCTCTCCGCAGCCAGCCCTCTCGCCTGCGAGGCCTCGCATCGGGCCCGAGCATCTTTTGATGTCCTTTTGGCACAGCTGAGAGCGCCAAGCGGTGCCCTTTTCAGCTCGGCACTCAGACATCCGCTTACACGCTCCCGACAGCTCCGGGCCGGCCGGGGCTGCCTTGCTGTGCCTCGCCGGCACCCGGCCAGCTGGCAGCCCCTCCGCCTCCTCCGAGACACACCACAGAGCAGAAGGAAGCCCAGTCAAAGCACGAGGACCGGTCCCCGGAGCCGCAGAGCACCAAAGGAAAAGGATTCCTCCCCGTGCATCGGGCTCCTGCTGCCACCCTGGCTGCAGGCAGTGGCTTTTTGGTGGCCATGCAAGCCGGGTGGGACCGTGACACCCAGCCAGGAGGACAGAGGTGGCTCGTGGCTCCCTGTGCTCACAGCCTGTCCTCGCTCCCCCATCTGCAAGATGCAGAGCCCCCCGAGCCTCCGTGCTAGCTCAGCACCTGGCTCCTGGCACGGATGCCAGCCGGCTGCTGCCCAAATCCAGGCTTGGAGACGCCGGGTCGCTGCTCAGCTGGGTTTGAGTCCCTTATCCCGCACATTTGCATGGGGAGGATTTGGGGGAAAACCCAGCTGTAGGACAGAGCGGAGAGCTGCTAATCCCCAATCCCCTCTCTGGGGGCAGCTGGGGGAAAAGCAGCGGCCCCAAATCGCTCCCAGCTCAGCCCCAAGCACTGCAGGGAGGTACTGAGCACAGGGGCAGCCCCGGCCACGGGTGCTGGGCAGCAGAGGAGTTGTCATAGGAACAGCATCTGCTTTGGCCTCGGTCCCCCGGGAGGCAGCTGGACCTCGGCAGCCCCGTGGCTACCATTTATTTTTAATAGGGCTCAGCAGCACCGAGCGGCTTTGTCTCCACGAGGGCCCCGGGGCAGCAGAGGTGCTCAGCACCCCGCGATGCTCGTTGAGGGGGATGTGACCCCAGAACGTCTCCTGGTCGGGTCCCTGCGGCTCCAACGAGCAGGACGCTCCCCAGAGATGGGAGCAGAGGGCAGAGGAGCACGCACAGGTTGGCCCCTAACACCTCCCCGGGCTGCTTCCACCGCCCCAGCACTTTTTTAATTGTTTGGAGCTGGAACGGGAGGAACAGGGGCAGGTCCAGGCTGGTGAGGGCAAGCCCTGAAGAGCTCGGGCCATCGCACGGCTCCTTCCCAGCCTCCTCCCACCTCCCCGGGCTGCAGCCACATCCCTGGGGCAGGATTGCTGCCCCGGGTTTGGCTGATACGTGCAGCTACACCAGGGAAGGGAGCAGATCCCCCAGGATGGGGTCGGGCTGCCCTAAGGAGCGGGACAGAAGGGACAAAACCCGCTGAGGGACTCGGCGGAGTCCTGGGACAGAGGGCACAGGGTGGGAGCACGGTGCAGCACCCTGCGCCTCCCTCACAGCCACAGGGGGAGGCAGCTCGGGGAGCAGAACCTGGTGCTGGCAAAGGGTCTGGTAGCACGCACATCTCCTTCTTTTCCCTGTCCACGATACGGGGATCCCGCAGACCCCAAGCAAGCACCAGCCCCGCTTGTGGTGCCCTCGGGGATGCTCCTGCCATGGAGCGGGGCAGCCGGGGGAGAGGTGCCGCCAGCCTGATCTCCCCGGGGGAGGGAGGAGGCGAATTGCATCCTGCAGGCTCAGGTGCACCAGTGCTGGTGAAAGCTCATTTCGATGCAGAAGGTTCCCTTTACATTTGTCATTACTATTCATGCCACCGTCAGGCTGAGCGCAGCCGAGTTAACCCTTTGGGGAGGGGAGATCGTGGCAGCTGCCTGCAGGAGGAACAGCGACACGGGTTTCCTCCTGGAGAAGCATTTCCCACGGTGGTTCAGCCCTGGAGATGTGCCAGCGGGGAGCTGGGGCAGGCACAACGGGGACACGCCACCAGGAGACCCCCAAAGTGCTCCCGGTGGCAGGACCTGACCACCCTACCCCACACACACACACCAGGGCCCTGGCTGACATTCTCTCTCTCTCTCTCTCACCCCTTACAGTTCTCCAAGGAGAAATACATCCTCGACTCATCACCGGAGAAGCTTCACAAGGAGCTGGAAGAGGAGCTGAAGCTGAGCAGCACTGACCTGCGCAGCCACGCCTGGTACCACGGCCGCATCCCCCGGGAGGTGAGGATGGGGAGGGGAGGGCGGGCAGCTCCCAGCCCACGCAGAGCCACCAGGCCAAGGCTTCTCCAGCCCCAAACTGCCTGGTTTTGTGGGCAATACCCTCCTGAAACCCAGAGCAGGGGGTGTCCAGGGGTAAAACAGCCGAGGTGGAGCACCCACGCCTGCCCCCCTGGGTTCACCCGGTGGGGTTGTGCCTGAGCCTTTGCCCCATCCCCTGCCAGGTGTCGGAGAGCCTCGTGCAGAGGAACGGCGACTTCCTCATCCGCGACTCGCTCACCAGCCTGGGCGACTACGTGCTGACGTGCCGCTGGCGCAACGAGCCCCTGCACTTCAAGATCAACAAGGCGACGGTCAAATCCAGCGACGGCCACAGCCGCGTGCAGTACCTCTTCGAGCAGGAGAGCTTCGACAACGTGCCCGCCCTCGTCCGCTTCTACGTGGGCAACCGCAAGGCCATCTCCGAGCAGAGCGGTGCCATCGTCTACTGCCCCATCAACCGCACCTTCCCCCTGCGCTACCTGGAGGCCAGCTATGGGCTCGCCAACGGCAAGCACGGGGCGCCCCACAGCCCCGCCGCCCAGAAAGGGGGGCACATCAAGAGGAGGAGCATCACCATGACGGACGGCCTGACGGCCGACAAGATCACCAGGGCTGAGGGGTGTCCCACCAGGTGAGTGCGGGGCCTGGTGCTGCCTGGGCAGGGGATTGGGATCAGCCCCCGGGGACACGGCAGGGTTTGGGGACTGCCCCAACGCAGGCAGGGACCAACGGAGGCACAGGAGAGGAGCCAGCACCCAGCTGGAGCTGGGGTGTTCTCCTGGACCAGCTGCCAGCCGTGCTGTGCTGCCACAGCCACCACAAGGAGATTTATTGGTTCATTTCTGGAGGGCCCTTTTCGTTTTAGAGCCCTTTCCAGTGGGACATTTGCAAGGAGTTGCCAAGAGGAGCTGATGGAGCTGCACTGGCAGGGGAATGCACAGCCCTGCAGGGCTGCCCCGCTCACACAAAACCTTGCAGCACCTGTGCTTCTCAGGAGGGGTGGAGATTTCCTTCACATGGCTTTCTGGCTCCTGGCTTTCTTTTGGCAGCCTCAGGGTGCCCAGACCCTGTGCAGGAAGGCAGGGCACACACACAGAGGGGCCAAGGGACCTGCATCCACTCCTGCACCCCCAGCGGGCACAGCCTGTCCCCCAGCAGGCCTTAGAGCCACGCTGCCTTCTCACACCCTGACCTTCTGAGCCTGAGGGCAGGGCGGGAGCTCACCAGCAATAAGCAGACAACCAACTGCTACTGCGGGGAAGCAGCCAGGCTTCCAGGAGAGCACACGCTGATAGGTCTAGGTCCTTCTGGGCCTTTCCTCTCCACTCACATTTCCCCAAACATCTCACCCCACCGCTGCAGCCACAGCACCTCTTGCAACGCCGCTGACTCACAGCACGGCTCAGGCTGTAGCCACAGCTCCCAGGCTGCAGCACCTCCCTGCTCTTCTGGGTCACAGCTGGGCCCCGAGTGCAGCCTCCAGGCACTTGCACCTCTCCTGAGCACTGTGAGAGAGGGAGCTCGCCTCACCGCCACGCAGCTCTCGGGCAGAAAAACCACACAGAGCTTCATAAAAACCTCCCACCTCGCAGCCAGGCACCACAGCACTAGAAAACAGCCCCACTGCTTCTCAACAGACCCCTTCCCCAGCACCCTGGGGTGCAGTGGAGCCAAGCCCTGCTCTGTTCCCCCAGGACCAGGCTCCTTGCAGCAGGGCTGCCTCTGCTTTATGTAGGTTCCCCAGCTCAGGGCTCCAGCTGAGCTCGTCAGGGCTCCTCTTGTTGGTAGTGGAAGGGGGCAGTGCCTGGGGGGGGTGGAGAATCCTCATCCCAGCCCCTCTGCCCTTGCCCGAGTGCCAGACTAACGCTCCTGCCCCCTCCCCAGCGTGTCCCTGCCGCACCACAGGGACATCATCCGCAACTGCGCCGTCAGCGTGGACCAGATCCAGGAGCTGCATGCCCCGATGTCCCCCATCTCGGAGAACCCCACGTCGCCCGCCTACAGCACGGGTAGGCACAGCCCGGGGACGGCGGGGACACGGCTCGGGCTGAGCTCAGCACCGCAGGGACGTGGGGAGGGGGACGGAGCTGGCTGTAAAGACGAGCCCCTAAATGCTCCATGTTGCCCTAAATGCTCTGTGCTACTCCTCCCTGCTGGCAAGGCCCTGCCTGGCTCTGCACAGCAAAAAAAAATGTCCCAAAAGAGGGCCTGAGCTGGGGGCGATGCCAGCTGACCGCAGTGCAGCCATGCAGCTCACCTGGGGCTGCCTGGGTCCTGTCGTGGCACCACTGGGGCTTTTCCTGAGCTCCCCAAACCCCGGCTGTGGTGTTCTTCCCAGGGGTTGGACCCGATGGGCTCTCGAGCTCCCTTCCAACCCCTCCAATTCTGCGATTCTCGGGGCGTGCACCCCTCCCAGCTGTGCTAACAGGCCTCTCTCCTGCTCCCCACAGTTACACGGCTAAAGCCACACGCCTGCCAAGCACCCGGCATCGCCCCGGCCTCCCCGGTCATCAGAAGGTCCAGCGAGCCCCAGCTGTGCCCGGGGAGCACCAGCAAACCTCTCCCAGACCCTGCCCACAGCACCCACTCCACTCCCTGCCACGGCTACGCTCGCGCCTCCCCCTCGCCCTCCGTGAACAGCTACAGCGACCCGGACACGGGGCACTACTGCCAGCTGCACCCCACCTCCCCCGTCGGCAGGGAGCGGCCGTCCCACGACACCAAGCCAGCAAAGAGCTACGTGGAGAGGCTAAAGGTGGAGGAAGGACAGAGAGGGACTGTGGAGAACGGCTCCGGGGAGGCAGAGGCAGGGCAGAGGCTGAAAGGAGAGCGGGACTTGGGGGGCTTCGTGCCCCCCTGCCATGGAGACGTGCTCCTCCTTTAACCCTGCCGCCTTCCAGTCCCTGCTCATCCCCCTGGAGAACAAGCCCCTGGAGATGGCCGTGCTCAAGAAGGTCAAGGAGCTGCTGGCGGAGGTGGACGCGAAGACGTTGGCCAAGCACATCACCAAAGTGGACTGCGTGGTACGGCCGGGGCCGGGCGGGAGGGCCGGGCACTGCCCCCCTCCAGGGGAGCGGAGCATCCCCCAGCACCATCCCCCAAAAATCCGAGCGTCCCAGCTGGGCTCTGCCTCCCCGCACTGCCTGGGGCAGGCCATGGCCACCCGGCCTCTCCTCAATTAACAAAGCTCTAATCACCTCTTCGCCTTTTCTCGCCAGGTCGCTCGGATACTGGGCGTAACGGCGGAGACGCAGCGGCTCATGGGGGTGAGCTCTGGCATGGAGCTGCTCACCCTGCCCCACGGCCACCAGCTGCGGCTCGACCTGCTGGAACGGTACGGCACGGGGCCACAGCGCTGGGGGTGGCACGGGGGGGGACATGGGACCTTTAGGGGGTGCTGGGCTCTGCGGGGACAGCATCGGGAGCGTGCTGAGCTCCACGCTGAGCCTCTCGCCCCACGGCAGGTTCCACACCATGTCCATCATGATCGCCGTGGACATCCTGGGCTGCACGGGCAGCACGGAGGAGCGGGCGGCCCTGCTGCACAAAACCATCCAGCTGGCGGCCGAGCTGAAGAGCACCATGGGCAACATGTTCAGCTTCGCTGCCGTGATGAACGCCCTGGAAATGACACAGGTACGGGGACGCAGCCTCCCCCCCGGTGGCTCAGCCCTTGGGGACAACGGGGACAACGCCCCAGCAGAGGCAGCGGGGTGGAAGCAGGGAAGGGACGGAGCCGCCCCCTCCGAGCAGACAGCCCAGCCCCGCCGGGATGCGATTGTTTTTTTCGGTGGTTGGGCTTTTTTGTTTTTGCGCTGGGCTCTGTTCCTGAGAGGAAATGAATCTGCCCTCCGGTACAATACAAATCAGTCTCAAGGCCGTGGCAGCAGCGTCTCCCGGCCGCGCTGCTCCCTTTGGAAGATGAAAGGAGATTAAAATTCAATTTTAAATCAAGCCCAGCTGGGAAGCCTTGCTTCCTGCCTGCACAAAGGAGGTGGAAGGGCTGCCCCCTCCCTGCAGCTCATCTTCAAGGCCGCTGCAGCACGGGGAAGCTGCTGTCCTGGGGCACGGCAGGGGAAGAAACGCTGAGCCCAGCGTTGGGGCAGGGCCCTGCAGCCTCTGGCGGCGAGTGCCAGCAGCAGAGGCTGTTTTGGGGAGCAGCAGGCACTGCTGGGGCTGTCGTGCCAGGGCCAGGTTGACCTCGGGAGCATCCCACGGGCTGGGGCTCGGTGCTGGGGCTGCGCTCCCCCAGCACGTCCACTCCAAAGCACGTCCGTCCCCTTGCAGATCGCGCGGCTGGAGCAGACCTGGATGGTGCTGCGGCAGCGGCACACGGAGGGCGCGATCCTCTACGAAAAGAAGCTGAAGCCGTTCCTGAAGAGCCTGAACGAAGGCAAAGGTAACGAGAGCGGCTCCCAGCCCCGCTGCCTGCTCCCTCCAGGCTCAGCCGGGCACAGCCTTGTGGCGGGGATGTGTTTGAGAGCTGCGTCCCTCCCCCAGCAGCGCCAGACGCTTCCCTCCTGCCTGCTGCGCAGCCCCAGCACCCGGCCGGGCCCGCTTGGCCTCAGCTGCCCCTTCCTTCCCAAGGAAGCATTTCATAACTAAATAAAACCAGTGGCTGGGCACAAACACGGTTGGGCCGAGCCAAACCCATGTGCTCGCATGGCAGTCCGTGCCAAGGCGAGGGGACACCAGCCGGTCTGAGGCAGGGAGGATGAAAAGCTTCATCTCTCCAACACGCAGAGCCCCGGGCCTGCACACCCGCTCCTCGCTGCAGCCCTGGGAGCGGCAGAAAGAGCCTGGCTGGTGCTGGAGGAGGCGGTGGACCCGGGCAGAGCCATCCTCAGAGCCACAGCCGCATCTGTGCTGCAGCTGAGCCAGAAAACCTCTCCCAGGGGCACGGTGGCAGCCTGGCTTTGTAGGGCTGGGTGGTCGTGGGAGCGCTGCACGGGGCCAAGGCGGGTGGGGAGGGGGACGCGGGGACACCGAGCCCACCAGAGAGCCTCAGGGCGCTTCTCTCCGCAGAAGGCCCCCCGCTGACCAACACCACCTTCCCCCACGTCATGCCCCTGGTGACCCTCCTGGAGCGGGACGACGCTCTGGTGGACAACCCCGAGCCCTGGGAGAGCACGGACGACGGCGTGGAGGTGGTGATGGCCCACCTGGAGGCGGCGCGGATGGTGGCCCACCACGGGGGGCTGTACCACACCAACGCCGAGGTGAAGCTGCAGGGTAAGCGAGGAGGGGAATGGGGACGGCCCCTCAACCTCCGGTGCCATCCCATGCGCCCTGCGGGCACGGGGTCCCCATCCCAGACCCGCGGCGCTGACTCTCCCTTCCCCGCAGGTTTCCAGGGCCGAGCGGAGCTGCTGGAGGTCTTCAGCACCGAGTTCCAGCTGCGGCTGCTGTGGGGCAGCCGCGGGGCCGAGAGCAGCCAGGCGGAGCGCTACGAGAAATTCGACAAAGTCCTCACCGCCCTGTCCCACAAGCTGGAACCAGCGGTGCGCTTCAGCGAGCTGTAACCCACCCTCAATGTGGAACCCCTCCGCATTAGGGACGGGTTGGCAATTTGGGGACAGAGAGAGGACCACAACCACCACGACCCCACGTGGCTCAGCACCAGCCGGGGGTCCTGCGGTGCTGTTATAGGGACGAGGACAGCGCCCACGCGGTGCCCATCGCCTCGCCCCGTATTTTCCTCTGCTCCCACCCCTCGCCGCCTGCTGTAAATACGTCCCCGCGGCAGTGCCGTGCTGCCCGTAGCCGCTGCCGCCCTGTACATAGGTGTACATAGCCCGGCCCCACACACAATAAACCTTTGGTGCCCCCCTCCTGCCTCTGCTCCTGCTTGGGGTCCCCAAACACCCCCTGGGGGGCGGGGCCTGTTGGGTGGGGGCGTGGCCAAGCTGCCAGAGCACGCCCAGTGGGCGGGGCTATGGGGGGTGAGGCCCCGCCCACCGCGCGGGGCACGCCGGGAGTTGTAGTCCGGGCGGTGCCGCCGCCGCCATGGCCCCCGCCGCTCTGGCGCTGGCCGTGGCCCTGCTGGGGGCCGCCCCCCCCGGCGCCGCCGCCGCCTGGGACCTGCGGGCGCTGCGCTGCGGCCTCTCCGCGGACTGCGAGTGCGGCTTCGGGACCGACCTGCGCGGTCAGGGGGGACGGGGGCACCGGGGGGGGGGACAGGGAGGGGGCTCGGGGGGTTCTGGGGGGGCCCGGAGCGGGGATCGGGGGGTCCCTGGGGGGGGGGACGCGGGGCAGGGGGAGCCCGGGGTGGGGCTGGGACACGGCCCCGCTGCTTGTTCCTGGCACGGATCTGTTAAAATCTCCATTTTCTGAATTTCCGGGTTTTCTGTAAAAATGAATTTTCTGAAAATTCGTTTTCTGAACGTCTGCGTTCTCTCAATGTCTGGGTTTCCTCAATTTCTGGGTTTTCTCTCACCGCCACGTGGAACTCGCTCCAGGTCTGGAGTGCGACCTGGCCCTCAGCCTGGTGGGGCAGCCCCTGGTGCGGCAGCAGCTGATGAAGGGGCTGCAGCAGTTCCTGCACGGCCCGAGCCCCGCCAAGCCCCTGGTGCTGTCCTTCCACGGCTCCACGGGGACGGGCAAAACCTACGTCAGCTCCATGCTCGTCCGCCACCTCTTCCAGGGCGGGCTGGGCAGCCCCTACGTCCACCACTTCTCCCCCATCGTGCACTTCCCCCACGCCGAGCACATCGAGCAGTACAAGGTAAGGCCTCTCAGCGCTACTCGATTCTCCTTTGGGCTTTGGTTGCGTCCTTGTGATCCTCAGCACGTACCCAGGCTGTTTTATAGCGAGCTGTATGATACAGCCCTTTGCCAAGCAGCTCCATGAACCTCCCGAAGGATCCCCCAGCAGCTGGGATGTCCTCTGTCTGTTACCACTTTCGTTTTCCCCACAGCCGTCCTCGCTGTGATTGCGTTCTTATTCTTTAAATATTTACACAGCCCGCTGCACACACAGAAGGGCCTCACTTTAGTGCCTTCCACCTAAAGTTCTCCCCTTGCTTTGCAAACAGCTGAAGAGCTGTGAAAGCCCCTGTGCTGCTAGGGTGTGTAATTCCTCCTTGCACAGCAAGCAGCTCCCGAACACCAGCTGAACCTGTGCCTCTTAAAGCTGAGGAAGGCAAGAAACCAAAAGGTGAAGGTTTGCTAATGAAACCTCAGCAGAGCAGGGGAATCAGCGCACCCGAACATTTCCTTCCTGGGTGTTTGGAGAAGTTATGGGTTCTTTTGTGTCCTCAGAAAAAATATGCTCAGTAAGGTAAAAGCTCATGCTGGGCTCTTCTCCCTCAGTGCAGGCACACTGTTTTTGCACCAGGAAAGGAGCTGGCAACAAGCACATCTCCCTTATGGTGCTCTGGGAACTCTGTGGATACAGTGAAAGAGATCGTGGGGAAGTGTAGGAGGCTGAACGCCCAGCTTTGGTTCGCTGCCTCCTTCACACTGCTGCTTTAACTCCGCAACACAAGCTCTACAGTGGGCTAACACCGCCGATACGTCGCTGTGCCAGCTCCAGAACAAAGGAGGCCCCCTCAGTGCTGCTGTTCCTGCTCTGAGGAGGTGGTGCAGTGCAGGGACAAGCTGCTTTCAGCACCCTCACCTCAGCCCTTGCTCAGGGGTAGCTTGTTCCTCCCTCTGTATCTCACCGCCTGACAGCTTGGTGGATGTTTTTCCTAGGAGAACCTGAAGCGCTGGATCCAGGGCAACTTGACGAGCTGCGGCCGGTCGGCCTTCCTTTTCGATGAGATGGACAAGATGCACCCAGGCCTGATCGACGTGATCATGCCCTTCCTGGGCCCCTCCTGGGTCGTGTATGGCACCAACTACCGCAAAGCGATCTTCATCTTCATCAGGTGAGAGGCACCTCTGCGGCGCGTGGGACAGCGCGGGGGGCTCAGCACCGTGCTCCTCAGTTGGGCAGGGGTCGCTGCCTGCCTCGCAGCCTGCTTTCATTTTGCTTTTCCTTCTCCCAGCACTCATCCTCTGCAAAAACAGAGACCTTATTTCCTTCTGAACAGGCAAAATTGGAGAATCTGTAAAAACTTTCCTGTCCCTGTTATTCGGCTGCCGTTACAGGAGTCATTTCAGGGCAGGCAGGGGGCAAAGCTGGATTGAACTCCTGCAGGCTGGAGGCTGTCGGCTGCCTCCTCTGTCCTGCAGCACTGCTTTCCTGGACACCGGGTAAGCCAGCACCTTGTTCTTGTGCAGCAACGCAGGAGGGGAGCAGATCAACGAGATGACGCTGGATCTGTGGCGGGCCCACAGGGACCGGGAGGAGATCAGCCTGCAGGACGCGGAGTCAGCCATCTCCAAGGCCGTGTTTGAAAACCCTCAGAGTGAGTCCCTGGAAGTGTTGCTGGCGGGGAGCAGAGCCCAGCAGAGGGAGCCAGGCCCATGCCGCACAGCCGCCGAGCTGCCTGGCACCTCCCAGGCAGACAGAAAGGGACGGGGATTTGGAGGGAAGGGAACTGCAGTCCCCTCAAGGTGTCCTGGCAGAGGGAAGGGATAGCCCAGCTCCGCAGGCCAGCAGACCTGTTAACACGCTTAGCAAAGTTGTTTGGAGATGTGTGTTCACAGCTGAGGGATGGCAGCCAGCACAGCACGCTCACTGACAAGTGCCAGTCCCTGCTGCCTGCCTGCATCTCCTCGCTTTGAACTTGCCCCAGGGAGCAGAATGTAAGGCTGACCACTAAATCCTACCAATTCCTGGAGAAAAACAAATCTGTTTGAGGGAGGAGGGTTTAACGACTGGTCGGTTCCACTCCTTGTACCAAACCAGAGCAGATCTGTCTGCAGCTGAGTATTTTGGCTTCACTCCAAGCAGCTCTTTGAATTCCAAGGACCGCTGACACTCTGAAGGTAAAATCTGTCTCCTCTTTTGCTTTTGCAGGTGGGTTCTGGAAATCTGGGATCATTAATGAACATCTCATTGATTTCGTCGTGCCCTTCCTCCCCCTGAAGCGCCACCACGTGAAGCAGTGCGTCGTCAACGAACTCATCCAGCAGGGCCTGGAAGTACGTCAGGACGTGGTCCAGGAGGTGGCTGACAGCATCCCCTACTTCCCAGAAGAAGAGAAATTATTTTCATCAACAGGCTGCAAAACAGTGGCCTCTCGGATCAGTTTTTTCTTCTAGCCACTGTCAGGGGCCTTGCTCGGCTCCACGGGGAACAAATACGGAGCTGTGGAGCTGCAGAGCCCAGGGCTGGCAGGATGAGGCCCAGGTAGCACAAGTGCCCTCCTGCTGATCTCCTCTCTCCAGCCCCAAGGATGCCACTGCAGGATGCAGCTGCGGGAGCCAGTGCAAGTGATGTGATTTAAAGCACTTTATGGATTTATCCTATGCCAGGTGAGGGTGGATACGACCAGCCTGGTGCACCGCCCAAACATCTGTGATGAAAAGGGGAAGATGCCAAGAGGGACCACAGCGTCAGGGAGGTTTCTCACCCTGCCGGCAGCACCAATCTGCAGCTCTCCCCTCTTCTGGCAGCTACTGATCCACTGCATCAAGATTCTGAGCCCCAAAAATATTTTTTTAATACAGCATTTTAGCTTTTTTTCTTTTAACTTTTTAAGCATGGCAGTACCTCAGTTCCTTGGTACAATGTGACAGCGTTGGCATTGACTTCTGCACCGCCGGCTGGTGAACACCTTCAACATTGCAGCAAAGTTTTCTTCTCAAGGGATTTTTAGAGCCAACTTCTTTCCAGTTTCCTTTCACTGTGAATAGGTGCTGGTAGGGACCAGCTTCACCATCAAGAAGCATGGGGTCATAATGAGGGAAAAGTCAATGCCCAACCCACCAAGAGCCCAGCTCTTCCTTGTCTCCCCGTCCATCTTTCCCCTGAGGTCCTGCAGCAAACCAGGAAAACAAAACAAAACACCAGACCTCACCGTTGTTTTACTAGCTACAAAAAAAAAAAAAGTTTGTGCCTACCTCCAGGGGAGACTGTGGTGCTACAAATGGTTTTTAAAATTCCTTTTATTCAATATTGATTTCTACAGCAGACTGAGGAGTAGGTGCTATCAGCTGCTGAGCCTCTTTTACGTCTTTCTACTGGTCAGACCTCGCAAACTTTGGCTGGGCCAGCTCTGCTGAGCTTCCTGGGGGCGCCACTTACGTGGGAACCTGAGGACAAGCGAGAGAAGAGCGGCACTCCGAGCTGTCAGGCATGGGGTGCGTGGCACTGCTGGCCTTTGTCCTGTGTTAATCTCTGCAGTTACTGGAGCACAGGTCAGAGGAACCAGAACCATTCAGTCTCTGGGAACAAAATTCTCAAGGGGTGGGTGAACAGGGACGTTCTGATGCTCCCCTCAGGCCCTGTGCTGAAACTGCCAGTGCTTGGGACCATTCCAGCCTGCCTCCAGAGCCACAGCTTGTGGGACAGCGACTGCAGGCACCACCCAGCTGTGGCCTGGGAGCTGGCCCACAGACAGGCTCAAACATCCTGCCTCTTTCAGAAACGTTAGAGGTTTCTAATTTTAAAATAAATCTTTTATGAAATAAATAGTTGGGGAAGAGTCGTTTACTTGGGTTCCTAATTGCAGCTATCGCAGGAGGACTTGGGAGACTTGCAGTTGCATGGGCACAGCCGCCTGATGCAACAGCACTGTGGGGATTTGGTGGCACAGAGATGATGGTCTCTAATTAGGTGACTGGAAACAAGACAGTGGCCTTTCCCAGGGGAGAAGGAGAAGTGGCAGTGGCTGGCCCAGGCGTTCTCTGCAGAGGAGCCAGCAGAGGTACAGGAAACCCACGGCGCCTGTGCCACAGCTACGGGCAGCCCTTTTTCCCCTGTGCAGAGCACAGCTCTGTGTACAAGGCCAGGACTTGTGCCAGAGCAGGAGGCAGAAGGCACACAGCACCTTGCTCCCCAGGGGGGTCACAGCAGAAGCTGCTGGGTGGCCGTGCAAGCACACAGCCAAGGCGAGGTGCTGGGTGGGTGCTGTGGGGTCCAAGCCCACAGCCTGCATCACAGGCTGGGTTAAGGCTGACCCCCTGTGCCCTGGCAGCACACACAACTTGTCACCGCTCTGGCACCATGAGTAATTCAGCAGTTAGCTCTGAAGGCAGCTGAAATGGGCCCCAGTGCTCCAGAGCAAACAGAACTGCCATGCTCAGGGCTGAGCAAACCCCTCTGGGAGCAGGCAGTGCCAGCAGGCTGGCACCCGAGACAAACCTGCAAGTGCTCACCTACTGCTGTCACACCAGGTGTCATCGGCCAAAATTGTGGGTTCTGGAGGGCTCTGAAGCGTTTTCTCCAAGGTTTCTTGGGTGAGGCGTCCGGTCTCACTCCTCAGGATAGGCTGCACAGTCGTTCTTGGAAAGAGGTGGTGTGTGAGGGAAAGGATCTGCAGCGGCAACAAGACAAGACCTGGGTGTCCTCCTGATGTACCAGCACGCACGGAAAAGCTTTCCCCTGCAGCCAAACACCTGCCTCGTGCCACCAGCGAAGGACCTGGCAGCCTCCCCGAGACCTGCCCCAACAGGGAGCCTGTTTTTGTTTTGTTTTTCCATAAAGAAGCCCCTGATCTATTGAGCCATGCTGCTGCCCCATTAAGTGCCACACTTGGCAACAGCAGTGTGGGGACACGCTCCCATCATCGCAGCCAGCTGCAGGAGGGCTCCTGCCTTGCATTAAGTTCAAAGAAACAGGAAAATAAGAATGAACAGGAGGAAAAAGCCCTGCCTGATGGCTCTACCACAGAACTGCTGTAACCGCCAGGCTGTAACCACTGCTGCTTGGCTTGGACCTGTACCCCAGCAGGACCCCTGACCCCCAACTCATGTTTCTTGGTGCCAGCTGCTGGCCCTGACGCAGAACACAGACACCGGGCTTGTCCCAAACCACCAGGCACAGGCACTGCAGCTGAGGCAGCGAGCCAGTAACTGCCTGGTCCCCGAGCAGGGCAGCGGAGAGAAGCAGCAGGGCCGTACCTCACTGTCCATGGGGTCCAGCCGCAGGCTCTGCAAGGTGTCCTCCCTCGTGCTCTGCACCTTCTGTGGGCACAGGCGCAGGTGGTGCAGAGCTTCCTGGGGGTCGTGCTCAATGGTAGCAGAGAAACGAGCCTCTGCCTGCTGGTACCACCTGCGAGGGGACAGGAGCACACACAGGGCTCTCCGCAGGCCCTCAGGAAGCTGCACCAGCCTCCTGCTCACCTCGCTGCCACGTCCCGACGACCCAGCTCGTGCAGCGCTGCCGCAACACGTCGCTGCACACCGAGGTTCCCTGGGCTCAGCTCCAGCGCCTGCTGGTAATCCGCCAGCGCGTGGGCCAGCTCCCCCAGGCGAAGGAAGCAGTCTGCAACGAAGCCGTGCCGGCGTCTCAGCGACCCAGAGCAGCTGGGGGCTGGCTGCTGCCCTGGGCCTTTGCCTGGAGCTCTCCGTGCCGGTGGGAAGCACACGCCTCGTGTTCAGCCCACCCCGGGTTTCAGCATCGTTAGGCAAAAGCTCTGCGACCACCAGGAGATGCAGCCCGGTATGGGAGAGGGCAGCAGATCCCAGCCCTGCCCCTGAATAGATCTTGTGGGGAGGGAGCAGCAGAGCCAGTGGTAAATCCTCGCTCCTGGTCATCTCCTCACTGCTGAAACAGGAAAGGCATCTCTGGGGGGCACAGAACTTAGACTGGGAACTGGGATCAGGATCAAGAGAGAACCCAGAAGCCCTACTACCACCTTCAGCCACCAGTCCCTAACACAGGACCCCAGAGCAGGGCCTTTCCCTGCATGCACTGTGTAGGTACAAGCTGCTGCTCTTTGACACCCCAGCCCTATCCCTGAGCCCCCGTTCTTGCCCTGGGGACCCTGCTTTGACCCCCACTTGCCTCCTCTGTTGACATAGAGCCCCTCCTCTGTCCTCTCATCTCGCAGAGCCTCCCCAAGGAGCATCACAGCCTCATTGAGCTGGCCCCGGGCATAGCAGTGCACGGCACGGTCGTTGTAGGTGAGCACCAGCTGCCGCCGAGCCTCCTGAGCCTCCGGGCCCTCGTCGGCACACAGCTGCCTCGCCTTGGCCAAGTCCTTTAAGGCTGCACCGAAGTCCTTCAGCCGTCGGAGGAGGGCCCCCCTGCGACACAGGGACAGAGAAATGAAGACTCGGACACCAGCGGGGCCAACTGGCCACAGTAACGCATCCGCTACCTGAGGGTGAAGAATTCGGCAGCCGAGGGGTTGGTCTCGATGGCAAAGCTGATCCTGAGCAGGGCCCCACGCAGGTCCCCACACAGAGCCTTTGACACTGCCTCAGCCTTGGCCTCCAGGCCTCGCCTCTGCAGCCTCTGCCGCAGCGCCTGGGCAGCTCCGTGCTGCGGGTCCAGCTCCAGGGCCCGCTGGATGTCCTGGTGGCACAGGGACAGCTGCCCGGGAGGCCGGGATCCCTCAGGACCTGGAGCTTCCACCTGCGTCCCCCACCTCCAGGAGGAGCAGCCAGGATCCCTCGGGGACCGGAGCAGCCGTACCTGCCCGAAGTGCTCGTAGAAGGAGGCACGCAGCACGTACAAGTCAGGGTTCCTCGCATCCTCCGCCAGGTCTCTGTTGAGCATCCGGAGGCACTCGGGGAACTTGTTGAGGGCAGCGAGGCACAAGATGCTGCAAGAGGAGAGGGGCGCAGCTGGCGGGGAGCCCACGGCAGGACCAGCGTGGCTGAACAGCCTCGTGCTGCTTCACCTCCTCCTGCGAAACACCCTGCGGTGGGGCTGCAGCTCAGCTGCTCGCGTAAAGGCCTCCAGGGCCTCGCTGTAGAGCTCCTGGTCCAGCAGACATCGTCCCTGCAGGGATAACCTGTCAGCGTGGCCACAGGGCAGGGCTGCAGGCAGGGAGGACGGAGTGGTAGCTCACCTGTAGGTCAAGGACAAGGGCTAAGCGAGCCAGGCAGTGCTGCTCCCGCGCGGGTCCCAGTGTGAGCACCTTCCTGAAGTTCAGAGCAGCCGACTGGAAGTCGCAGAGCTGGAGGAAAGCCTCTGCCCGCTGCTCGTACAGCTCTGCCTGCGCCACAGACACCCTCAGCCCTTGCTGCCCGCCACCCAGCAATACTCAAGCTCCCCAGGATCAGCCTGGTGAGAGGCTAATGCCACAGTAAGCACGTCCTGAAACCAGATGCTGGTGTTACTGGTGTTACTGGTGTTACAGCCAGCCTTCACAACGCTGCCTCCCCTTCACCAGCATGTCCCCAGCCCCCTGGGACCCACTACCCGCTGCGGATCCAGGCCGATGGCTTTCGTGTAGCAGATGATGGCTTCCTCCCACTGGCCGCAGGAGGAGAACTCCAGCCCTTTCTGCCAGCTGTGGGGAGGAAAAGAGCCATGAGCCGGGCCCAGGCTCTCACTGCCAAACGTGGAGCCCATTAGGGTCCGAAGGGAGCTGGGCTCCAAAGGCAGAGCCAAGACACAGGCAGGGCTGGAGGGCGGCTGGGGGGATATTGAGGACCATGTACCCCGTATGCTCCTGCCCACGCAGAGTGCTGCTGAAGGCAGTTAGAGCAGGTAACGGGTACCGGGTGCCCCAGCTGTGACCATGTTTGGAGGCAGAGCAGCCCCAGCACTTACTGCTCCCGCATCCTGCCCTGCACAACCGCACCAAAGGGCCCCGCTTCCCTGGGGCACTCGATGCTGCGCAGGCAGCGGCTGGACCCAAAGATCCTCTGCAGAGCCCTCTCCCTGCCGGCCTCCAGCTGCTCCTCAGGCACTGCTGTCGCAAACAGCTCCTCAGCAGCCATCTCCGCGCCCCCCTGCAGCAGCACACAGCTCCCTGCAGCCCTCCTCTGCCCCACAGCCCCTCCTGAGCATCCCCCCCCCCAGCCAGCATCCTGGGGGGCACCCCAGCCACGGCCAAAGCTGGGAGGAAGGAGGAAGGGAGAAGGGGCAGGGAAGGGTCCCTCCATACCCCCAGGGGAGCGGAGGAGGCAGCACAGAGGAGCCCAGCCCGGCCCCACGATGCTGCCCCCCGCCCGCAACCACGATGGCGGCGGTGCCCGGGAGCAAGATGGCTGCCCCCACCACCCCCCCCCCAACAAGATGGCGCTGGGGAGGTGCCCTGTGAGGGGGCGGCTGGCCTCAGGGCACGTCCCTGCGGAGAGGGGCTCAGCATCCACCCGTGGCCGGGTGCTTGCAGCATAACATGGGGGATTTTGTCCTTTTACCCCACAGGGACATGATGGGGTCTAGCCCTGTTAGTGCTGTGCAGTGGCAGGGGGTCCTGGTGGGACAGGTGCTGTCCCCTCCTCAGTGCAGGGCTCATCATCCCCAGCTCCCATTCCCCCCTCTGCTGCTGACAAGTCCCTGTTCCCCTCTCTCCCCTTTTTCTCTCCCTCTTTTCCCTTTTTTTCCCTTTGCCCTCTTCCCCCCGCCTCCCCAAGGCAGACGCCGTTTTGGCAGGGCGGCGGACATGGAAACAAGCAGCTCTCGCGGCCCCGCCAGGCTTGGCAGGAGCCCGGCGTCCTGGCGCAGCCCAGCACAAACCTCGGCCAGCCTCATGTTTCTTGGAGCTGGGCCCCACACACCCAGGGAAGGCATGGGGGCCGCTCCTCATGGCCCAGCACCATCCCCTCGCCCTTCAGCTGCCTGTTGGGGACCAGCACTGGCAGCTCCATATCTGCCAGGCACCCTGGTAGCTGGGTGCCATCCGAGTTTGTCCCCACGATGGCAGTCCCAGTGCTGCAAGGGGTGGCCCATGAAGGTGGCTGCAGCTCTAAAGGTTTCTTGTTGGAAGCCCTTAGGGAGGTTCTGGGGGAAATTGGGTGCACCTGGAGAGCTGCAGGGCCAAACTGGAGCACAGGGCAGGGACAATAGGGACAACATACAGAAGGGATCCGAGCAGGGACATGAACAGGAGGAAGGCAGGAGACCCTTTTTAGTTGTTTGGCCAGCCAGCCCTTCTGACAGCACCAAGATATCACCACCTTCTGCACCATCATGACTGCAGGGTGGCTGGGCAGGGGCTGCTGCCTCCTGGGTCCCTCCCTGAGGTCCCTGCTGGTGGCTTTAGCCTCACGCAGCACTTTCCAAACATCACCTTCCCGTCCTCACCTGCATGTTCCCTGCTTCGTGGATGCGCTGCAGCAGTGTCCCAGCACCGTGTGTCATGGAAAGCCAGAGCTGCCTGGAATTTCCTAGCTCACCAGCTCATGAGGTCTGCTCCCACTGAGCTGGAGCAAGCAGTGGGGAGGTTGTGGGGCCGTCATAGTTTCTGAGTTAGGGTTTTTGTGCCAGAACACTGGAGTTTTTGAAAGCTGGAGGAACTCTGGCTCCTCCTGGCCAGCCCTGTTACAGGTCCCTTGCCAGAGCGGGCAGCTCAGGGAATGGCTTCTCCCCACCACCACCACTCCAGCATCCCAAAGACCCTGGGTTCTCCTTGGCACGTCCTGCCTGCCCTACAAGCCCTGAGAGCATGGTGGCTCCTTGCCTGCGTCCCAGCGGGCACTGGAACATGTCCCAGGACCCTTGCTGTGCCACGTGTACCACAGCACTGCTGCTGCTTCCTTCATCTGCTCCAGCTGGCAAAAGACCTTCACCCTCTCCATCTGCAGCTCCCAGCCAAGAGCTCCTCAAGCTGCAAGGTCTGCAGCGAGGTTACCTGCAGCCAAGGGACAGGCAAAGTGGCAAAGGCGTCCCCAACCTCCCATCAGCTCTCCATCCTGCCACAGCACCCGTGCACGTACTGTCTGGGACCCTGTGACTGCAAACTGCACGTGGCCATGTCCTGCTCCCTGTTCTCCAGGGGTCCACTGGGATCTTCAGGCCCTCTGTGACCTCCTGGAGCTGGTGGTTCTCCTGCAGGAGGCCCCTGGTGTGGCTGTTCACCCTGCCCTGAATCACACTTTCCTGGATCATTATTTTGGTGGCTTCAGACATCCTGCTGTGGGGCTCACTTGCCACCTCCCCACCACCTCCATCAGGCTGGGGGGCTGACAGGGAGCTCACGTCTCCCCCCACTCACCCAGACTACAGTTAGTTGAAGCATTTTCAAGGAACTTGCTCCTCCACCTCAGTTTTCAACCAAGCATTGCCCTGCAGAGCATTTACCCGCTCCAGGGAGCTGAGGTTTCACACCAAACAAGCTCAGGCTCTTGAAAAGCAAACACCCTCCTCCAAAGCTGGCCACAAACTTGACAAATGCCAGAGCCCAGCAGGACTCAGCTGCACATCCCGGTGCTCAAGCTGGTGTCAGGTCTTCAGTCCAAAGGCCAAAACCTCCACTGAGAGCATCAGCGCAAACGAGGGAAGTCATTTTCATCGGCGGTACCTGGGGAGAGCAGAGCTCTGCAGGAATGGGTCCTCCTGGCTGCCTCCCAGCGCCAGCCCCAGGGGGACAGCGATGCACGGGGCCACCAGCATCACTGACCGGTACCCACCGAGGGTCGGAGCACACCGATGGCTGCCAAGGAGGGATGGGGCTCTCCCCTACAGCTCTGGTTTGCTAGAAGGGGCTTTTCCCCATGCCCCTGCCCCACAGAAGCACCCCGATCAGCACACTGCACCAGAACTGTGTCCTCCATCAGGTCCAGCCCTCACCCCACGAGCACACAGCTCCATTCCCTATCTCTCACCCCCCTTTACCCCATTTCTCCTTTTTCCCCTGTTTCCAAAGCAATCACCCCAAAGCGCAGGCAGGGCAGGCTCCGGGATGCGATGCGGGGCAGTGCTGCCCAGCACAGCCAGCAGCCGGGCACGTCAGCTCCAAACAGTCTGGTTTAATCCTCCCTGGGCTTCAGCCCAGACACAGCACAGGTGAGGGACAGGCCCGGTGGGTGGCAGGAGGCTCTCCCCCTTCCTCCCACACCTGCAAATCCATGTGAGATGTCCAAAAAAACAGAAGTTTGCACCATTCGGGACAGCGCTGGCACACCAGGAAAATACATCCCCAGCAGAGCGGTCCAGCAGCCCCTCTGCCCAGCTGGGCACCGGCTCTCCGAGAGCCCTGGGGATAAATCCCACCTTGGGGCACCAGCGATGCTCCCCACGGAGTCCCAACGCCTGGTCCCTTGGGGGAAAGGCAGCGAGCATCCCTGCAGGTCCAGGCAGGAGCAACCGTGAGCATCCTGATGCTTTCACGCCGGGCTGGCAGGGGGTCGGGCTGCCCCCGGGGAGGCTCATCCAGCAACCTCAGAGCTCATCACGGGCAGAGGAGCGCAGGTAGCCCCCGCTACCCCGCGGGTCCCTCAGGGTCTTCCGTGAGCCCGTCCAGCCCGTCTGCTTGGAGTCGTCGTCCCAGATGGTGGAGGTCTCGGTGTCGCTCAGCCAGTTGCTGTCCCCGGCGTAGTGGGTGGGATAAACCAGGAGGGGGTGAGCCGAGAACACCAGCAGGTCCCGCGGGGAGAAGTGCCGCTTGTAGTCCTCGCTGGGGAGAGCGGGAGGAGAGAGGCTCGCACACAGAGCGGGGCTGGAAAATCCGTGCTGGGGAAGGCACCGCGTGGGGAGGGCCAGCGGGTAGCGGGGATGGGCACAGACACTGCGTGCTCAGAGAGCTCTGGGTGCTGGGGGGCTCCTCGCAGCTCCCCGTCCACCTTTCACCCTCACATCTCTCCACTTTGATGTCCAGCTCTCTGCTTTTCCCACCCCGTCTCCCCAGGGACACCCCCGGTGCTCCCCTTGACCCCCATCTACCTCCCCCCATCCAGCTGCAGCCCCACCACTGCCCCCAACCCGGGATGCAGGGCAGGGAGGTTCCCCCAATAGGGCCGAGACCCCCGTGCGGGGCCAGCACCGTGCCCCAGCTCCGTCCCCGCCACCCCCCCATGCTGGCCGAGGGCCATTTTCCAGCGGCCGGCAGCCAGGCGGCGGCTGGGGGGGGAATGAGCTCATGCTGCAGATGTTTTCCTCCAGCATGAGCAACGCCAGGGGGAGGATGGGGAGGGGGGGACGGTGACGACGGAGAAGAAACACATGTTCCCACAGCGCCACGGCCCCACAACCCCCCCAAAATCCCCCCCGCTCCTTACTTGGGGTGCTTGTCGTACATGATGGGCAGGAACTCGTCCACCGGCAGCATTTTGGAGAGGGGCTCGGCGGCCAGCAGCTTCTGCGCCCCGCGCTGGGAGATGGCGTAGGCCAGCGTCCAGTACGAGTACCCGGCCACCACCAGGTTCCGCACACCCTCCACGGGCGCCTCGTCCTCCGCGTTCACCTGCTTCCTCCCCAGGTAGCTGGGGGGCGAGCGGTCAGAGCCAGCCCCGTGAGTCCCCCCCTTGTCATCCCCCCCTGGCACCTACATGAGGTCCCAGTCCTGCTGCGCCCCCTCCAGCTCCTCCATCAGGCGCCGCAGCCGTGCCGGGAAGGAGACCTCAAAGCGCACGTCGTCCTCGAACACCACCGAGCGCTCCAGCCCCCGGGACACGATCTGCAGGGAGGGCACAGCGCTGTGAGCACGTCCCAGCACCGCACTGGGCCGTACTGGGCCCGCTCACCCTGCAGGAAAAACCCTCTCCCTGTGGCTCTGGAGAGCCAGTGCTGCACATAGGGTCCCTACCCGGTGCTGGTGTCCCCCCCCAGTCCTGGTGTCCCCCCCCCGGTCCCGTACCTCCTTCCAGATGCTGTAATGGCTGAGGAAGCAGCCAACTTCACCCTTGGTCAGCGTGCGGCCGGAGAAGGGGTCGTAGTACTCCGGGAGCATGTCCACACCCAGCACCTTGATGTCGCTGCTGTTGAGGGTGCTGCGAGGCGAGGGGTCGCATTACCGAGGTGTCCCAGCCCCCCAAAACGCAGCCCCCTCCCCAGGGTGACAGAGGTGGCCCCGCACGGTCACCTCCCGTCCACGGCGTCCACCACGCGCGCGGCGATCTCCAGCTCTTGCAGGGACGCCAGCATCCGCTGCCGCCGGTCCGGCCGCCGCACCAGGTTGATGAGGAAGATCTGGGGAGGAAGAGGAGAGCCCCATGGGGTGGGGGGGACATCACTGTGGGGACAGGGGCTTGGCTGAATGCTGTGGTGGTGGGGAGCAGCATGCGGTGAAGGAGAGATGGAGGGGAGGCACGGGGGGGCTGCTGGGCACTTACCTCGTCAAAACCCATTTTGGTGAGAGGCTTGGGGGGGACCGAAATGTGCCTGGAGCGCTGCATGGGGGGGCCGTCCACTGCCAAGAGGTGGGAAATCCCTTTGATGGAGCCCAGACCCCTCCAGCAGGGACCCAGGGCTGACGGCCCCACATGGGGGCAGCACCAGGACCCCTCACCCTGCGCCACCGGGACCCCCCCAGCGCTCACCCATGGCCTCCAGCGTGAGATGCACGAAGTTGACCCGCTCGTCCTCCAGCGTCTGGTGAGCCTTCACCGGGACGTTGATGTAGCCAAAACGCTGCTGGTTGCACACGTGGACCTCAGCCCCTGCAGGACCACAGCAGAGGGGGTAAACACCACAGAACCCAACCCCTGAACCCCCCCCCAAACCCTCCCCAATCCCTCACCCGCCTCCTGGCAGGAGTAGGCGAAGACGATGATATCGTCGAAGGCCCAGGTGTAGTTGGGGTGAGGCGGGTAGAAGGCCAGCCGCGCCGCCTCCTCCTTGCGCAGGTCGATCAGGAAGGTGCCGTACACCATGGGCACGGCGAAGCAGCCCCGGCGCTGCCGGTTCTTGGTGGGGAAGTAGTCGGCCGTCCGGCGGTAGTAGCCCTGCGGCACAGCGCGCTGATGGCGAAGGGACGCGGGGCACGCAGCGGGGCGGCCCCCCGGGGGTGTCGGGGGCGTACCTGGGGCGTTATCCCGCACCAGAAGTTGGAGTAGAAGGTCTGCGAGTCCAGCATGGGGGCCACCACCGATTTGTTCTGTGCCATGAGGAACTTGAGGGTCTGGTTGTTGGTCAGGATGCTGTCCGTGTCCACGTACTGCGGGGCACAATGAAGGGGCTGGAGGCGCGGGGATGCCCACCCGGCCACAACTCCTCCCATGCCCTATATGCGGGGTGCCCCCCGTGCCCCTCCTGCCCTACCAGGATGTAATGCGCCCGCTGCTCCCGGGCGTAGCTCAGAGCCTCCTGCTTGAGCCTCATGAGGTTCTCGTAGCGTTTGTCGCTCCAGTGCTTGGGGCCGAGCTCGTCGGGGTAGGCGCTGAGCGAGGGGGGAGGAAGGCGGGGGTTAACGGGGACGCACAGACTCGGTGCAGGCTCCGCGTGCCGGCCGGCTGAGTCAGCCCACGGCTGCTGCTGGCAGCCGCCCCAGGTCTGCAGCGGGATCCCCATGGGGCCGACGGGGCCGTGGAGCCCCACAAGCACGGGACGGGGCTGTGCCGACGCTCGGAGCAGCCCCAAACCCAGCCGGGGAGGACAACAGAGCACCCTCCGCACAGAGCCCTGCCAGCACCCCACATCCAAGGGGGAGCTGGAAGGAAAAGTGGGGTTCAAACCCCAAGGAGAGGCTGTGGGGTCGCTCCTAGCCTGGCTCCGTGCCTCCCAGCCTCACCTGGGCCCCTCCGCCTCCTTCCACACCACCGAGTGATAATCCCTGCCCACCGCCACCAGCCACTCGCGCAGCATCGCCGTGGTGTTGTCCGAGTTGTGGTCCGTCGCGCACCTGGAGGGGGGGACATCAGACCCGCGGGGAAAAAAAAAAACAAAACAAAAAAAACCTTCCCTGTGCTATAAAAACCTCCAGCCCCACGAGGCCGGGGCAGAGAAGGAGGGGAGCGGGGCTCGCTCGGAGAGGCACGGTGTAATTTGAAGGAACCAAAGCTGCGCTCGCAGCAGGAAGGCAAACGGGTAATTTCTTCCCCGACTCTGCCCCGCCAGCACAGGCTGTCCCGTGGCTCTCGCTTGCCCTCAGACCCCGTTCTTGCAGCCCAAAATCAGCTTTGCCTTTCCTGGCCCCGTAGCTGTGGCTCCTTCCCCTCTGCACCCCGCTGCGCCCCTCTGCACCCCCTCCCCAAAGCTTCCTCCCCGCCGCGCACAGACTCCATCCCCAAAACGATGCCCGGGGGCAACCCGCTGGGACGGGGCCGAGTCCCACATCGCAGCGGTGCCACCCCCATGCTCCTCGCCCCCCTCACCCCACTGCAGAGCCCCCGAGCTGCGCCCCCGGCCCTGGCACCGCAGGGACCCCAAGGACACGGGGGGAAGGCAGGGCCCAGCCCCGCACGGCTCCGGCAGCGCCTGCCACAGACATCGGGTCCGGGGAGGCTCCGGGGGGGTGGCACAGCAAAGGTGACAGCCCCCCAGCTCCCCCCCAGCACAGCCTCCCCCCCAAAAACAAACCCTCCCTGGCCAGCCCCTGCCTCGTCGCCCATAAAAACAGCAGGGGGAAAGTTTCCAGCGAGCTCAGGCAAGCGGCGGCTGCGACAGAGCGGGGAAGGGAAGGGACGGGGGCGCCTCTCCCACCCCACCGGCACGGTAAAAGGGGTTTGGGGGGGCTGTGTATGAGGTTGGGGGGACGGGGACAGCCTCAGTGGGAAGAGGGAGGCAGTGTCTGTCCCTGGTGATGTGGAGAGCCCCCCCCAAACCCAGGGTGCCCCTCCCTCGGCAGCCCCACAGCTCCAGGAGGGGGGCAGTGGGGGTCTCTGCCCCTCGCTGCAGGCTGTGCCCCCCCCCCCCCAGCCCCTGGTACCCCAGCCGGGGCAGAGCCCCCCCACACAGGCCCAGCCCCTCTGGTTACCCGCAGGGTCCCTGCTGCCTGCCACAAACAGGGGGGGGCACTCCCCAGGTTCCCACTCCCCAAATCTCTGCCCCCCCTCCCCCCCCTCCCAGGGGCTCCCACTCCTCCAGGACCCCATTACCCTGTCCCTTATCCCCCCCAGGGCCCCCATTCTCCCCACTCACCCCATATTCCCCATGCACCCCATTCAACCCCCTGCACCCCCACACCCCCTAGAGCCCCTCCAATCCCCTACAGCCCCCCCAACCCCCCCAGACCCCCTTTACTCCCCCCATCCCACCACCCTCCCCCTCCCCGGAGACCCCCCGCACCCACCCCACCCCCTTCCCCCCAACACCCCCATTTCCCCCCAAGCCCCCCATTGCCCCCCAGACCCCAAACTCCCCGGGGGGGGGTCCCGGCGCCCCCCCCCTCACCACAGCGCGATGCTCGCCGGGGGGAAATCCAAGCGCTCCAGTGCGCCCAGGCAGTGCGGCAGCGAGTGCTGCGCGTTGCGCGCCAGCAGGGCGAGCACCACCCGGGGGGGTTCGGGGTCCGGGGGGGTCCCGGTGCCGGGGGGGGTCCCGGTGGAGGTGCCGGTGGCCAGCAGCAGCAGCAGGGCTCGCAGCAGCCCCATGGCGGAGCGGCGGCGGCGGGCGGGGAAGGGGCGGGCTCCGCGCCCGGGCTGGGACCCGCCGAGCTCCGCGCACCCCCCGCCCCCGGCCCGGCCCCTGCACGGACCCCCCCCCCCTACCTCCCCCCTCGCTGCCACCACCGCCCCAGAGCAGGAGGAGGAGGAGGAGGAGAATAAGGGGGCTACAGGGCCGAGGGGACGCCCCCACCACCACCACGACCCGGGGAGGGGGGCGCTTTGTTAGGATATTGTGGGGAAATAAAGCCGGCATCCAAAGCCCCCCCAAAGCCCCCCGGTGGGGTGAGAGCCAGGCACGGGATGGCAGCCCCCAGGAGGTGCCCCCCGTGCCCCTTCATACCCCCCTGTACCCCTTTGCACCCCTCTGTGCCCCTTTGCACCCCCCCCGCCCCCCCCGTGATTTCCACTCGTGTCCTGCTGCAGGGGGCGAGGGGCTGGTGGCCACAGGGGGGCCGTGGCTAGTGGGGCTCAGCCACCCCTTGCCAACGGGTGGCCGAGGGGTTTGGCCCCACTGAGCCCCCCCCCAGCAGCAGGCCCCGGGGCCTTTGCAACGTGTCCGAGCTGCCGGACTTTGGGACATTTGGCCAGAAATTCCCTATAACCAACCTCCGGCCCCATAAATACCGCCCGGTACCCACAGCGAGCGTGGCCGGGGAGAGGCCGTGTCCCGGGGAGAAAACGGCCACCCCGGCGGTGCTGGGCACCCCTCGGGATGGTGCCCCCAGTGCTCCCAGTTCTCCCAGTGCCCCCAGTGCTGGGAAGGGACCGGGGGTGCGTTGCCAAACCTGCAGGCCCACCCCACATCCCGGCCGGGTGTCTGCTCCCTGCATCTCCATCCCGCTGGGATCCTGGCACCTCCAAAATGTGGCCGGGAGGGTGAAGATGTCCCACAGCACCTGGAACAAGGACAGGGGAGAAAATTACCCGGGGAGGGGGCACTGGGAGCATGGGGACACCCCATAACGGGTGGAAAGGGAGCGAAAATACATTTACACCCCAAGCTCAGACAAGTATTTTGGGGACGGGGTCGGTCAGGGAGGCTCAGGGCGCTTTGCAGCGACATATGGGGGGCTGCGGGACCCCAAAACCCGGCCGCACAGGGGGGGACACCCCACACACCCCGCAGCAGGGTCCCCGGGCAGGACGAGGTCCCCGCAGCCGCCGGGCCCCGGCTCCAGCAGCGCGGCCGCTGCTGCCACCTCCCGGCCCCGCGGGGACGCACCGGGACGGGACCGGCCGGGGGGGGCCGCGGGGACCGGGGGGGGATGCGGGGCCGTGCCTGCAGCCTGACAGGGGGCAGCCCTGTAGTCCTGCGTCCCTTTACTCCTGCACCCCTTTACTCTTGCACCCCTGCATCCCTTTATTCCTGCACCCCTACATCCCCAAATCCCTCCACCCCTGCATCCCTTCACCCCATCTCTCCACCCCTCCACCCCTGTATTCCTGCACCCCTTTACTCCCACATCCCTATGTCCCTTTATTCCTGCACCCCTGCATCCCTTTACTCCTATACCCCTACATCCTTCCACCCCCACATCCTTGCATCCCTTTACTCCCCCACCCCAAATCCCTTCACTCCAAATCCCTGCATCCCTTTATTCCTACATCCCTGGATCACTTTAGTCCTCCATCCCTCCACCCCCACACCTCTCCACCCCTGTATTCCTGCACCCCTTTACTCCCACATCCCCATGTCCCTTTACTCCTGCACCCCCCGGGGTCGCAGACAGCCCTGCCCTGCCCCCAGCACCCCGCAGGGCCAGACGGAGCCCAGCACCAGCAGCAACCAGGCTGTGCAGAGCCCTGGATCCCCGAAAGGCCGGGTGCCAGCAGCGGTTAACCCACAGAATACCCCGTGTGCTCGTCCCCTGCTGTCCCCTTGGTGAGCACTGAGGGGGGTGCTGGTGCTGCGCCCCGACCTGGGGAAACTGAGGCACGGAGCAGTGCGGGAAGGAGCGCACGGACCCCAGAGATGGGACGGGACTGGCCCAGGAGCAGCGCACCCCGCATCACTTGGGGCCACTGCTGGTCATGCACCTTAAATCACATCGCCCTCAGAGCCCCGAGGGGCTGGTGACACCTTACAGCTTGTGCCAAGCAGTGAAAAAAGAAAAAAAAAAAAAAGAAAGCTGTGAAGGAGCACAGGGAGAAGTGGAGGTTACCTGCTCTTGTGCCTGCCTGCTCCTCAGGGTGCCAGCCCGCCCGGCTCGCTGCGTCTCAGCACCTCCATCGGGGTGGCACGGGGGGGGCGCAGGTCCCCAGGGGACCCCGTGCACCAGTGGCAGTACCTGAAACACAGAGCCACCGTCAGGCCTAAACGCATCCCACCCCAAAAAGCCCCTTCCCATCGTGCCTGGCCATTATTAAAGTCCTGATTTTATTTGGGTAGGGCTGTAAGATCTCTTTTAGCTTGGTTTTTCCCCACTCCCCCAGCTGGGCTGATCTGGGGCAGCTGGGTCCTGCAATCAGAGCGGGACCGGGGCCAGCCCAGCACCTCCTCCACCTGCCCAAATCCCCCACCTGGCTGCCGATCAAGCCCTGCGCCCCCTGGACCCCCAAAACCCTGAATCCCCAGCCCCTGGACCCCCAGCCCCTGGACTGCTGCTGGTTCTGGGCCCCAGGACCCCCCAGGATGGGTGCGGTGCTGAACCCCCTCTCCTCCTTCCTGCGCAGTGAAGTTTCTCTCAGTGTGTTTCCTTTTTTACTTTTTTTTTTTTACAGGGAAAGGTTGTTTTGGACCCAGGGCTGAGGTTTTTGGCCCTCTCCAGCCTCCTGTCTCCACCCCTTCCTTGACATTCGCTGCGTTTTTCAGTAAAGCCTTTGAGAAGTTCCAGGTTCCTCAAACGTCACATTCTGCTGGGTTGAAAGCCTCGGATTCGGTTGCAGGAAATTAATAAATATCTCTATACACCCAGAAATAATGCGCGTCTGTGTGCCCAGGGGGTTAGTACAAGTCCCCCAACCTCCAAAAATCCTTTTAAAAACTTATTTCATAGGAAGAACTCCTCATATGGCCTCGCTCCACGGTGTCCCCAGGTGCCCCGGCCACCAGCGCAGCCTCGGGGCCCCCTCCCTCGCCATGCCACTGCCCGAGTGACTCCATCCCCTAAAAACCCGCTGCCCCAGCTGGGGAAACTGAGGCAGGGGTGGTGCCCGGCTCCCCTCGCCCCGTGCCCACCCCGCAGCCCCTCGGTGCTGGCTGTGCTCGCTGCCCTCCAGCTGCTCGCTGCATCAGCAGCCCGGGGCTGGCCTCGCAGCCGGGCTCCGCTCCCAGCCCTCTGCTAAACCCATCGCCGGGCGCCGCTCGGATTTCCTCCTCTCCAGGCCGCTCCCCCGGAGCAGGCAAAAATATCACAAACAAACCCAGAGCCTCGAAATCCTCCCGTGTCCCACCTGGAGAAATCCTCGGGGGGTTTAGGGCCACCCAAGAAAGGCCCCGTGAGAGGGGATGGAGGCTGCTCCGGCCACCTGGGGCAGCATCCCCGTGTTGGATGGAGGATCCAGGGGGATTTTTACTGGGGATGGGGCAGAAAATCACCGCTGAGCCCCAGGATGCTGCCCCTCACCGGCTGGGGGATGCTGGGGGTGCTGCTGGGGGGCTGCAAGCAGCGGGGAGGGGAAGCCTCCCCCAGGGCCCCTTTGCCCCTTGCTGGGATCAGGGATGTTCTGCTCCATGGGTATGACCACGCTGCAGCCTCCCAGCCCCAAAACACTGCTCAGGCTGGGACCCATCAGTGGTGCCAGGCCAGCATCCCCCCGGACTACCCACTGGGGGCACTGGGACACCTCAGAGCAAGGGGAAACTGAGGCTGGGAACTGGGAGGATGCCACCAGCACATCTCCTGCTTCCCAGCCCCAACCCCAACCTTTCCTGACCCTACTGGGCAGGACGCAGCCGTGCCAGCACCCCGGGGCACCCCAGCAGGGCGCACTGCTCCGTCCCCTGCTGCGCCCTCTCAGAGGGTCGGTGCCATTGGGGTGCCCAGGACAGCACCGATGGGATGGGTCCCCCCACGATGCACTGACCCATGCGCTGCCGTCCCCTCCATCCCCTCCGTCCCCTCCGTCCCCTCCCTCCTCTCCCACCCACCAGGACTTTGGGTCGGGCCCCGTCCCAGCCCGGGCAGCTGTGACCGAAAACAAAGCTGTCCCCGCACAATGCCCTTCTGTCCGTTCCCAGATGCTGACCGCTGGGGTGGACAGCGGCCGGGCTGGAGGCATTGAAGGGCCGTGCCAGGCCCCTGCTGGCAGGGGACAATGTTGGCAGTGATGGAGAGTAGGTATTTCAAAAGGTTTTGTTTTCGGCTGACCCGCCGAGCCAGCGTGACCCCGCAGCCCCCCACCCACCCGTGCTCCTCCGTCCCAATAGAAACCGGCCACATTCCTGACCTCGGGGGGGAAAAGTTTAAAAACTCCTAGCGAGGAGACAATACCGGTGTCATGGCATTGATTTAGGAGGGACTCTTTCCATCACAAAGGCGAGACAAAGGCGCTCGGCGCTGGGAAAGGGGCTTCAGCTCCCGGCTCAGGAGCGGGGCCGCGGCATTGTGCCTGGGGAGCCGGCCTCGCCGCGGGGCGGGCGGCCAGCGGGGCCCGCCGGGTGCCACCAGGTGCCACCAGCCTCCCCACCCCAACCCCGCGGCCACCCCAGGGACCAGGGGCTGGTGCCTTCGCGGGTGTCACCGTCACGGGGCAGGAGGTAGAGCGTGAGGTGGCCAGGCCCTGTTTTTGTGCTAGAGGCAGCACGAGGACAGCCAGCAGCTGAAAATCCCGAGAAATCCCCGGTTGGGGGCACCCGGGGGTGATGGCTGAGCAGCCGTCCCCTTCCTGGGGGTGCAAGCCCCCAAATCCCAAGCTCCCCCCACCCTGTGGGGTCAGAAGGGCCCAGATCCCACTTGGCTGTGCTGGGGACAGCTCCGGGGACGAGGGACGGTGCGGGATGAGCGGCCGCTCTGTGCACCGCTCAAAGGGGGCTTTGTGCACCCCGGGGTGCGCGGAGCTGCCGGCACCCAGCACCGCCCGCCACCACCAGCACCTCGCAGCCCTCCCCGGCACCAGGTCGGGGCCCCCCACACCCCAACCACCCCCTCCTCCACCAGCCCGGGCAGCTCAGCCCCAAACCATGGCAAAACCCCCCCCAAAAAAAGCCAGGAAACTGCTTGAGAAGGCGCCCGACTTACGGTGTCCTCTGCCGCAGAGCTCAGCCCACGTCTCCGGACAGCTTCCCAGTGCCGAAGGGCTCTGAGGCTGCACTGAGAGGGTTGCTTTTTTGTTTTTTTTTTTAAACAGGAGAAATATTTTTCTCCCGGTGCTGGACGGCTCTTCCGAAGCGAAAGCTGGAACCAAGTTCATTGGCTTTTCTCGCTCGCTCTCCTTGCCCTAATTTTTTTTTTCCTGGCAGCCCGCGGGAGGAAGGGAGCTGGCAAGGTGATGCTTTTGAGGAAGAGGGGGACTGCTGGCGAAAGAGGCTTTCGCCGCTCGGGGAGCCCGGGAACACTTTGGCATCTCGGCCGCTCTCCCGAGGGGAGCCGGGGGCGGGCGGCGGGGAGGCTCATGCCGCGGGGGGCTGCCACCGCACCGGGGCTGAGCGGGGAGGTCGGTGCAGGTGGAATCCACGGGCCCGGCCGCAGGATGCACCCGAAAGCCAATGACATCAGGGTGGTGGTTTTCTGCCTTTTTTTTCTTTTTCTTTTTTTTTTTTTCCAGGATGAAATTTCATTTGCAGACGCCTTCCCCTGCGGCCCGCGAGCGCTCGGGCTCCACGGCGACGTGCAGCGAAATTCCTCCCCAAGCCACACACAGGCGAGGAGGGAGCGGAGGACAGGGCCCAGGGTTTATTTTTCCCACTCGGGGCTGAAATAGATCCCAGTTCCCGACCCGCTGGTGCTGCACGGGGCACCCTGAGCACACGGGGGGATGTTTCAGGCAGGTTGGGAGGGGCCCTGCCCGGCGCCAGCGCCCCGTTGGGGACCCGGGTCCCCCCTCGTGGGGCCGTGGGGCAGGAGCCGGCCCCGGCCGCCCAGCCCGGGCTCGCTCCTTGTGCCTCTTCCCTGTTAATTTTGTTTAGAAACTTGTCAGGTTGGTACATAAAGGAGGTGGAAAGATCAATCCCGGCTTTTCATCAGTGTGGGAAAAAGTATTTCACTAATCCATATTTATTGGTGTAAGGAACCGGGGGGGAGGGAGAGGTACCCTAATGGTCAGGAGCAAAGGACAGAAGGGACAGTTTAAGGCTGCCCTTTTCGGAGGGGTCACATGTCACCAAAATCTTTCGGTTGTCTTTGGATTGGTTACATTCTGTTCTCTTTTTTTCAATTGAGGTTGCCAAGCAACTGGCTAAGACCAGCCAAGATATTTTCTTTATTACAAGTGGAGCAGAAAGCAGCAAGGAGGGGAGAGATAAAAAAAAAAAAAAAAAAAAAAAAAAAAGAGAGGAAAAAAAAAAAAGGAGAGAAGAGAAGAAGTTTAGACAATTAACATTTATAGGATCACATAACTTCATTAACTCGGCCGAGATTTGGGAAAGAGACTTAAAAAAAAAAGAAAGAAAAGGTGGGGGGAGCGTTGGGAATTAAAACGAGTTAAAAGGCCGCCAGGTCCAGGGGCTGAAACAATGCCCAGCGCCCAGGAGCAGCACCGGGGGCTTCCCCATGGGCCCAGCACCCTCTGAGGGTCCCCAAAGACCCCAAAGACCCGGCAGGTCCCCGCCGGTGGCTCCCAACCAGCTCGGGGCCTTCGGATGATGCTGATGCTCTTTTTTTTTTTTTTTTTATGCGCTTGGTTTCTTTTGATTTTCACACTCCTAGGAGCGGGTTTAGCACCAACTGGCGCTGCCAGGGAGGCGCGTGGCTGCGGTGGGGGCCACGTCCCCGCGTCCCTGCTGCCACCTGGCCACGGCGCAGGGCAGGGGCTGAGGGGGACGCGAGGGTGCCCACGTCCTGCGCCACCTCTGTGCCTCCTCCCTGCCTAGGGGACACCCTTGGTGTGGGTGCCCGGGGTGCTCAGGCCTCACCCGTCACCAGCTGTCCCCTGCCCAGGCCTGGCACAGCTGATGGCTGGGGATGGGGACAGGGACAGGGACAGGGCCACCCAGCACCTCTGTAGGGCTTCTCAGAGCATCCCCAGGGCTGTGGGATCTCCTCTCCCAGCCCAAACCTTTCCCTCTCCCCACGTGGCCGGAGCCGTTAGGAGGAGATGCAGGGAGGCGAGGAGGGGCAGGGACCCCCTCAGGGACCCCCCCAGTCCCCAGCCCCCTCCCCAAGCCCCCCATGGCTCTGCCCAGAGCCCCCCAGCTCCCTGGTGGGCTGTGATGGGGCCAAGGCAGGGAGCAGCCCCACGTCCTTGCCATGGCTGCGGGGACCCCTGGGCGAGTCGGGGCTGGGGGTTTTGGGGTTGGGGTCCCCCGGGCTGGGCAGAGCAGGCGATGCCCCCGCTCCCCCGGCCGGCTCCAGCAGCTGCCGGCCTGGCGAGTCAGTAATATTCATCAGGGGACAACAATGAGCATTATTTATCCCCAGCACCGGGGGGGGGGGGGGGGGGAAGGGGTGCGGGAGGGCGGCGTGGGGTGCAGGTGACCCCACACCGGGGAACCCGAGCAGTGCCCCCACCTCGTCCCGGAGCAGCAGGACCGGGGGGGGACCCCAAAACTCGAGCAGAAACACCTCGAGGGGGGGTCAAAGGGGGTGCAGGGCACAGCCAGAGGGGGCTGAGCGGGGGGACCCCAGCCCCCGGCGGGGCGAACCCCGGCTGCTGCCGGGGCCGGGCTTGGGGGGACCCGAGCGGGGCGCGCCCCGGGGACCCCCCGAGCCGGGCTCGGGCAGCCGGGGGGGGCCGGGGGGGGCCGGGCCGGGCCGGGCCGGGGGCTGCCGGGTGGGAGCTGTGTCTTTAAGAGATGGCTGGCTCCAGGTTGCAGCTGCTG